AGATTTACAATTTTTCTACCACTTTTATCGTTTTCAAGTTTATTAAAAAATTTAGCATTTGTAAATATCACGAAAAGGGGCGATTCATATAAGTTAAATGCGAATTGGTTGAAAAGGGTGTTCAATTTTTGTACAATTTTTGAACTTTGTAATATAAATTTCAAACAAGCAGCGTTGAAAAATTATAAAAAAATTCACCCAAACCGAAAAACAGGTGAGCACGGATAAAATCCGGATGTTTCGTCACATCCGCGGATCTGCGGATGTCAATTTGCAGCGCGGATATCCGGATAAAATCCGCATCCGGACATCCATTCGGAAGGCCTACTCCAAAATCCATCCTGTTTGAGTTATTGTTTCTAATATTAGTTTACTTGATTATTTTAGTGATAACCTCAATAATATCTATCAACTAGACAAATAACAAAATTGTGAAATTTACTTTTTAAGATTTTGGAAGATTATGAAGCGATGGGAAAAATAATAATACTTAAAAAATTGTGGTACAGCAAAATTTTTATATCTACTTAGATATTTTTTCCTAATACCTTAGTCATGAACATGTAAATATATTGTTCTAAGCGAATAAAATTTATGTTTATCAAGGAAAGATATATTGTCATTAGGGAATTGTTTGTGCTTTTCTAGCATGGGTCGACTATGTAAGTTAACATTAAATTTTTCTCTGTTTTCAATGAATTTCCTCGTATTCTCTTGAAAATTATTTGTTTTTGAAACAACTTTGTTTCTTTTATAAATCACTATTAAAGTTAGAAACATTGGAAAAAACAACACAATACATATTTATGAGAAAAGTTGAAGATTAAACTTTTAGTTTGTGCTTGGTTTACACTTTATCTCTGCGTATCGCAAAGTAAAACAAATCTACTTAGTCAAATTTCTTTTCATGTGAGAAAACTCAAAACAAATAATAAAGCCTGGAAAAAAATAAAACAATCCAAATTATTATGTCGATTTAAAAATTGATATATATTACGAAAATACATAGATATAATGTGAATTAAGTATATAAATGTGTCACAAAATATAAAAAATGGTGCAATAAGCTTCTAAGATTATGTGAAATAATTTCTGCGATTTGTGAGTATATATATATATATTATATACCTATATATATATATATTATATGACTCTTAACTGACTGCAATATGTAGAAGTAAAAAAAACTTATATTATGAAGTCAAAAATGAAGGCTAGATATGTTGGAATAAAAATCAAAGGATATCTGATTGATTCTTTCTCCCAATAATTATTACGTTATTGGGTGTCTCTAATTTAATCTACGTATCATAGGATAATGATTTCAAAATTGAATATCTTTGTAGAGATATTAAATAAGTTGGATATAAAACAAAATAATTATGTTCAATATAGTCTCGCAATTCTAACGATAATGATTTCTGTTGAGATTATTTGGTTTGATACGAATACTATAATTAAATTTTCTTAAGTTATTTTTTAATAAAAAAATTTAAAAAAAAAGTGATTAAATATCTATTTATAAATAAACTGTAGGAAATATATATGAAAAACGTGAATATTTTCATATATTCAGTTGAGCACAAAAAAACTTTGATTTAGTGATTTTTTATTTTTTAGTTAAAAGTAGTAATCATATCGACCGATGTTGATAGTAAATTAGTTATGAAGAGCAGAATTAAGTTATTAATAATGAAAAAAAAATAACAAACTTGATTTCTTTCCTTAAGTCAAAATTAATTTTTACAAAATTATTTGCACAATAAGACTATAGATGACAATTGTAAGGGTTAATCTTCTTCAATTAATGAAATATGAAAAAAATCATTTCAATTTGATAAAGGATTGTTGAAAAGTAAATATTGCAGCATTTTTGGTAGTTCCGAGTTTTAAAATTTTCTTTTTTTTGTTTCCTTCTCTCTTTCGCTTTATCCTCTATGCATGATTCAGCAAACGGATGAATAATTGAGTAAAAACTACTGACGTGTAGGGGGTTAATTGCCTGTGAAAGATTTCCATATATTTCTTTTCTTTAAAGTGAGATCTTTAGTCAAAATTGTAAGCAAATCATTATAAAAGTAGGGGACAAACATGTTGAAAAGACATGTGTAAAACAACGACAAAAACAGACGAAAAAGCTGAAGCATAAAAACCTTTTCCCTTTGATAAAGATTTACGTTCTGTTTTGAAAACCTACTCAAAGGTCGTATAGACATTTGAGCATATGGTGAATGCAGCAAATCTTTAAAGTGCCTTAATGATATCTACCCTTATATCAAAAATTTTGAAAACTTTGTTACTAAAACTAATTTCAGAGTAATAAGTATTATTGGTTTTAAACGTTCTCGAAAATTTTCATTAAATATAGCTTCAGATTTTCTCTCTATTAATGCATTTTCTCAAAATAATTTTTCTTCTGATGTGATGACAAAAAGTTTTCAAAACATTATAAACATTTATCTATTATATTAAATAATAAAACAACATTTCTTAAAGTGGGACCTCATCATTAGCCAGGTGTTTGCTGAAAATAATGTACAAGTTTCATAGGTATCTACTTTTCTATTAATTTTTCCTAAATTATTTTAGGTCACATTATTTCCTACTAGTTTCATAGAAATCGCGACATTAAAAATTTATTGAGTGATCAATTGTTATTTATACAGCTTTTTATATTTTTATTTGCACACTAGCATAAATCCAAATTATCTATATGACTTTTTTAATTTTAATACTTAATTCCCGTAAGTTACCGAAAGAAGATAAAAAAATCAATTTTAAAATATATATTCATTTTTCATCAGCGAAGCTGTTCCAAACACTTCTACATATTATTATGCACCAGAGCAACAGGAGATTTTTTTATAGTATCGTTGCCATAGATTCGTATAATGAAAATTGATGTAGAATATGTTTCATGAAAAAAATGATAAATGATTGTAGTGAGTTTCACGAGAGACTATTTCGCCTATTTTGTGCAGTCTACAGAAATGATCTCAATTCTTGAAGTTAATGAAGAAGAAAGAAGAAAAATAAAAATCGATAACGCTTCAGTTGCAAATGCTGCTTCATGAATTTATTTTAGTGATAAATTGCCTTCAAGCTCTAATTGGATAGTGAAGTATTAAAGTGTAAGAAAGCTCTTTTTTCATAAAAAAAAGAAGTTTAAATTTCTGTTTTAAACTATACATAGATAAATATACATTCTATATCTAAATAGATATCTAAAGCTATAAAAGTAATCGTTTCTTGATTACGAATAAAGATTATTTTATAAGACTTCTATATCACTATATAATAAGCAATTGTAGATTGGTGTGTTAAAAAAAACAAACAAGATAAGATAATATAAGATTATTTTGTCTTCCGAAAATCCCTTCCTTTACTTGTTTTATAATTATTGTTTTTCTTAAATAAAGATAAAAATTTGTTATGAACGATGTTCGACTTATAAAAACAATTACTCAGCTTTTTCTATTGAAATCATTGACATCGGCTGATATATTTTAACATATCTAGTCAGAAATAAAGAAATTTTGGGCGATAAGATTAGTTTGTTTTGTTTCGTGCATACATAAATATATACTCACTCAAAAATTATTGATTTTTGGGGCGTACATTTGAAACTGAAATAAAATGAAATGAAATGTATACGCTTCACATCGCTTTGGCCTTACCTTGATGTCTCTTTTCAAATAAAATATAAATTATACGGTGCTATCCATTTGAATCCAACATGTGATGATATGGGTGCGATTTCATGTCGCAAAAGCCTAATGCTATATTCTAATCATTGATAAGAAATAGCGATTTTATGGCGTGATACAAGTTATTTAAATATGAAAACAGACGCAAAATTAATATTGCTGATTTATGAAATTGGAATTTTAGTTTGATAAAATGTGAGTCGAATACGAAAATAGAGAGATAATATGAAGCTCATTGAAATTCTTATTTAGAGAAACTTAGGCATATGAACAGGCAGTTAAAATATCAGAATAGGGAAAGTTTAAAACCAAGACAATGAAAAGAGAAGATTTTATCTTTTCTAAACTTATATAGGCAATTCTGCGAAATATTGGTATTTAGCAACATTAATATTGAGCCATACAGTAGTTGAAGAACCTAGAACAAGAACTACAAATGTAAAATCGTTACATAAAATCATCACATTAGTGAATTTATTTCAATTAGAAAAGTATTGTGCATAAATAAACTTTAAAATATAGCAGTTTTATTACTCTACAGAAGTAAATATCAATTTCAATTATCTACATATAGTAAAAGTAGTCAATTGAGAAAAAGCGTTAAATTGATATTCATAAAACTCACACTGAAATGGAGAGAAAACAGTGCTTATTTTAAAGCATCTCATGCTGTTGTTTTTTTCTTATTCTTATTCTACACTTTATGCGAACGACCATAAAATGTGATTGCAATTTGAATAAATTGTAAATAAATTTCTTATGCAAATAAGAGCTGGTCACATAAATTACGTTTAAGTTAAGTAAATTTCTATAGCTGTAAATATTGCCGATACGACGGAGCGACAGAGAAAAATATTTAAACTCAACTTAATGAATGATGACGAATTTCATTGATCATTCATTGATTCTTGTTCATTTTCTTTCAAATAAGCTCAAATATTTAATGAGGTTTTACTCAAACAGACGTCGTTTTAAAATGAAACAAAATAAGAGCCTAAAGTATTATTTTACTTGAGCTCATTGATGGAGCATGACAAATTCAGTAAACTTGACATTTTGTTTTCGAAAAAAGCAGATTGCACAATTTTCACTGTAACTGATATATGACTAACACTAAAGGTTCGTTGTTCAACGTTGTTTTTATCTCACATAAAACATTTCTTTATTCTTTTGAAACAGCACAAAAATTTCTTTCTTTCTTGATGGTGAGGTTTATCTTACTTTTATCCCGACAGCTTGTCTTAAGAAACTTTATTTTTTCATTTTTGTGTCGTCTACTGAAAACTAATATTTTTCAAACAAAAAAGTGGAGATGTTTGAAATTATTTTTTGATATCTTCTCCCAGTACATCGTGAGCTAAAAAATTCTCGAAAAAGATTTTTTTTGCTCAGACTTACAAAAAACATGAATCGATTTTCTTTTTAATTTTTTTTTCTTCTTCAATTTTTTACAATGCTTATGAACTTTTAAGTTTTTCTTAACAGAATGACACAAAAAGCAATGCAACAGACTATTAATAAAGTATGTACTAGCGCAACGCGTATATTTCGAAAAAACTAAAATGTGAAAAAAATAAAATCGCTTTATAAAAGATGTTTATTCAATCGTTAAAGAAAAAACAAAAGAAGGAAGCAAGAACATAACATTTGCCGCTGCAACATTTGTTTTTCGATGGTGCGATTGAAAAATGGTTTTTCATGTGTAAACAAGCTTCGAATCGACATATGTTCTTCCTTTCTTCTCCACTAACCTCTCGCAACTCCAATAATGTGTGAATAATTCATAGCGATTCTTTTTATCAGTGCCAATTAATCATTTTAATGCATACATGAATGAGTACTTTCTTCACAAAAACACAAACTAATGATCCGCATTATGTCTGCAAATTAATTATACGGTTGAAATAAGCAGCCAGGAATGAGAAAATTACGAGTAAACATTTGTTTTCTACTGTCGCAGAGCAATTCTTAGAGAAATCAATAATATCTGCAACATATGTTAAAGCAAGATAAATTACTTTGGTCGCAACATCATCCAACAATAAAAATAATTTATTCATCATATTAACAGTATTTTCACACACAACTTTAATAAAGTGAAGTTCTCATTTAGTTCATTGAGCTCTTCATTCTTTATCGTTGTTGTGATCTGTGTATTGTTTTCTCTTTAAGTATTAAGTTGCTGCTCCTATATGTTCAACGATTTTGATTACTTTTCATTCTCATGAGATAGATTTTCAGGTTGACCAAATAAGAAGGGATTAATTTTGCTTCACTAAGTATAAATTGTGAATTGGCATCCAACAAGAAAATAAAAAGAATAAAATCACTGTCCGTGAGGAATAATAAATATTTTTCTCGCTTTAATTTTTTTTCCTCCCTTTTTCTACTACTGCAACGTGATAAAGTCAACGATTGCGCAACGGCAAAAAAGGAACCATTTTTATCAAGACAACTTTCCATAAAATCATTTTCATTTACTCGTTTTATTACCTTTGAATTTTGGTTGCTTCGTTTGACATTCTAGGTCGCATGTAAATTGTAATTATGAAACTTTTTCCCTTTTCTTCTATTTTTACTACTTAAATAATATAATTATGGTGCCTTTATAGAAATCTTAAAAATGCAAAATGCTTGATAAACACACTTAATTATTTGACTTAAATAGAGGTTAAAAATTTAAAGAGATGTTCGTTATTAAATTTACAAAAATAAGTTCGCTTTACAAAAAATTGTACAATTAAGTAATTTGATTTTCAAGAAGTTATCTTTAGTTGGAAGTTATCTAAAAGAAAAATTATTTACGCATTGTTCATAAAGAAAATAAACCAATATTCAAAAGTTATCGAATAAATATACAACAGGTTCTTCTTTTTTTTTGATAACGAGTTTAAAAAAAGAAGACGTGAGTGGGAATAATATCATTAATAACGTCTCGTTCACATTTTGCTTTTTGTCAATTATTAAGTTTCATTCATTATTAAGATTCTTTCTTTCATTTCGTGGTTTCTTATTCAAGATGTTTAGTGAAATGGAATGAAGCATATAAAAACGCGTAGAAGTGTTCTTCAAAGGAAAAGAGAAGTAAAACGCCAGTTCACGCCCTTGTATGATGATATAATGGGTTGTTGGAGCGCAAAACCCATTAGAATATTTTCGACTAATGAGTTTGCTGTTTTCTGATATGACGTTCAAGATTCTCGTTCATTTCACAACATTAATGTAAACATTTCATGCATAAAAATGATATTTTTTCTTGTTAATGATCAAACGCAAAAACCAAAAAAAAGTGCTACGCAACAATATTCCTTATTCCAATAATATTTCCTTTATATTTTCTCCTCAACAGCATTTGCACATTTGTACCCCTCGTGTAACTGCAGGATGTTTTTGTAGCACATAATTTTTCCCCGACTAATGAATTAAATTTATAGGATTGTTTTGATCTCATAGGAATTGCTAGGTTAATGTAAAATATATACATATAATACATTTTTTGTTTTTATTATAATCCAGGATAATCTTCCTGATATTTAGTCTTCCCTCGGGATGCATTAACTATCTATGTGATGAAAAAAAGTAGGCAAAAGCAAAATGTTAGTTAAAAAATATCTAAATTATGTATACGATGATCTCGTTGTAAAATTTTCGCCATATTTAAATAATCCATTCCTCTGTTTGACTTTGTTAAGAATTCCATGTTCTTCTTACATATCTTGATAAAAATATCCTCTAGAAAACAAATGTTTAAAATTTCTGGTTTTTGAAGTAGGTACTAGTGATGTCAAACATCAGTTTTACATTTACGTCTTCACTTAACTTTATCTGTAAAAGAAGGTTTTTTATAAGAAAAAGTGAAAACTTTATCATGTATACGGATTCTCGCTAGTTAACTGAGTACAAAGTTTACCACATCATGAGTTTCTAATGAAATTCTATTACCTAATAATGCTTTATGAGGATTTATGGAGTTCATGCTTAGAGAAATTCTGTTAACGGTTTTATGAGAAAGAAAAATAATATTCTGAAACAAAGTGTGACTAATTTAATTTAATTCTTTAGAATATAACAAGACGAACTGAGAACGGCTTAAAGAGTTAAGTAGCTTAAATTGACAAATTTTTGATGTAACGCTGGTTCTTTGATTTCTTCGCTTTAAATTAAGCTCAATTTATGAATGAGAAACAACATAGATGGCAAATTATTGATGGTTTTCCAACTAAATATATTGTTTTATTCATCGGAGATATAAATTGTGAATACTTTGTCGTAAGTTTTAAAATTATTGTATTTTAATTCAATTGAGATAATCGGAGTAATTTATAAAAGCCTTAATGCATTCAAAATCTCCAAAAACATTTCTTTTATTTGTGGTTTGTGTATGAAAATCGATTTTAAATGTTCTCAAAAAAAATCTAATGTCCAACTCGTGATTCCTATTCACGTTTTATTGTTTTCTTTTCTTCCGTCTGTATAAAAAGCAGATTCAAAGCTATAAAAGTAAAGATTGATTTCAAAAACTAGCTCGCTCGAAAAGTTTATTGGCACAGTTCGCATCATTAAAGATTTCATCAGAAAGCTGTCGGCACCGCTCTATACCGAATTAACGACATAATACAGCAGTAAAGAAAGAAGTTTGAGGGCAAATACTTGCGGGATATTTAATCTTTAACAATATGTTACCATTTACGAAACGCTAAGGAGAGAGGTCAAAGAGCAGTCCTCAAAGTATTAAAAACATGCATGTTCGTTAAAAACTTTCTGTTTTCCCTTTTTTTATAACAAGATACATATTAAATATTGTTAGTGCTTCGGTAAAAACAGAAGTTCTATCAGTCCCCAGACAAAAATTTAATTTGGGCATCTCTTCATGTCTACTTATTTATTCATAAATCTGTTGATTTATTTGAAGTTTGATGCTCATGATAAAAAAGTAAAAAGTAATAAGAAAAATACAAATAAAAGAGTCTCATCAGAAACATACTTTTCATCACAAGCAGATGGGAAATATTTATAAATTGCGTCACAAAAGTAATTGTAAATGTTTTCTACAAATTAGGGAATAAGAAAAAATATTAATTTTAAAGCGAATAATTTTCTGAAAGTTTGTCTTGACACATGACATGTTCAAGAATTTAAATGACGTAAACCATGATCACTCCATTCATGTTAACACTCCAATAAATTTTTTTTTTAATAAATCATAATGTATCAAGCATATCAATTTCAATCAAATCTCATTTTCAATATATTGATCCACAGATTTTTCATTAAACATTCTTCCTCAACACATATAATTTATGATCATTTGATATCTCTTTGATATAAGTTGTTGTTTGTAAAATTTCGAGTGATGATTGTGATTGTAATCAAAGTTTCAAAATCGTAAGAAATTTGAATATGTTACTAGCAGATACAAAAATGGTTAGATGTGTATTTAGATTAGCTTTACAAAAATACTAATCAGGCAATTAGATTTCAAACAATCCATAAAAGTTCAACTGAGGCATGTATGAGACAAATAGTAATTTTAAAATATGATGTTAATTATGTTGAATTTGAAAAAGCAAACATGGTGTAAAAGAATAAATGAAATGTGTTTTATTATACATATTTTCAAGCTACGGAGCCTTGATCTTTTTTCTGAGAAATTTTGATTTCAGATCAGGACAGACGAGAATAAGGTGAAATATTTAATGTAGAATGCATTAAGCTTGTATTCATAACACAATGACATATTAAATCATATTTTTATATTGTCTCCTTTCTTATGCAGACTCAATTTATTCATAAGTTTACGACTAAGCACAAACAGAGACAATTATAATGTCGGTAGAGCGACAGATTGTGTTGGCGTTTAAATAAGCCGTTAAAATGCATTGACACGTGTAGATCGGCTCGAGTTACAAAAAAAAGAGAAAAGCAGAAGTCAATACTCACAACACGAGACGCAAACATATGAATTTGAATAACTAATGACATCAGTCGGGAAGTAAATCTCATAAGAATAGGGAATAATTAAAGTTAGTTTCTTTTTTTTTTTGACTGCTTCATGATTCATTCATCGCCACAATACTTAGCATGACACTCCTTTTCCCTCCCGATAAGTAAATTGCGTTTCTTTGAAGTTTCAAATTCAAGAATTGATATTTCATTCAATAAAAAATGCTTCAATGACTTTCTGCTTCGATTACTGTTGCTCAACTGTAACCTTAAATTGACAACTGTAATGTTTGATAGGATTTCATAAATATCCAGTGCTCATTGTCTCAATCAGTTATCATTTAAATTGACAAAAACAGATTTCACTTTATCATATTCGAGAACGTTTCTGATTTTTAAATCAAAACAAAATATAGATATTCGTTTCATATCCTAAATAGACAACATTACATGAGAAAGAAAATATTTCCTTTAAACAAATCTCTTTTTTTCGTTTGAAGTAAAAAAAAATTAATAAAATGCAATTAGGTACTTTGTAGTTCAATGTTTATGCTCAAACACGTTTCGTATTGTGTTATTAAATCTGATTTATTCAACAGTTTGTGGTTTGTTTTATACAAGATTTCTTCTCACATATTTTTATTTTCTTAGCTCTATCCGGTGATCTTTTATTTTTATGCTTTTATTCTGGTTTTATTAAACAATATGTACATCTTCGCCACGAATTGATGTTGTGAAGTGATTCAGATCTGTAGAGAAGAAAGATGTCATCCATATAAGGCGATACCAAATTCACATAGAATTAAAATGTGTTTTGAAAAAATGAAACTAGACTTTAGGTTTCTTTACGCTCAATTGAAGAAGAAATTGAAACGAATAATATGTAAAAATAAATCCTATCAGCAATCACGATTTTATACAAAATGAAAAATCATTTTACTGCCCACATCATAACTGATAACAATGATCTATTAAAAACTGCTTAACTATTATATGTTTCCTATTCTTTAATATACCCTTCATTATTAGATAAATGATGTTTAATAGAAAGGATATTGCATTCTTCAAGAATCCCCTTGGTGAATATTTTGAGCTTCAAGTACACTTGAAAATCTTGGGCAAACATAAAAACAACGTTTTCATTTTGATTGTAAAATAAATTGAAAAGAATTTGTTCAATCGTTTTATTTTGAAAATAAATTTTCTTGTTTACTCTGCTATCTCCTTTTAGACTGAGCTATCACACAATCTCCAACAGCTATCAGAAAAGGCTCGATCAACAACAGAATTCATTCAGCGACTCAAAGGAATGAGCGACAAAGTGACGGTAAGCAGAAATATCTTTTTTCTCTTTCTACCTAGGCAAACATTCAAGTATGATTAAATTTTTTGAATATTTTCCTTCTCTCTGCTCTCTTTTATCCCCTTTTTGACCCTCCCACCCTGTACATATTTTGTTTTCCTGTTTAATCTATCAGATGTTTTTTTTTCAACCTTCATGTGCTAAACTGAATTTAATTTTATGAAGTTTTGATTTATTTTTTTAAGTTATTTGAAGCTGATGCCAGAATAAGTCAACTACACTTTAAACATTGCACAAGTTTTTTTTTCAGGATAATTACAAAATGTTTTTCTTTAGTTAAATGTATCTGGAAGCAACATGAATTTTTTCAATATCTATTCACGATTGTTCGTCACATCAAAAAAAAAATTGAAAGCAATTTCGATTCTGTTTATATACATATTGACTGATTCAAAATGAGAAAACTATTGGATAAGTAAAAAATAATAATAATATTTTGAAACAAGAAGAGGATCAAAATATTAAAGAGAATATGTATTTCCTTCGCTTAGGATATTTCGTGAATAAGAAAATTGGTCAATATAGGAGCGTAACGAAAAATTTTTTTTTTCTTTCATTAAATTAGGAATCATGCGTAGAGTTTGAAAGACTTGTAAGTGCCCAATGTGAATCATTGATTCAAATGATACACGAACGAAGGGAGTTTCTAATTGATACAATAAGGATGGATAGGGAAACCAAGTTAAGAACATTAAAAGTAAGAGAACAAAAACTTTAACATCTTTTAATTATATAAAACAAATTATGAAACATTGATTTTTTTTTTCAGGAGCAGCAAATAAATTGTACGGGAAAGCTTCAACAAACAACTGGCCTTATCCAGTTTTGTATAGAAGCTCTCAAAGAGAATGATAATGCGGCATTTTTACAAGTAAGTTAAAACTTTTACTTTTTCTAACTTTGTTGGATTGTAATTAAGTTATTTTCACTTCTTCTCTAACATTTTGATAACATTTGGTAACATTTCAACTAATTTCTAAAAAACAAAAATAACTCTTGCCTTGTGAAAACTCCCCAAAATTCTTGAAAACTCCATAAGAGCGGATTATGTCCCTCGATTGATTCACAAATTTCTTTATCAATGTATTACATCCGTTAACAAAAGTTTTTTTTCCGATTGATATCCTTATTTAAGCCGTATAAAAATCCATTAAAATCCTATATAAGCGACATGTTACAACATATTTTCTGCTCTCGCTTGTTTCCTTTCAAACGTAGTGTGTACACACTCTTATCAGGATCGGGAGTTATAAAGCTGAAAAGAATGTTTTAATGTCACGACATACGCTATTTACGCTTTTTATATTTTTTCCTCGAAATTTGTTATTTTCGTGAATTATTTTTCTCTTGACTGTAGCTTTTGTTTTGGTTTTTTATATTTTGTTTGACAATCGATTGTAGTTGAAGATACATACATATATAGGTGTATATTTTTACTGCAAGTGGTATTGAGCTGAGACGGAATTTTTCATTAACATAAATGTCTGAACTATTTTAAATGCTCTCACTAATTAATTCAACTGCTTATCGTGATTTACAGGTAGGGTCAATGCTTATAAATCGTGTAGCTAACACGGACATGACGTGGCACCAAGAAGTTACGAATGCCGCACCACGAGTGTCACCAATTGTCGATTTGACTTTAGATGATTCACATGTTATTAGAGCCATTGATAATCTCAACTTCGTTCAAATGAAACGTAAGTAGAAAATAACATTCAAGATTTTTACGCATCGCAATTCTATTTAAGTGTTTCTATTTTTAGTTTCATTAAATTTGTTTTCGAACCATGTCTTAAGTTATCTCTTTCCATCACAATTTTGCGCATTTAGTTAAATGATTATGCTCTGTTGAATTTAAATAAATTTTTCCTGTTTTTCATCATTATGTATTCTTAATCATTATCTCTTTATTTGTTTTTGTTAAATAACGACTTTACATGTGCTTTGTCTTCTTTATTTATAAAGAAATCTTATTGATATTGCAAAAAAATAAGAAAAAAGAAAACAACCAAATTAATAAATGTACATTTTATAACACTTAAAACCAAACACATATCTTTATGCAGCTGCTAAAGAAGGGGAAGAAAGAATACCAGCAGGTGAGATTATGATGACTCTCTATTGAGATATAAATATCAACGTGAACATTGAAAATTATAAAATTGAATCTCATACAATGTTCTCATCTCATATTTTGTGTTACCATTGAAAACAGTGACATATTTCAAGCAAACACACTGATTATTATTAATCTTTATATTATTTCCTCTTTCACAGTTCCATTGGCACCACAGATCATTCCTAAGGATTGTTCAGCTGAAAATAATTCTGTAACCGTTGCCTGGCAAGCACCTAATCACTCTTTTGTTCAAGGCTACGTTTTGGAATTAGACGACGGAAGCGGGGGTGAATTTAGGGTAAAAACTAATGCTTTGCATTCAGTTAAATGATTTATGAAGTTCTTGCCTCATTCTGATCGTCATGTTTAGGAAGATTTCTGAGAGACGAAACGAATTATAAAAGAATGAACAATAGTTAAGGCTTACAATTTATTTTCGAATCACGTGTGGAAGCTTAAAGAGAGTTCATTTGAACAGAGAAATATGAGAAATATGTAAAGAAAGAAAAAATGAGTTTTTATCGATTTTTCCTTCACCCACTCAATATTCAATGTTGTGCATTTCAATAATGGCTATTCAGGGGGTTTGTCATAAAGTCTACAATAATTGTATTCTTTGAAAATTTCATTTTTAAAATTATTCAATTTCATAAATAATTAACAAATAATCTAAGAACGGAATTTATGATCATATTTCTAATAAAGAAGCCAAATATTCATGAAAAGATTTGGCATAATATCTGTAAATTCTCATTTATATTTTTTTTTTTTTTTTGATTCAACTTATTTATAGTGGTTTGAGCTTGTATCCATTATATTTCATTAAAGTTTAATGAAACGTAGACTATTGACATCATTTTTTATTTCATCTCTTTTCCCTCACTCCAATATTTTGCCATAAAATTTTTCGATATTCATCTTCCAACTTTTCACTTACACTTGATTCGATAATGCTTTGATTGTAAAAATGCTTGCATGAAGGGAGACACATTAAATTATGTATCATTAAAGGCCCCTTCGGCCAATATAATTAAATATAAATAACCTAAAGCTAAAACCTCATTTCCATCCATTAAAGCATCTCGTTTCTCTCTTTTTACTTTGGGAAAATTTCGTATATATTGTGAGGTCGATGAGGAAAACATCAAAAACATGTTATCTGAATTTTTGCGCCGTTTGTGGGTTAAATGCTCTGAAAAAGAAAAATAAAAAATAAGAAAAGGGGAAAAAGAGAAATAAAAAGGGGAGATTCGAAGTCATGAAAACATAAACACGTAAAAGTAAAAATATTTTATGTAGCTTGGTTTACAAAAAGAAAATCCTTAACAACGTCACAAAATTAAAAGAAATAAAATGTAGGAAAATTATTCATTTTTTTCTTTCTGGATCACGTATACATGTGCGCTCTTCACAATTTTCCGAGAGTGAACGAGACACACCCATGGCCTTAATGGAATTTATCATTTAATTAACGTCTGAATACTTTTTTCTCATTCACTTTTCTCTATGATTTCAGGAAGTTTATTGTGGCAAGGAGACGATTTGTACTGTAGATGGGCTGCATTTCAATTCAATGTATAATGCACGTGTAAAAGCGTACAACACAAGTGGAGAAGGCGAATATTCTGAGCTAATTGGATTACAAACTGCCGAAGGTGAGTAACATTTTGTCTAATTAAATTCTTAAAGTTTACTTTACCCTCTTCCACAGTCTGCAGATATTTTTTGTTGTTGTTCTCTGTCGGATTCTTCATCTGACATTTTAATTTTTCGTGTAAACTTGATTTTGGAAAAAAATTACTCTCGCATTTCTACCATCAACAACATCACTTTAAATGAAAATTCCGCTTACCCTTAAATGTTGTTAGAGCATCCTTGCTTTTTATTATTTAGTGTTCGAAAATAATTAAATTTTTGACAAAAATTTTTAATTGTTCTTTCAAAAGTATTTCTGAATAAATAATGTTGAGCCCTAATGAAAGATATCAAGAAAAAAATTCAAGTTCACCTTATCCATGAAATGAAATTGACAATTGTGAACACTAAAATTTTTAGTCTTTATTCCCTCTAACATTTCAGTCTCAATTCGAACGTGAAATGAAAAAAATATTCACAAGCGATATGCTTCTTAAAAAACATTCACGAACAATTTATATGAAATTTTCTTTCATTCAATGTAGGTCCCTTTGATGATGAATGAATCATAATACTTTCCTATTCTTCGTTAGCTCCACCTTTGGTGATTATTGTGATTTGAGAATCATCCGATGTTATGAACAAAATGTTTTGAATTCGCTCGGTTTGAAATGTTTATCAAAAAAAGTTTCTATGATTATTTTTCAATGACTGATATATTTTATTTTCAAAATGCTGAGAAGAAATGTACGTCAAATATTGATTGAGGTGTACGTATATTGTTCAATATAACATATTTGTTCTTGACATAAATGTATCATCAAGGGTTCTGTGTCTGCAGGAACGACAATTTTTCATTTATTTTCTTTCAAAAATTAATGAATATTTTGAATGCCTTTTTCAATGCTCATGAAAAAGAAAATGCATTGATTGTGTTTTTTTTAGTCGCAATAAATCAAACGGAAGTTAATACTTAGTTAAAGTTAAACTGCGTTTATCCAAAGGAAAAAATAATTACAATATTTAATAAGACTTTTTTAATTTTTTTTAAATAGTTGCTTGGTTCACTTTTGATCCAACGTTAAGCGGCGAACTTTGCTCAGGATTAACATTTTCGAATGACAACCGGACAGTATCAGCAGACGGTTGGGAACATTGTGTAGTGCTTGGCTCTGTTGGGTTTTCTCGAGGAGTTCATTATTGGGAGTTTACGATTGAAAAATACAGTGCAGATACAGATCCTGCTTTTGGCATTGCGCGCATTGATGTTAGTCGAGATAAAATGCTTGGTAAATTGCCTTTTTTTTCAAATACACAAGATTCTCGTTTGATATTATTATAGCATAATAAATCATATCATTTCGTGACCAGTCCATTCATTTCAAATTAAAATTCTCAGGTAAAGACGACAAAGGATTTGCTATGTATATCGACAGACAACGTTCGTGGTTCCAACATAACTCTATTCATGAGCGTCGTGTTGAAGGCGGAATATCAACTGGTAGCACGGTGGGTGTTTTACTGGATTTGGAACGTCACACACTACACTTCATTGTTAATGAAATGCCACAAGGCAGCGTCGCCTTTCGAGATCTCTATGGAGTCTTTTACCCAGCAGTTAGTCTCAATCGAGATGTAACTGTAACGCTTCACACTGGATTAGATGCTCCTCATATGGATTATCATTAAATGAAAGATAAATGTCCATAAAAAATAAGAAGAAAAGTCAAAAAGCAACAAAACGAGAAATATTTAGTCATCACTTGAACTTATGAGTCACAAGTGTTAAAATAAATTCAGTCTTCATTAATCGTACCTCAGCAACAGGAGGGAGAAGTCTCACAATGGAAGCAGTTTGCAGTTGTAACTGATTACCATGTATGTACATAGTTCAAATGAACAATCTCTGTGTCATCTCTTATCTCTACCGTAACAGAGAATGGAAAATTCAATAAACTGCTAATCAAAAGTTCTGTTTCTTTAAATCCATACATATATGCATTTACTTTTACAACGCATATGTGTTTCAGATCGATATAAATCAGATTGAAGATATAGTGGATGAGAAAATGAAAATAAAAGAACAATGAATGTAAATTTTAATGAAAGTAAAACTACGTATTAAATATCAACATATATTCAATAAGAAAGCTCGTAGTTGATCTTACATACAATTTTAGGTAGTTATGGCATCAATCAAACTTATACACATAAATATTACATATCTTTTATCTACTATTCGAATTAAAATAACAATGAAATAAATTTTTCGAACTTCTTTCAATTTTTGTTTTTGTAAAATATATACAAGTGATTTGAAAGTGCAGCTTTTAATTTGAATCGATTCGTCACCGGAAATAAATAAAATTGATAAATTATCAAGCGATAAAGAAAGAGCGAAAGGGAGAGTGCCATTAAATAATTAAATATTTGAATTAGTGGAAGATAATGAAAAGTTATGTGGTTGCAATATCAGCATCGGATAGTCAGATGAAATAATTAATGTCAGAGTATTTCCAGCCGCCATCATTAACGGGAACTGAAAAGCTAAATAAATTTATTGCTTTGCATATATTTAAGTATGTAATATACATAAATGTATGTGAAAAAAATGCATCATCAACGAGTAAAGTTATTAATGCTTATGGTTGAAAGCGCAAACAAGTAACAGAGAGGGAAAGAGAGATATAATGAGATTGCACATCATATTATTTATTTAAAAACTTTACCCCGGTGTTTCGAACGATCGACATTTAAAGCCTTCCAAAAATTTTACATCGACATGATACTTAATTGTTGAAATAGAAAATCTTCCAGCAGCGTTTGCATTTTAAAATAACACAAACAGGGTCGCACACAATTTACCATAACTTTAAAAATATTGACAGTCCATTGCAAGTAAGTACCTATTTAGCAATGCAAACGGTGATTAAAACTTTTCACCAGTTAACTGCTGTATTTTTCCGGGAAATATGTTATTGAAAAATATTCAGTCCATTTGTAATAGCCACAGCAGTAAATTTATAAATTCACGATGTAAACTTTGTAGAAGAAAATTTAATTAATTTTAAATCTTATTTATGCTAACAAAATATTATAATAAAAAATATACACGATCCAAATAAATCAAAAACTCTTATTATAACTGAATAACGAGGGTTTTAATTATTTAATTTAGATACCTAATTTTGAAATTTAGACTAATGAAAAACAGCATCCGAAAAAGCTTCAGAAAAAAGGAGGATTACTGCATTTTGGTTACATATACGACTTGTACTCACAATTTGGTATGTTATAATTTCTAATTATTCAGTATTTTTATCGATAAGTATCTAACGGAAGTTTCAATTTATTTAGCATCATATTCCTTTTATTCCATAACTCAAAGTTTATCTCATTTATTTGATTCATGAAAATAAAAGAAAAAATTAAAGGAAAGTTGAAAAGCTTTTCGTATGTTAATTTCACTTTATCAGCTTGAAAGTTATAAATGTACCATCTTCAAACAAATATTTATTCTGTGTCTCTTTTTGAACATCTCGTCAGTCCTTTCTTTAATAAATGATTCGCTACGAGTGCTTCACATAAATGGAGAAAAAAAAAGAGATTGAACAAAGCAAGAAAGTGTTATCGTATACGACACGTAATGGTATGAAAGCACTTGAAGCGAGAAGAAAAAAAGAGAATGAATGAATTATATCAAGGAATTCCAACATTCCACAACAGCTTCTTGAAAATTAATGTTCTAAAAATGACAAAAAGCTTCATCTGACAGAGGACAGACATTTTCAGAGCATAAATTTACAACAATTCACCCGATGCTATCGAAACTCCTTGCTTTCTATCGTCTTCTTCTTCGTTGTAGTCATCGCAATTGTTTTTATATAGAATTTGTTTAAATTTTCAAAAGTTTAAATTTTCAGCAAAGGTTTTAGAAATATAAAAGGAATGAAAACCTTTCAACGAATTAAGTGAATTCAATTGAATTCAGTATTTTTACCGATTTTCGAACCTCCAAACAATATATTGTGATGTCTTGAATATGAAATGAAATGTTTTCTTAAAATCTAAACATCACGAATTGAATACATAGATATATAGCCTTTTTACCTACCTTTCTTCACTTATTTTTCATTTCATTTTATTTTTTTCACCCTCTTTGGGATGATTTTAATAATATTTATATATTATAAAATATATGAAATGGAGGAGAAAATAGATGAAGCTCAACCAGCGAATGTTTTGACTCCGATAAGGAAACTTCTCCCATTGCTTTAAAGTATTTATTTGCATTAAAATACATTGTATTCAAAACGAGGGGAGCAGTTTTTGAGTTACTCAAAGACCCAAACTTGGCTATTTTGCAGTGTGTTATCAAAAATTTACCATTTAACATTGCGTTTGAACATTAGCAAATGCTGCATTAATTATATTTTTTTCATTCACTTTAATTTGCTAATTTCTTTCATGATTAGCCATTACACAGTTTTCAAAAGCAGCATAACGATTATTTTATTAATAATTTTTACTTCATTCATCATCATATTTGGCTATAGAGCATTACAATGTTTCATGTTATGCAAAAATAAGAAGAAAGAAAAATCTACATTTGAAAAATTCGATGTAATAAATTCTGACTCCGGTTTTTCATTTTTTTCCTTTTCGTAAGCATCATAAACAGCTAATGACGTGAAATTTGTTAAAAATTTTACGACAAAAGCTACGAGGGAATCATATAAATAAATCATAAAAAACACTGTACGTTTTGGGGAAATGAAAATGAAAGAAAATCTTAATGTTGATGTTTCTTTTATACACTGGCGATGAAATGTGATATGAATACAATATTATGGCTGATGTCAGAAATTGAGAATTTTTGGATTGGTTTGGTTGATGCATAACACAAAACTTTTTTTACACTTTTGTAAATACAAAGCAAGACGAAGTTATTGATAGCTAACTATTCATTTAATTTCAAACATATATGTCTTCTTGAAAATGTTTAAAATACTGAAATAAAGGGGATTAATAAGAAACATCACCTACAAATTGAGTGTTATAAAGTTCTTGAAGATTATATTAATCTATTGGTATCTATGCTGAAGCAATAGAAATGAAAAACCGAACCTCTTCTTAATAACACAATCAGTGATGTCAGTGTTCAATTTATTTAACTCGTAAATTATAGATAAAAATATGTGAAATATTTTATTTAGCATATGTCATATTTACTGCTATTTAATAGATTCTGTAGATTAACCAGCTAAAAATGATATCAAGCAATAAAAATTAGAAATCTTAAATATTCAGTCAAATTGTTAGAAAGTAACATAAATCAATTAAATAATTTATTTTTAATCTCAACCGAGTAAGCGCGGATTACTGAGTAATCAGTAAGCGCGGGGACATAAATAGAAATTTAAATTGATATTAATTGGCTTTAATATGACTTAAAAATGAGAATGTTTGCGTTAAAGGAGCTGGGATAGTTAAGAATAACTGACAATAACGAATGAAAAAAAGAAGCATAAATATGTGAAAGAGAAAGAAAAAAATAATAAACCACAGCTTGAATTAAATAATTTATCACAATTCAACCATCATGTAGGTTCTCATCTCTTGTCCCTGACGACTAACTACAACAATGATTTTTTAACACTCTTCTGTTTGATGAAATACCCTCAATTTAACACTCCCTATGAATGTACAGAATTTATCTTTTTGTATATTTTTCACACTTTCTATACACAATGGGCAAAGATAAACATGCTATATGCTTGCATGACTGTATTTGTCGGTAACTGGAATCTTTATGCTCCGTAGGAAAATAAAAATTAACCACATTTGAGTTGTCGAGCAAATAAATAAAACAAAGATGTGTTTTGGAAGGAACAGAAGCGATTATAAATATAGACAATGGGAATCTGAACTAGGCATTAAGATAGATATGTTCATATTTTTATGTTTATGCGGAAAAATAGTGATTTAAATTTATAAAGTTATTGTATCATTTTCCACGTTTTTTAATGAATTTTTCATGTGTATAAATATAAAATCATTTTTTACTCTTCTACCATTTTTCTATTTTTTTCCAAATTTTATTGCCCGTAAAGGTTTGCACACTTAAATAATTTTTCGAACAGAAAATATCAATCCAATTCAATAATTTTTCATCACTTAAAAGTTAAATGTACTGTTAGTAAGGTTGAATAGGAAACTGCTTGTTCCTTTTTTCCAGCATTGTACAGGTTTTACCATTTAGGTCTTCGTTTTATGTAATAGTTGAATTGAATAACAAAACATTTTTTCCCTCTAGTGAATTGGATTTGTTACAGGCAAAAAGGGATGTTTTGTTGTTAATAAAATGCGTTGTTTTTTTCTTCGTTTTATTTCCCTGTTTATGAAAAAGAGAATTAAGAGAGAAATGAAAGGAAATTAAAGTCGGATGAATAATTTGTGAGACGGTGTCTGAGCTTCAACTTCCTTACACTGTGAGCGTCTTAAGGTGAGAGATTAAAATTTAATCGAGTATTTTAATCACCTAGGCGATGAATTGTGAAATTTCTTCTTGTTTACGACTTTCATCTTACATATCTTTATGCGAAATGAGAATTTTTATTGCCACGCTGACAGTATTAATCATGATAAATATCTTGCATGATATCTTACTTTGTAGTTAATAGCCATATAGATGGTAAATTTCCTCAGAGACAAAAGTTGAACCCATAAGCTGCAGAAAATGTCGTTGTGCCTACCAATTTTTTTTTTGCTGACTGTAAATAAAGTTGTAGATCCAAAATAAAATAAAAAGCTAAAATTCGCTGACGCCATTGAAATTCGAATTTGCTTTCGATACAACATCGATTCTCGTTAGAAATTTATGCACGCATCTATCAGTGATTATTTTGAATTTTTCCAGTTGATTTGGGTGGAAAGAAACAGGCTTACATTGCATTTCTGGGAGGATTTCTCAACCGAAAAAAGTCATAAAGAAATATCCCATAAATATCAAGATCCACATCTTTAGTTAGGAAGGGAAAGCTGATACGTTGTTTACCAATTGACATTTGTTTGGAGATTCATAAATAATGTATACTATGTTCATTCACTTGCTTCGAACTTATCTACCGCAGTGCATACTTTTGGGGATATAAAAAGCATCAATAAGGAAAGGAAGGCTGTGTATTGACGATAGCATATCTAATATTTTTCGATTAAAGAATATCTGAGAAGCCCATGACAATCGTTACATCGACTACTGATATGCAGTAGCGGAATAATTTGTTTTGAGTGTTTTTCTGTTTCTCTTTCTTCATGCAACATTTTGTTTGGTTTATTTACATTATTTTTGCATATTCACGTTAATACTTTTCTTCTCTTCCTTATTTCTTTACTTTGCATGGCAATGAATCTACAACACCATAAATCTGTTCGAATCCGAATTCATTCAAAAGACTTTCAACCTATTATTTTCGCCTTGTCGTATCTGATTTTGTTTTCTTGTTGAGTTCTATTTTTTCGTCTTCTCTTTGCTGTGCTATTATCGGCTAATGTTTCCGATGTCGGCGCCTAGTCTTTATTATTATTGTATGTGATGCGCTTTATGTATGTTTTCATAAAAGATAATCTCATTTTAACAAAGAATACTTACAAAATATTTGAATTTCATGCGAATAATCTAAAAGAGAATGAATAATATTCAAGTCAACAAACAATAATGCTAACAAGTTTATTTCATTATGATCGTTTTTTATTTCGCATGAAAAAATGAAAAATTATTTATTTCGTTTTACAATGAGTTTTCACTGCTTCAAACCTTCTTATCTTATGTATTATATTTACAAGTAAGATATATAATCTTAATGATGAGCTTCGAAAAATCAAAGTCTTGAAGATTCATGTACAAACGTATAGATATGCAGTTCTTTTTTCGTTTGAGCTTCTGTGAAATTCAACTTCCATGCAAAGAAAAAAAATTGATGTTCCTATTCTATGATTCTATTTATGATGTTATTAGAGATGACATAAAAATATTAAAAATTGAGTTCAAAATCATTCACAGTTACCGATCACAAGAATATTTCACATTTTCTTCTTTCACGTAGATATTTCTCGAAAAGACATTTGAAATGCGTTGATATTTTTATGTCTTTTCAATGTTTATCCTCCTTTATTTCGATGCAGAGAAGAGAAAAATATATGTATGTTCAAGATAAACATTCTACCATATGGTGAATTTGTAAAGTAAATAATTTATGGTTATTTATTTGATGCTTCTTTTTAAAAATCCTCCGAGAAATGCTTCTAATGCTCAATTAGAGCTCTACTAATTCAAATGATTCGAATCCCATCATGAAAGAAATACAATATAAATCTTTCAATTAAGCATATTCATTTCAGCCGCCAGAAAAAAATACTGAATATGTATGAATAGCAATATTATAGAGAGCGTTGTATTTTTAAAGTATAATTAAAACAAAAGTTATTGTGAATACCAATTCAAATTAATGTTATACTTGATAATAGACTTAAATTTCAGCAGACTGAACTCAAAGATAAATATTTTATGAATGAATATTTAGTATTATTGTCTAATGATTCGAAGAAAAGACTCCAGTTAATGTTTCCGCGTTAATGTACTTACTAGCTACGAAATAAATCTGAATTATTTATGACAACAAGAGGGCTATAGTTCATCCACGTCCCAAATGAAATGGATTGTTGAGGATAAAAGCAATCCAATAGTTTTCCGCTGTTGTTTCAGTTGAAACGTGTCTCAAAAATTTAAATCACAAGAAGTGTGACGTTTAACTATGTAAAATATGTGAAAGAGAAATAAAAATTAATAATTTTCTTTTTAAATTGAAGCGAGTGAAAAACATTTGTGTTGCACGTTATGCATGTTGCATTTCAAATATTGCTAAACATTCTAAAAATGTGACGTTTGGATTTTTCTCTCATTTCAATGGTTAAAAACTTCTCTTTTTTTTCTACCTCAAATAAAAGAACTTTTGAAAATAGAGTAGGATGTCGCTTCTGAAACATTCGCTTTTATGTTTTCTTTTCTTATTGAAATTATCTTTCAAATGCGGAAGATACTTCTGTGAGAAAATAATAAAACCATGCGACGTATATCAACGAATGTCAAAGAAGTTGTATTCTCATCACAACTTGCGTGTCATTTCTTAAAAATCAGGTGACGTATGCAGCATACAATAAAGTTTCATGTCAATGAATGTGGTCAATGAATTCTGATCATTTCTAATCTGCATACATATTCAGTGTACTGTCAAGACAAGATTTGATAAGGGTGTTCACAGAATTCTTGTTTATTGACGATGCTTTCTTTTTGGCAAATTACTTGAAACATCTCCATGCTCAAATATTTTCGTGACGGCTTCTTCAAAATTATATTTTGTCTCTTGTGTTTTCTTTTTGAGAAAAAGAACTACGCCTGCAGAATAAATAAAACGAAACTTCATGAAATAGAGAAACGTAAATGATAAAGTTTTTCAAAGAATTTCATCCCAATTCATGTTGATATATACATTTTACGTATATATTTAAATGGAAAGCTTTAAAAGCGTAGAAGAAATTTCAATTTCTTGACATTATTTACTTTCTCATTTTTTCCAGCCAACTGAGCATTGAATAACATGCTACGAAGTCATCTAATTACGTCAAATAACGAAGCTTGATAAATTGTTAAGAATATTTATTACAAGCACAAGCCGTTGTCAGTTTTCTGAAGCTATCAGCTATAAAAATGTCAATATTAATGTTAACAATAATTACTCATAAGCATGGATCCTAATTACTTTTCCCGTTATTTGCATGAAGGAAGGGGAAGAGATTAATATCTCCTAGTCCAAAGAATCATTCTATGCTTGAACACATCATTTAATCTCTTCCACCTTTTATACCCTTTATCATTCAATAAGAAAAAATGTGATTGGAAAAGATTTTCTATCCTTTTTTAGTTTTAGGAAAAGTAAGACATTTATGTTCATGTCATCTATTTTTCATAAAATTATACTGAATGAGTAGCTGATAATAGCTGAGAATTAGAAGTTTACATGTAGCAGTGTTCATTCACCTTCAAAATACAACTAAATTAATTACTCAAATTTTAAACATTGCACAAGCGTGTTTCAATCTCAGCTGCTGGAAAAATGAGAAGAAACCAACACTGTAGGGCATGAAACAAAAGGTCTTTAATTAAAAACTGTCAGTCCTTCATAATATGTCTTAATTAAATAATCATAACATCTTTTGGCAAAACCTCTTCTTCAAGCCGTGAATTCTCAAAGATGAAGGAAAATTTCTTGACAGGGAACATTAATAAAGGTTTGACTCATCATAATACATACAACCCATGACCAAAAAGAAATCTCTTATGTTGAAAGCTTGATCTTTTGTGTCCTCCGATGCCTAAATATGAATTAAAACAAAAGTCAATCATTTTGGCTTTTTTTTGAGTATGTGAACGTGTCCCATATAGTTATAAAAACAAAAGAAAAAAGATTTACGTTCTCAACTGCGAAGACTTCTTTTCATTTCTTTGACGAAGCATTAGTCTTAATCCACAGCCTGTCCAATTTATCAAAGCATTCTTGCATACGACTTTAAGCTCAACTTAAATTGATCGGCTTATTAGGTGTTTCATAGTACATTAAACAAACGTGTCAGGCTTAGATAACAATGTGAAAAATAATGCAAATAATACTGAAAGAAGTTAACAAAAAACATAACTTAATTAAACGTTAAGTCTAGACTGTAGACAAAATATATTTTAATTGTGAGAAAGAAATATGAAACTTTATTTAATAGATATATAAACTGATTTATACGTCACTAGGAAAGAACTGATCAATTGCAATTTTTTAAAAAATGTTTAACAGAAAAAATAATTTGAGTTGAAATGTTCCAAAATCTTGTGAAATTAATTAAAAGCAACCAATTTCTCATTAAAAATATTTTCCCACCTCAGAACAAACGAACAAAGAATAAAATGAATTGAATAACATCTGAAGTTTTAAATTTTGAACAAACATAAACCACTTAGATCACAATAAAATATTTTCGTCTTCTGAATAATTTTACTATAAATATTGACACAAAAATGAAAGCTTTTCATATTGAAGTAAAAGAAAATTAAATTAAATATAATTTGTAAGAAACATTTTTCTTACAAATTCTTATTATATTGAACAGTCTACTTGGAATTTCAGGAATGAGTTTTATGCGAAAGCCTTAATAAAGATGTTGAAATTTAGAAGTATTCAATGTTAAATTTATTGAGCCGTAAAATAAAATTAACACAATGATTGATGCTTCCGAAAACGAGGCTTAAATAATCATGCGGAAATATTCGCACAATAAATCACCAAAAAAAGGTCATAAATTTAAATTTAATAAGTATTGAAACAGTAGCTGCTTTTAACTTAAAAACTATATTGATCAAAGATGTTTCCCAGCCGTTCTTCATCTCATATAAGTGCAAAAATCAATTTTATTCCCTCTCATTTATCACAATGATATTTAAAAGCATCAACAGTGCATTACAAATCACATTGACGGAAAAATATGAAAAAAATTCTCTTAATAAATAATTCTTTCTATCAAATAGTTATTAAAATTGTATAAAAACTGGTAGAGTACTCGAGTTGTACCTCACAAAGTTTCATTTTCATTCATCAGACAGATCAGAGACATCACATACATATTAACACGACAAAAAATGTCGAAAATATTTTTCCATATATTTTTTGTTATCTCTGCAGCTTTGGTTGCCGTTTATGGGGTAAGCACGAAATGCGAGAAAACTGTCACAACCGCAACTCTTAATGGTCTTAAAAAATCATTGAACGAAAAAAAAGTTTGTTCCGGAGATTTGATATTTGAAGAAACCTTTGATAGTTTCGACCTGAATGTATGGCAACACGATATCACTTTTAATGGTGACCAAGTAAGTTCAAAAGCATTCGAACCGCAAGTGCAATTTCCCTATCCTTTTTTATTGGTTGTTTTAGAAATGGGAATTTCAATGGTACACAAACAATCGAAGCAATTCTTTTGTCGAAGACGGATGTTTGAATCTTCGTCCTTCAATCACAGCCGATGATTTTGGTGAACTATTTCTACACACTGGGACGTTGGACTTAAATGGAGCTCTGAACGAACAGTAACAAAAGAAAAATAATTTATATTTTATTTTAAAGTATTTATTTGAATTTAGATGTACAGATGCAAGAAATTCAGGTTGCAAACGTAGTGGAAGTCATATGAACATCATAAATCCTATCAAGAGTGCAAGAGTCAGAACCTTCAATTCATTCGCATTTAAATATGGAAAAGTCGAAATTAATGCAAAAATGCCATCAGGAGATTGGCTTTTACCATCTATTAAGTTTTTACCAAAAATTAATGCATACGGTTTATGGCCAGCATCAGGTGAAATTGACTTAGTTGAGTCAAGAGGTAATCGTGATCTGCTTAAAGATGGATTCAACATTGACAATGATCAAATTACATCGTCTTTGCATTTTGGTCCTTACATAAATGTTGATGCTTGGAAAAAAACGTCGTTCCCTAGGAATTCAAGCGAAAAGGGCAAAGGATTTAACAACACTTTTCATCGCTATCAAATGGAATGGAGTGCTGACAAAATCACTTTCAGTGTTGACGATATTGAAACTTCAACGGTGAAGCCTAAAAGCGGATTTTGGGAAATAGGAGATTTTGATTTAAAGCTTCCGTCTATCAACAATCCTTGGGCTACAGGATCGAAGCTAGCACCTTTTGATCAGGAATTTTATCTCTCTATTAATCTTGCTGTAGGCGGCGAAGGTTTCTTTCCAGATCACACTGTAAATGTTGTGTCAGAAAAGGCATGGAATAAAGAATCAGTAAATGCCATGAATGATTTTTGGTATGCTAGAAATACTTGGTTGCCAACATGGAAAATTCACGAAAATCGAACAAAAGAAGCATCACTTTTGATCGATTATATTCGTGTATGGGCTTTATAAAATATAAATAAGATTTCGTCTGTTTTAAATCAATACATGTTTCAAATTTAGAAAACTATTGAAGTAAATAAATATAGGAGTTAGTTATTAATACTTAGATAGCATAAAATGTAATCAGCATGAATGAGAATTTATAGAACGTAATTAATTCAAGTTCACTTTGATTGCTCATTTAGTATTTTTGTTCAAACGTCAACGTTTTAATTTAACGTAGATAATTTGATACAGAAAAAATATGTTTTGCTAGATCACTGTAGTTAAAGTTGGAAAGAATCCTACAAATAATCAAAAAATACTACCTAACTGATAAGTAATTTTATTATTACGTTTTTTCGTAGTATACAAAGGCATTTGAAGTTCCACCATTCGATTCAAATCAATTTGATCGATTATTTTAACGCTTTGTGAAGTATTTCTATAGTTAAGGAAACCTGAAAATAAGATCCTTAAAATGAAAGAAAAAAATAACATCGTGAAGCATAATTAAAGCAATATACTGTCCCTGCTTCAATTAAAGCTACATATATACACAATTCTCCTTCTGTGTGTATTTAAGTAGATAAAAGAAGCATATTGTTCACAAGCCAATTAATTTCATCCGTTGCTGTAGCTAACGTTCTTTCATTTTCTGGGCGAAAAACACAAACAAAAAACATTATTCGCCACTTCTATTTGCTTGAAGCACTAATATAGGGTAAAAATCCACATTCACTTTACTTCATGTACAACTATTTAGTTTTTATGATTAAATCGATGAAAACCTTGATGTTTTTAAGATTATACTGTTTTTAGTGATGTCGAAAACGAAAACGAAAATTTACCCTATTATTTTGGTCGTGCCTTTTAGAAGTCGAGAGAGGAATCGTTAATGGCATTTCTCTCTTCCACAAGTGGTATATTTTCTACATATTATATTTTTTTCATTGAGAAGAACTCTCCACTCATGATACTAACGTTCCCTCTTAGCCATCTACTACCGACATACTTACGTTTCCTTCTTTTTATGTTTGTTTGCATTGAGATAATCACTTGAATTGTATAAAGAATAATGACTTTAAAATTAATTAACATGGAAATAAGGTCTCCACAGCTATGAACTTCCTATTAAGCAGAAGCTACAACAGAAATGTTTGTTATATTATTGTAAATGTTTATTATATTATATACTTGTTATTATTGGATGATGTTGAAGCAACAATATTTATTCAAAACAATGCAATGTAAAGGTAAGTTTACAGAATTTAGTGACTTAAATATTTTATACATCCATGTCAGAAAATTTAGTTTTTTGTTCCTTCTTTGTCATTTTCTTATTAAATGAAAATAAACGTGAAAAAGCAGTTGGATATTTTAATTCAATCTGATTAATTAATTAAATGTAAAACTTTTCTTAAAGAAGAGTTTGAGTCATTAAGTTAATAATATTCACCATACGATTTTTATGATTTTTGCTGGATTTTTTATAAACTTCGTGACGTTACATTTATATGAAAATAAATAATCTGAGCATTGAAATTTTTCATAGAAATATATGAGATTTTTTTTTTTAAAGAGAAACGCAAGCTAAATCTCACGATTCTTTTGGGGAAAACCCATCGTAAACTCATTTCAATGACTTGAAGTGATTCAATTTATTTATTTATTTTTTTAATTTCTTCAGTTTTGCTACAAATTTTATGTATTTGATTTAATCCGAAAACATTTCAGCGGTGTGAATACTTTTGAGCACACTTGACGTTACTTCCAGTAAGGTCCAGTAATGTTTTATCTTTAACACTTTAAAGAGAATAAAAAAAATACTGAGAGGTTTTAAAATTGATAGAGTATAAAAATGACTGCTCCGACATTCATGAGTTTAGTTTAGAGGTGGAACAAGACAAGAAACAACATCTGTGCTGTCAGCAAGTTTAAATAAGTGGCATAAAAATAACCATAACAAAATATATAAATATATTTAAACATTGATATATAATAATAATAATAATGAAAGTTCAGTTTTTGCTTCCTTTTATGCTTATAAGTGTTATTAATGCTCAACGAGGATCATACGCAGGTGTAAGGCCGATTGAAAATGGAATAAAAGGACCTTTTCCAAGTCCACCGCCAACGAATATTAATAATCGCTTTGGTGACGACAGTATTGGAAATGGCTTACCAGTCGATGCATTAGGCGACTACAATTTGGTTAATAAATTGAGTCAACTTCCTCTGAATAAACAACCATTTTGGCTTTTGAACTATCAACATATTGAAGCTCATCGTAATCAACCACAATTTACAGGACAAGCAATAACAAATCGAGGCTCTTTTACGGGTCGTTAAATTATTGTCTGTGACGAAGGCTTCTTTAATTTAATTTTTTTTATATGTAAGCATAAGAAAGTTCCTTTACGATGTGGAATAAAATTTTAATAAATTTTCCAATCATGTGTTTGACAACAAAATATATGTGTATGTGCGGTCGTGTCTTTTAGACAGAAATGACTTTTATATAAGTCTAAATATTGTACCGTAGATATAGTAGAAATAATCATAGATGTCACACGAAAATGCTCAAAACTGGCCATCGAAAAATGTTTTATTATAACTTATTATGAGTTGGAAAATGTTCTTTGGATAGATTCAAAAGCAAATGTAACAGTATACAAAAGAAATTGTCATCTACGCATTATGAATTTGGATGAGGTATCATTGTTTATCCATTAATAGACTTTTAATAAAAATGAAATAGATCTACTGATATATATTAGTTGTTCATTCATGAAACTTGTGTTCAGTTAGGCTTCTCCTTGTTCTGTCTTTATGATATCAATGATAAATAATTTCAATGAAATGAAAATGTTGTACTTTAAAGTAAAATGAAAAAATAATCAAATCATCAATCGAAAGTATGTCAGAATTTGAAGACATTGACTATTATTTTGAGTAATTAAAAACATTTCCCAGTAATTTGTGGTCAAGGAAAAATCGATGAACCTCTTTTCTAACTCGATAAACGATCCGACATGCTTAATACTTTTTCAGAGCTGCAGAGCAAACATCAAACTCGGCTGTATTATATTTAGCATGATAATTGCTTGCGTGAGCTTCAACTCGACAAAATATTGTGACCATTTACATAAAATATTTATTTTCATTCCCTAATTACTGGTAGCGGGTGCTTGAATAAAGGACGATAATCACTCATTTAAACTCGTTATAGTCACTTAAATATGTATTCATATTAATATACGCACTGTGAAAAGTCTCATTCTTTACAACTCGTACCAGTTCATTTGAATTTTCGTGAAGTCATTTTTCGGAGTAATAATTATTATTACTGATTATTTTCACCAGCATTAACTTAAATAATCTCTTAGTTATTGAATTAGCAGAGTAACAATTTTTAAGTTTAACGTACAATAATAGAATAGAAAACTCAATTTTCCTTTTCCTTAATTTATCAAAGTATCTATAAATTAAACATGTATTGATCTTGTAGATTCTAAGTTATAAATAATAATCAGTGCTTGGAATTATTAAAAATGAATGTCATGAATGGATAGGTTTCTTTATTCATTGCATTTTAGATATTCATAAAGAAACGTTTCACATGCCTAACTACAAGAAACTTACAATAGATACAATAAATTAATTTTGCTGACTATAACTCAATTTAATTTAAAAATCATTCTCGAAACTCCGGAAAAAAATATAAAGTAAGATTTCTAATTTTGTCTAGTCTGACTTTGACACAACGCATATTGAAATAAAACACTTAATTACTATAATTATCTAATTATGGTAACAACTTTCAAGAGAGAAAAATTCAAATGTTTTCAAAAGCTTTCAACTCGAATATTTCCTTAAAGTTATGCAATCATGATGCATTTGCTGTAGAATTTTCTTTAAGGAAAATTTAATAAAGTTAATTGTTAAACAGAAAAGCTTCGTACTTAAACTCATCTTCAATAAATGTAAAGAAACATTTTAATTATAACTGAGTTAGATATTTCACTACTTTTCGAAAAATCATCAAACTTGAAAAAATGTTCGACTGAGTTGAAAGAATCTATAATTTTCTTTACTACATTTTTTCAAAGATTTTTTTTTTCAATTTTTTATCTAATGAAGATTTTATTACTACATATAACAGCTGCAACATTTTTTGTAGCTTTTATGTAGCTTTATCAGTAAATGTTTTATGAAGATGTGATATTTATTTTATTTATTTTTATTTATTTATTGCATTTGAGCTGCATTAACGGGCATTACCCTTAAGCGGCAGCAAATAATTGTCATTAACAATTTTTTATATGATTACATAAAGCTATATATATATGATTTTGTACTTGTTTGCATGATAAAGATTAATGTTTAACAATATTTGTAATCATTTGTCAATTTGTTTTCACAAAATTTTATCAAATTTAGTTTGTCATTATATTTAAAGATTTTTTATAAATGTTGAGATGTTTGATTGAGAAAAATGCTGCTGGTTAATGCACATTGGAAGCAAGCTCCATGTTACTCCATCATCCAACATACATTCCAGCAACGTAGAAAAAAACTCAATCTATGCTAAATTATTGGCTTGTGATGATTCTTGGGTTGATAATCGACTGACGTATTTGATTGAATTATCATTTGGTTGATTTCTTAGCCAATTGTCGTTGTTTTGTAATTTGTTGAATGTGTTCATCAGTCTGTTGAAAAGAGAGAATTTCCCGACATCCGTTTTACTTCCTGTCGTTTTAAAAACGTCATTTTTTCTTGTTATTGAGTTGAGTGGTGAGAATTTAAAGTGATGTAGATATGATTGTGAGTCCATAATGTTATTGAAAGATTTTGTTGTGAACTTCACATCAGCAATTTTTCTTCTTAACTCCAGATTGTCCATCTTGAACCGTTTCTCAATTTCACTATAATTAAGTGAATCATCTTTCTTGTTAAGACATTTAAAAGCAAGAAAACGTAGGAATTTATGTTGGATACTTTCTAGTTTGTTTGTTTGAAGTTGTGTATTGTAAGGATTCCATATTACCGATGCATATTCTATGTTGCTTCTTACAAGGCTATTATAAAGAGTGATAAAAGTATTTGCATCTTTGAAGTATTTTCCATTTCTTATAATAAACCCTAACATTTTCCTTGCCTTTCCAGAGATGTAGCTAATGTGATCATTAAAATTTAACTTGTGATCATAAATGACTCCTAAGTCGCGAGTTGAAATTTTTCTTTCCAGTTCTTCACCTTCAATATGATACTGAGCGCAAATTAAGCTTGATTGTTTCCTCGAGAAGCTCGTTACGATGCATTTTTTTTGCGTTGAGTGTCAGATTGTTCGTCTGTGCGTAAGTTATAAGCTTGTCGATGTTTGATTGTAGAATTTGTGTGTCAAGTGGCTCATTAATCTCCTTAAAGATTTTGAGAGATATAAAAAGATTCCAAACAATCTCGTTTAAATTGTGAAATATAAAAATTAATAAATTTTTTTAGTTCACTAAAAGTAATTTCCAATCGTGCTGGACAATAAATTATAAATGCTTATAAATATATTTTTGTAGTCGGGAAAACTTTTTTTATGGTGGATCATATCAAATAGTGAGGCCATACGTATTACAACCACTTTGCCAACTTTCGTAGCGTATAATAGAAGTTTTGAACTTATTTGAAATTAAGAAATCAAAACTATCTAAACCTTTTTCATTGTATTAATATTTTCATTTTTGATTTATTACATGTACCTATGTATGTTTGAATTTGCAGAATCATTGCTCGCTTGCAATTCTAAGCTGAGGCTTGCATTTGCATTCAAATTAAGCTAAATCTATTATTACTCTAATGCACTCTTCATCACACTTGTTATCATTTTAGAAAAATGCTCCTTTTTATTTGTCTTGACAATCGATTTCTCATTCATCTATGTACATGTAAAATGAATAAAAAACTTCTTTTAACTTTTCACTCAGCCCAATTCAAAAATAAGTAGGTATGCTATCAATTGAGTAAGGCGAAATTTTTTTAGTTCGTGCGAAAATGATTGTTTCTCTTTTAAATTTTCCTTACAATATTATAGACCTCTAGTTAACAGGTCATGATACTTAAGTATCAATAGATGTGTTTTTCATCAACATATTAAGCAACTAATTTGAATTTGAAAATTATGCAGTAGATATTAACATACTAGGTAATTCAACCGCGACTTGTCTTTAGTAAGTGTGTGGACGAAAACGAAACAAGGTACTCCATCTATATTTGATTAGCAACTTTAAAATTATTATTAGATAGTTAGTATCGAAATGTAATTCTATAGCAAACTCCTTAGAAAAGTTTTGCATATTTTATTTCATAGACATTTATAATAAGTTATAATTTTCAATTAATTAATAAATTGAATATAGCTCTATATTAAAATACCTGTACGGAAAATTTTTCAATGAATAAAGGTTTGGTAGTGTTGTCATAGTAACTCTTTCTCGTAACACTAACCACCATTAAATAATTGCAATATTTCAAATAGAGAAATAAATTAATTCAATAAAATTCATAAAAAACATAAAAGATGAGTATCAAACCTGTATTCTCTTTCTCGATTGATATGAAGCTATCGGAGAAAGGTGTATCTGTAGGAAAATATGACGGTGAAACCGCAAGCTTGACAGCTATAACTCAATCGAATAAGGTGAAGAAATTTATATTTCGAAAATGTGTTGATTAAATCAGTTCTTTGGTTTTCTTTTTGTGATGAAAGATTATCATTCACAGACCACATCGAAAATTGAATTTGGTAAGCACTCAAAAGGCTTGGTCTGAGATGAAGAAAGACATCGGAATGTTGTCAATCAATTATTCAATTACAGCAATAACAGCAGGAAAATTATCAAAATCCTCTGAAAATGATTATTTAGCAATTGGGAGCGACACAAATATTTTAGTTTACCAAGTTAATGATAATCTGGAAGTTTTTTTTAAAGAAATAACTGAAGGAGTCTTGTGCATGATTATAGGGACAACTGACGATAGAGCAGGTCCGATGCTTTTTTGTGGATCAAAACAAACAGTTAGAGGATTCAATGAACATGGTGATGAGATTCTTTGGATTGTAACATCATGTTTTGTAAACTCGATTGAACTATTCGACTTTAATCGGGATAATGAACTTGAGATTATTCTTGGGTGTGAAAATGAGAAGATAAAAATTTATAAGAACGACAAGTTCATTCGAGAGTTGAATGAAAGTGGACCAATTAAGAAAGTAATCAAGATTAATTCACTTTTGGCATTTATTCTCAAAAACGGTACAATTGGTATTTACGAAGGACATGTCCGCCTTTGGCGCATAAAAGCGAAATCAACTGCTTCAAGTGCAGCATCTTACGATATTTTAGGAACAGGTCATATGCAATTAGTCATTGGATGGGAGAGTGGAAAAATTGATGTTCGAGATCCTCGATCAGGTGATGTGCTGATGAAAATGATGTCGTCAAACAAAATTATTGGTCTACTTGTAACAGATTATCGTGGATTAGGGAGTAATGAGTTAATAAGTATATCAGAGCAAGGGGATATTCAAGGCTACATGACTTCATCAATTAACCTTGCACCAATATCAGCATGCGATGGTTCACAAATCAGTGAGATGCTTAATCTGAAACAAAACCTACTCACAGAACTTATTCATTATGAAAACAATTTGCGAGTCAATGATGCTTTAACTTCAGCTTCTGATGATTCATTAACAACTGTGAAACAACTGAGAGCGGTTGCGAATGACTTTGCTATTATTCCAGCTAATACTCGTTTATCCATCGGAATTTCAGCTGATGAAATTAAAAAATCAAGTGTTGAGGTCAGTATCAGCACAAACAATTCAACAATTATTAAAGCTGTTATAGTGTTCACCGATGGAATTTTTCCGAATGGAGAAGTTTTGATAGTTCACCCACCAACTAAGAGAGTAGTTTCAGGTATTTACTCGGGAATTCAGTCGGCAAGTAGTCGTATTAGTGGAGTATCGAACATAGTTATTCCATTGAAAATTCCAAAAGATGAAGTAATTGATGTTCATATAAAAGCATTTGTGGGAAGCGTCGATGGAAATCAGTTCCATGTTTTCGAACTAAATCGTCAACTCCCAAAATTTTCAATGTATTCTTTGCCCGAGAAAATCAGCGGTTCACCAAAAGGATTTGAAGAGATTTCAAAGTTATCTGAAAACTTCTCTTTAAAAGCTCCTGAAAGTTTTGTGAAATTTAAGGTCGCTGAAAGAGTTTCAAGATTTTGTATGTTTATAAATCAGAACTTTCTATTACCGGCTGATATTGAACCACCAGCGAACGAAATAGATTCATTTGATTTTCTTAAACTATCTTTAGTTTCTCTTCGTGATGCTTCACCTGTCATCATTACGTTTTACAATGATTCGAATATTATCATTCAAACAGAAAACCTTGAACTTGCAGGTAATCTTGTTCAATCGATTGCAGAATTCATGAATATCACGAATCTTGATTCATCTGCTTCATTTCCCGGTACCGTAAGTAAATTTCATGAGTTATTTGAAAAGCTCCAAGGACTACAAGAATCAGCAAACGTTCTAAGAACTGATACAGCACTGAAAATAAATCTTGCTAAAATCTTAGTAATAAGAGCCGAAGATGCAAAAATCACAAACATGTGAGTTTTATTTAGTTTTTCAGGGGTTCTCAATACCCATTGTTATTATTTTGGAGAAGTTTATGATTGGGTTAAGTTTCCAAGAATAATTTTCTTTTGGAAGGGAATGAAATTTGAATCATTTTCAGTAAAAAAGTCGTTGGTTTCTACAATGAATTGATGATGACTAACGAGGAGTTAATGACATCTTTCAAAATCCGAACAGAAAATTATAACGAGGTTCAGCGTCTGCTAAAAGAAATAAATCAAATTTTATTTAGGGCACAACGCTTAAGAGGTGAGTTTTCTTAGTAAACAAACAAGATTTTTAGGAATATTCTTCATTTTTTTTCTAGTTGGAAATGTTGCAACAAAAATGATGACACAATACAAGGAAGCACTTCTTCAGAAAAATGTCGAGAAGCTTGTTCAAATTATGGAGATGGGAAAATAAATAATCGACTGTTGAAGTTGCTATGGAAACACATAAAGATATGTATTGAACATTAAACATGTAATATTAAATTTCTTTGTATTCATACACACTCATCAGCCAATAAATACTAGAGTTTTATAATTCAACAACCGAACTTGTTTTATTGTAGATATATTATAAAATAAAATATTTTCCTTTATATTTTAATTCTTGTTTTTCGTAGAAATTAATTAATTCACTAGCAAATTATTGAAAATGGACGTTGTTGAAGAAGCTTGAGTAAATATAGAATTCATCAACATGATTATCTATCTCGTAAAAAACAATCAGAGTCTTTGTGTCTACTAAAAAACGATCAGAGACTGTGAGAAATGTGGAAAAGAAAATCTTTGAGTCCATCTTTAAATCAGTAGCATAAATATAAAAAATTAGAAGATAAGTAACAAAGACGCTTTAAAAATCAATCAAAGAAAAACATTTTTACGGAAAATTTTTAATTTACAGTGAACTCTCGTTATAACATTCTCTCGTTATAACATTTCTCTCGTTACAACATTCATTTCGAAAATAATTTCGAACGAAATCGCGAACAAAATTTTCTCGTTACAACATTTCTCTCGTTATAACATCAATGCTGTCAGTCCCTTCGAAAATGTTATAATGAGAGTTCACTGTATTTTGAAATTTTCAGAGACAAAATTTTTTTAAATATCTAATTTAATAACGCATTAAGCGTTTTTCATCATCATCAGAAAATGGGTAGAACAAACATTGACCGTGATGAGTCTTTATTCGTCTCAGTTAAGGACTAGACTCGTAGTACACCCTACTGATGTTTTCACGATGACGGAAAATAAATTAAAATCAGGCGTTTTTATTTTTTAGTCAAGCAATTCTACTAACTTAGTATATTCTTACTTTAAAAAGATGTTGTTCACATTTGTGACTTCCAAATTCTTATGAACCAAAATTAAATGACAGATGGGAAAAACACCAAAAAACATCATAAAATTTCAATTTAAATAATAATAATTTAGGTAATTTTATTAAACGTAAACGATTTTCATTCACATTCCAATAATGCTTAAATTATTTTGTTTGAAAAATAAATAAACTCATCCATTCAGCGGCACGGCAGTAAGGTATATATCTTAATTCTCGTTATAATAAAAAAGATTAATCCATAAAACTCATATATTTAAAGAGCATCACGGGAATATTTTTTTCACAAAGCGTGTTGAACGACTTATTAATTTTTTTATTTTGCCATGCTTTTTCTCGCACAGCATTTCTCGCTAAATGTTTCAATGAAAATGGATTGTATTTGCGAAGCGGGGGTAGAAATCTATAGTTTTTCTCAGTTCCGTAATTTGTGATGAGGAAGTTGAGTGCATCTATAATTTCCTTTGTATCGACGCAGAAGTATCTAATTTTTTTCCAATAACTGAGGTCAATGAAAAAATCCGTACAAAACGGCAGTAAAAGTTGAATCACTTGGAGAAAATTTTTACTTCGTTTCACAAGCTTTCCGCCAAAGGTAAGCGATCGTAAATAATTGAACATTTCTAAGTTGAGATCACATCCTTTTTCCTGGAGATATTTCAAATTTCTAACAAGTTTCCACTTTGTATAAAAATCGCTGAAATCACAGTTATTATCAATAAATGTATATCCCATGTCACGATGGACGTCTGGCAATTTAGCAACGAGGTTGTTTATATGTAAAAATTCCATAATGACAGGAAAATTTTCATCATTTCTCGATAGCATTTTCTCAAACAACAGTGTAAAGTCAGTGACTTGATCGTCCATAAATAATGTGAAATCATCTCTGGTGGTCTCCGTGAATAAAACTACGTTAAAGAAGAGGAAAATAAATATGTGTCGTGTGTATTAATAATTTTTCTCATTTTCCGCAAAACCTGTCATCATTTGAAGTATGTATATGATAAACAACAAAGCAATATATACCTTGAACCGCAGTCTCCCGTTGGACAGCTGAGGTTTCCATCTTCTCTTAGACGAATAACAAATAACGCACAGATGGTCAAGAGATCAAAAAAAAAACAAAGAATAAGAAATAGTGTCACGGTTATACACAGAATCAACAATTTTTTTTGTATGAAAAGAAAACTTTTTCAACGTAAATACGTATAAAACTGTCAACAATAATATGCGCAGAGCAATCAAACCTTTTAAATTTTCAATAACTTGTAAATTTTTCACCACCTACAATTTATTGTCAGTTATCAATACAATCTTAATGTGAATAATTTGACTTCGTTTAAAAATTCAATAGATGTGAAAGAAAAAAAACAAATTTTCTTGCGACTTCTCTGTACGCTTTCACAAATATCACTGACTGACGGAGAGATGAAAATGATTCGTCTGGGAATTGTCTGTGGGAAAATTTCGAGGAAATCTCGACTATCTAAATAATAATATGAACATCACATTAAAAGTAATAAAACCCTACGTAGAATCATTAAGTAGTTCAGGAAGAGATCAGAGTGAATGATTCTCATTGATGTGTGGAAAGTTTTTTTTTGTATTATAAAATAGTGCTCTGAGTAATTTATTAAAATGATGATTCTTAAATTCATGTCATTTCGTCAAAAGTTTTGGCATTTTCATTAGAGGAAATTGCTTTTTCTTTACAATTAGTTTAAATACTCTATTTCAGAAATGTAATTTTCACTCCACATGTTAGTTTATTTCAATTTTATCTTTGAAGTGAGGTACATATAATTATAATATGTATCTCATTACCTTCCTAACAATTTTAATTGACATTAAATCGCTCTTACGGAACATTTGAAAAAAAAAACCAAACAATATTGACAACTTAACGGAATTTTACATAAAATTTAAAATAAAAATTATAGAAAATTTTGCTTATATTTGCTATAAAAATTATTTCAATGTTTTGATTATAAAAATTGAATATAAATATCAAATACTACAATATTTAGCAATTGCATGTTGAAGTAATTATTGAAAATATTAATTTTATTTTAAATAGTTATTGAATTTTTGAGTACAACATTTTTCGAATAGATTTCATAGATTTTATAGACATTGAGCGTACTTCAGAATGGCTCTTCTCATAAGATGTTTAAATTATCAAAGTCGCATGATTTTAAGACAGTTTTCATCATCTAGAGTTTGTTTTCAAATAGAGAAATCAAATGATCGCCAAAAAATTGTCAAATCTGAAAGTCATAAGGATATTGGCAAAGCAAAACCTTTTGGTGAAAGAGTTAAAGAAACAGCAAAGACGACTAGTTATTTGGGAATTATTCTCGTGGGGGTTGGCGTTACAGGAATAATGTTATATGCGATATTTAAAGAATTGTTTTCTAATAATAGTCCTCAAGCTGTTTATTCAGATGCTTTCGAGAGATGTAAGGCTGATACAAGAGTTCAGGATTCACTGGGGCTCCCAATAAAAGCATACGGAGAAGAAACAAGACGGAGACGTCGTAATCATGTCGCTCACCAAATTTATCAGAAAAATAACAGAAATTATATGCGACTTTCCTTTCATATTCAAGGGATTAGAAATAAAGCAACAGTGCATTGTGAAATGAGAGAGGTAAATAGCATCCTTATTATTTATAATTCTCTAAAAATAAAATGTTATAATTTAATCCAGAGTGATTCGGGGAGATATGAATGTCGCTATCTATTTGTGCAACTTGATTCTTATCCTCATACGACCATAATTGTTGAAGACAACAGATTCAATGATCCATTGGATTCTCCTGCGGATTAATCGACATCAGTTTTAAGTTGAATATTTTGCTCACTGAGCATATACAACTGCTAGTAGCTCTTTTGTGCAGTTCTAAATATAAAAGAATTTATAATATCTAATAAAAAAGTCAAACAAAAAATTAATTAATTAGGTATTATTTTATTTTTGCCTTCATAAAGTTTTTTTCATTTGTTTAGTTCTTCCTCCTACACACGTTCATTGTGAAATCTGACAAATTTGGATTTTATTTCATATTCTAAAAGTTTTTGTTCGATATTCTTTTCTTATATTCTCTTTATCTCTTTAATAATAATTTCAATATATTTTTCCTTTTCATTCCTTCATAGTTTATTCTGTATAATTTTATTTTCTTTACAACTTCACAACAGAAGTTTTCATTAAAGAAATCTTTTGAGTGCTTTTAAATGTGTATTCGTGTAACTCAATTAGAAATTAACCTATTAATCTGACTTTAATCAAGACTGTTTCATTTCTATCATAATTTCTAACTCTCATAGATATTTTCTTTATCTTTAATGGCAGCAAGATTTATGACTTTGGTTTTTAAAAAATATGTTTTCCTTTAATTTCTTTGTTTAACAATTAATTTGTGACAAACTTACATTTTCATTGTAATCAAAAACTATATCCCTAATTGATGGTTTCAAGAGTTTATTCTTTGCTTTAATAAATTCTATTCTGATCTTTTACCTATTGCAATTGAACAGAAGTGTTTTATTTTTCTACAATTTACATTTGCTTAAAGAAACCTTGATTTTATTTTATAGTTTTCTTTATAAACATTTTAATGTTGTTAATTCTCATCAGAATTTTTTCTATAAGATCAAGAAAATTAATAATTTACTTCAAAGATAATTTTGTGTGAAATGAAAAGAAATAAACAGAACTCAAAAGAAAAAAAACTATAATTAAGGGAGCATTTCATTAAATTTTTAATTTGTCTTAACATATAGAGAATTTATGATAAAAAAGCTCCCTCAAAAGCTTTTTCTTCGAAAAATTTATCTTTGTTTATATCATGATTAATTTAGCTTTTCTTAACTACACAATCAATAAGTAGATGTATTTCACAGGACTTTTATGCATGTGCTTCTAGTCCAATTCAATATTGAATTTTTCTGTTGTTCTAAGCGTTTCATGAATGAAAGGATAATAAAAATTTCAACAGAACTTTTTTTCAACTTAAGCAAACGTTCATGAATATTTAATAATTATTTTTATTATTATTTTTGTATTGCTATTGATCATAATTGGTTATTGATCATACATAATTTTTTAAAGGCAAATAAGTGATTTAATTTTTTTTTTCATTTTTCTCATTTTAGTTTTTATTATTTACGGAAAAAATTTTGTGACCATCAAACGACATGATTTTGAAACGAAATTCATGTAAACTTAACACGTTCAACTTAACAGAATTTTTACTTGATTTCTTTATATCGTTATAGATTTTATCGTCATCATGGTTTTTAATTCTACACAGATACTTATCAAGTATGAATCTGCCTATGTATGAATTTTAATGCTTAAAAATTAAATAACAATCTGATGTCGACAAAAATAATTCATTAAAAATCATAGCTCAACAACATACCTTTCCAAATAAGAATTGCATCAAGATTCTATAAGAAATATTAAATAAGAGACTGATTAAAAATGTCTATAAGAAGAGACTTGCTCGTATGTTGCTGTAATTATCTTTAGGACAATAATAATTCGTGAGTAATATCAAAATTTATGTTAAACAAAATATTTAGAATGGTTCAGCATACAAGAAAAATGTTATTTGTTATTTATGTACATATTGTCAATTCTTTGTATTTATAACTTATTCATCCGGGGTTTTTAATTCGTTTGTCATCAAATGAATTGCATATGCCTTTATCTTTTTGCATTTTTAATTAACCACCTAAATTTTTTTCTCAATTGTTTAACCATCATCAATGCATTAGATATTTAAAAAAGAACATTTACTTTTATAAATTTTTGTGGCAGTGCATGGTGTAAATTTATTTCATTAAATTTTCGCTAACCGCAGTGGATTTCTTTTCGATGAGAAGATTTATGAGCAGCAAAAGCGTTATAAAATTTCGAATGAAAAAAAAGAAGCTTTTTAAAATTTGTTTTGAAAGTTTGGTCAAATTCTAAACTAAACATAAACAATGAGAGTAAACTTTTAACAGATATTTTTAGCGTTATGGATCAAAATATAAAAACATTTAATGATTTGTGGAACTTGAGAAATATTAATTATAAGTATATTTCTTTATCAATCTTATAAATCACGCAATATAATTAATACTCGAATTGAATTATCGTTTAGCTTTCAGTGCTTTTAAAAAATTCACTCCTAAATTTTTATATTAAATTCAATTATCCACAGTTTTAATGTATAAATTATGAGTATAGGATGAAGATTAAATCAAAGTGAGAACCTATTAAGTTAAACGGACATTTCAAAAAAGTTGAAGCTTTAACTAGACAAATATTAGGAAAATCGATGTTCATTGTATTTGCTACTATCTGGCTGGACTTAAATAGCTTTTCTAAATTATTATAGTTTTTCACTGTATTTTTCACTGATTTTCACTAAATCTGAATCATAGATTTCTTCAGCGATTAATACTTTTCTTGAAGCGTCTATTCTACTCTCTTCGTCTATTTTTTATATATATTTTTTTAATTTTACCTTTGATTTGAAAGAAAAAGCAATAAAAATAATATTTCTTGTGATTTTAAAACAATAACTGTCGTTCTTGAAATAAATATAATCTACGTGAATAGTTTCTTTATTTGTTTCATATTTGCTTTATATACAAAAATATTCCTTTTCGTTAAAAGTTAGATATTACTCATACGATTAATGTTCCTTTTTATTTCATTTATAGAAAATAGGATCATTTTTGTCGTCACAAATACAAAATGAGTATAAATTTTCACTTTGAAAAACACTATTGAGTAACGAATACATTGATGGACTTTTTCTTAATTACTTCATTCTCAAACCGCATCAGTCGATAACGTTCCTTTATAGTAAATAAATTCATCGACACTTTTATGTATGCTGTTAATATTTGAGTGAATTGGACAGAAAAGGAATTTTCATATTATTTTGAAAGTGTAAAGCTTTATGCGCGTTAGGCTTGAGCGTTGCATGAGAATGCATTCATAATTGTTTGATGTCGTATACAAATTTGTATCGTTCATTTTGAAATTTTGTATAGACGAGACTTTACATAGAAGATCAGATTTAAATTGAATGAATTACATAAATAGCAGGAAATTAAGATTTCAATCAATATTTGACAATAGAATCATAATTAAGGAAGGCATTCCCAAGCAGGTACGTTCTTTCCTACGCTTCACAGAAAAAAAAATCCAAATAACAAATATCGTGCAAATTTGTGCTTTTGAGGAGACATTATTTAAAAATTTATTCATTTTTATTCTTGCATATCGTCATCATTACTATCAACGATAAATTCATGATGTGATTTAATATTTATTTTATCTTATGCTTCGAAATTCAGGCATTAGACAACTTTTAATGAGTTTATGAAGAAATCATTCATTCCATAAATACGCTAGCTAATAAGTTTTTTGTTCCAAAATTTTTGTTGATTTCTATTTTATTTTTCAGAAAACAAAAGCATATAGTATCCCTACAACCATCCACTCCACGTCTTTCATTCCGTTTTAGTGTTAATCACTGATGTCTTCTTTTTTTTATATTTCTTAACAATATCTTTATTACTTTTATCATATTCATCGTTCAAAATAATAAGCTTCCTCTTTCATCGACATTTTTTATCAAAAAGGGAATCTCTCTTTTATCAGTTGAAGAGAGAAATTTTTTTGCTAAATTTTTGACAGTAAAATGCAAAGTTTAATGTCAAATTTCTTCAACGATTTTAAATTCAAAAGGTCATTTTTATTAAGCTTAATGCTAATGGGAATTGATTACAAAAAAAAAGAAAGTTTCTTTTATATTTCAAGTTGACTGTAAAATTTGCGAATGTCGTCAACACTAAACTCCTTTTTTTACAAAGTTCTTTAACTACGTTTTAAGTTTACTTGTGTATCTTCATCGATGTTGGGCAATATCTGCATGTCGGCGGATAATCCCAACGTTCGTTTATACATTTTAAAATAATTAATTGTTTTGATTATTACCGTGTCGTCACCATTAATAACCGTACCTTTATCAATAATTATTGTTATTGTGTATAGTTTCACTTTTTTTGAATATATTTTAGCATTCATCTTTTACGTTTCCGTATGGCATGCTCATTCTTCCTACTACATTTTTAAGCGGACATTCCAGATGGTTTTCATATAATAACATTAAGTATTGTTATCATCATAACATGTTTTTGCGATTCATCACAATAAATATCTATGACGTTCAGCCCGAGATTACCGACTTATCTCGCCGCGAGCTGAACGTGACCGTCCCTAACTTGATGTGCTAGCAATTGGTGATACTGGTGATAAAGGGCTACGCGCTGAATCGCGTGGACAACCGGATAATGTTATCACAAGCTTTCGTGACCCTGCATGATCTCGATGCTCGCAAAGCCATACACCTTGCCATGTTCCGAGGGATAATTTTCCATCAGTGATTGGGATTGTCAATGAACTGCCAAGAAAGCATGCTTTAACATGTGCCGGCTAAAACAGATTTATTTTTAGATTGTTAGTAGTTGTTTAAGTCTTTCTTTAGATTCACGAAGATGCTGAAAATTTGAATATGTTCACTCACCATATCATCAGGTCCTTCACATGAATGGCGATAAGGTAATCCTTCCGGTACAATTTTATTTAGCATCATTTCCATATCATCTCTGTAAAGTAATGTTATAATTAGTATTTATATCAAAAAAATGTTTGCTTATAGCATATTTAGTAAATTTCTTAATGATTTTATATTAGGTATCATATGTTTCGAGATGTTTCAAATACTCACCTAACATCAGGATCCCAGCTTTCGTTTAATGCTAGACTGGCAGATGTGTGAAGTACTGAAATAAAAAATTGACAAATTAAATAAATAAAATTTACCAATAAAGTAAAAAATTTAGACATTGAAAAACAAAAAATCTCTTATCAATTCAGTTAAACTGAGTAAATATTTTCTGGTCGTGAAATTAAATTTCCAATAAAAGTAATTAGAAGTACAAATAAAATTCAAGTACACCACTGCAAATCAACAGGTCTAACTTAATTTATGATCAAATTTTCTTTCCTGATGATTTTAGCAGAGGGATTTTTTTTCTCAGTATCGATTCGAAAGTGTCGCGTGGCGAATGTCAAAACAATGATAGAAACAAAAGAAAAGGAAATTAAGAACAAGAAAATTGACTTTCACTTTCTCACTATTAAAAATAAACATCTTGATAGTTACAAAAGTTGATTATTTTTAGAAGGAAAGAATAAGTTTTGTCATAGAACTCAAAGTCATCGAGAGAAACTTAAAGTCATATTAATTTATTTATTCAAACGCAAAAGATTGGATAGATATTTGGATAAATAAAGATGAACAGAAATTCAAGCCTTAATTTAGGATTTGATGGAAGCAAAAATAAGAAAAGAAAAGAGTTAAAAGTATTATTTGTGTCTAGACGTGACTCATGCCGTGGGCCAATAGCCGAAACTATATTTCAGCATTTAGCTGAAAAGTACAATCTCAAACATTTTAATCGGTTTTCCTGGAGAGCCAACAGCGCTGGTCTTGAAAAATACAATCAAGGAAATCTTCCTGAACATTTTTGTCTTCGGGTTCTCGCTGAAAATAATTTAGAAACAATGCACGGCTGTCGACAGGTAAGTTTCTAACCTTCGACAGTGAGCAAAGGTTGCAATCTATTTATGTGACTCGTTTGCATGTCATTTCTAATCAATGCTAATCGAACTCGACAGAACACGCTTTGCATGTATCTTTATTTTTCTATTCTTTTCTTTCACTCAATTAGATAAGACTGTTTGATTTTACTCGATATGATTATATTCTTTGCATGGAACCCAAACAGTAAGTTGAGATTTATGTATGAAATAATGCAATAAATAATTAATCATAATCTATATTCATTAAGGTTAGCATCCTTAGTAGAAATGGCTCCAAAAGACAAGAAAGCTCGACTGTTCATGTTAGGGGATTTCATTAAAGGACGTGATAAAATTATTTGTAGTCCAAGCGATGTGAGTTATCAGAAAAAAAAATATGATGAAAAGTTCTTGTATTTTATGACATATTTACAGGAGGATTACAATGCATTTAGAATATGTTTTGAGCGTTTATACATAGCATGCGAAGAATTCTACTTTCATGTTAATGAAAAGAGATTTTACTGACCATCGAATGGCTCACTGCGATGGTTTTCAAGTTTAGTTTAGGAAGCAGAAGAAACGAAATAAAATATCAAGTCTTCTTATATTTGCATAAATTACAAAATCTTTCTACGTTAAGAATATCAAAAAATTAATACCGTACTGGTTGTATTACCTTTTGAAACTAGAGCTAGGTAGACACAAGTATTTCAAACAGTCAAATGACATGCTCATCTTTGTTTCCGAGACATAAATCGGCTCAAGGCTAACATTAAAAATCATTACTTTCGTGAAATAATTTACATTGTAAATGTTGTGCATGTAAAATTTGAAAGTTTATAAATGGCAAAATTTACAAAGAAATTTCCTATGGTCTGTTGAAGAAGAAATTTTTTTTTTTCAATATTTTTAGCATGGTTTTGCATGATTTTACCATGTCTGGTAGTTTTGTTTATCAAAATGTTCACTCTGGTTTTAAAATTTTAGATTTATTCTATTTTAAATTTATTCCGCCTATTTGAAAGATGTCAAAAGAAGTCACTGAAGATATCATTGAGAAGTGAGAGTTAAAATTTCCGACATGTAAATTTCGAATATTTCAAATGGTTTTAAGGAGACGTTGAAATCATCTATAAACCGCGCCTGTCAGCAAGTTTAGTTACGATAAAGATCAGAATATTTTCTTTCAGTTCTCTAACGTCAAATAATTACCATCATCATCATAGAAAAAACAGCATTCTCAAATACATACATTGAAACCATTCATTAACATTTAGAATGATCAACGATAAAGCAAATCATAATCGCATGAGAAGACATGATTTTCTGTGAATTTTGCGAAGACTAAAGCGAGAATTCTACGACATAAATATTATTGAATTCATTTGAAACTTTATGACGAATGACTTCAATTAAAGCTTTCAACTTGCTGTCACATATACATTCTTAAATGAGTTTTACTTTTGATGAAATTTGGAATTGTTGTGAACTAAAAAATTATTTACATTCTAAGTTCAAACCATCGAAGTTAAAAATAAAAACTGTTTTATTAATCATGAATACTTTTTTCATTAGTTTTCATATTAAGTACGCACTTTTCTAACGTACTTTTCGAAGCAACATAGATTTTTCATAGATTAAGTCAAACAGAAGCGTTTACAAAAGAAAAAAAACAAATGGGAAAGGTCAATAATTTTTACTGATCATCTTTTAAAATTCTTTTCTGATGTTTAGATTTTGTTATCTAATTTCGTAGCGGATTCATTTTGATAGGTACTATAGTTTCCAGACTAAATGAAATATTGGAATTAAAATATAATTTGTGACAAGACCAATCGATTGTAGAGTGCCTGTCATCGTGTCTACTTTTCTCAACATACATATTTAAAAAGTACGTTTGACCGAAAATTTTCCTTCACAGGCAACAGAGTGGATAAACAAATTAGAATAAGGAAGACAGGAGAATAAAAAATAAACAAAAATGATTAATTTCAGATTCTACTCGATTCGGTAGGCATATCTGTAGAATGGGAGAATGATTTCGAATTTTTTTCTTTCCTCCACTCATTAGAGTTTTGCTATTGTTGGAGTCAAGGAGCTCAAGTATAAATATATATAGGAGAAAAATAGTAACAAATGAGACGACGAAGGACGTGTCTTATATAAATATTCGAGACTATGCGACATACATTCATGTTATTAATCAAAACTGTTTAAATTAAAGATGTTTTTGATGATATGGTTCTACAACAAGAAATTTTTCTTTACTTCAATAATTAAAAAAGCAAAAATAATATAATTTAGAAAAGAAATCATAGCACGTCATTAGTATATTAAATTAGCCTTTTCCTGGTGTAATCTTGCAAGTTGTAACTTCTTTATTTATAAGTTTAAGATATCAAAATCGCTTTTTATTTTGATTTTTTTACTAATTGAAAGGCTTATACAAATTATTGCACATTTGTGTTGCTCTCTTTTCAATCATCACATAACATGTTATAAGTTATTATTTAATTAAGCGCGAAAGTTGAGGTAATATTTTTTATCATAGACATTTCTTGATTTCTTAAGCAAATAAACTTATTCAATCCACGCAGTAAATTAATCCACATTTGAATTTTCTTTATTCTTTTTCTTATTCATTCAGATTGTTCATTGAATTTTCGTGGCTATAAGAAAGGCAAAAAGAAAGCAAATAAGGGAAACAAGACAATTTTTCATTTCTCTAGTTGTGGCTTTTCGTTTTACGAAAAAAAACTGAAAAGATATTTAACAGCAACTACATTCACACCACGAGTTTGCATCACATTTCAGAGCAATACAATCATAGTTCTTTTCAGTTTGTCTTTCTTTTCGCTTTGACACACACAAAGCAAAAAAATAAATGCTTTGGAGACCAGGGTGAAATTCATTGATAATATCACACGAATGTACATAGATGATTTTTCTTTTTGTAAAATGACAACTGACATCAAGTTGTGAGTATTTTATTGTTCTGAGCACTTTTCTATGTGTATTTAATTAAATAAGTTTTGCAACTTAGAGAATTTTATTTGCAATTTTACTTTGATAATCATAATTTGCTTTTGAGAAGTGGATGTTGTAGAATACGCATTGGATATTTCTGCTTCAATCGATTCTACATAAATATACTATAAATGTACTAACTTTCGAGTATTATATTTTTTAAAGGAATAAAGAAAGAAGGCCTTTTAGACAGTACATGGATTAATTTTTAAAACTTAATGGTCTCGTTTTTTCTGTTCTAAGGGTATTTTGTTATCTCTAAGTTAATTTCAGATGAAGAGTTGTAAAGAAGAAACATCTTACTTTGTACATGGCATAATCCAACTGAAAACTGTCCTATTTCAGGCATTTGTCTAAGAATTTCTTCTGTTACTAAATGGACACCTCTGTGCTGAGGTCTTAAATTGATTTTCCGTTGAAACCAAGCTGAACCGATCTGTATTCCACCACTCGTACCTCTGTGATTATTAGAATTGGATGCCATAGTTCGTGAATTTGATTTTTGTAGAAAAGAATATGAAAAGTTGCAATTGTTGAACGGTGAAAGAAAAATTAACAATGTATTCTCGACTGTGATGTTTTCTCCTTGCTCTCCTTATGATTCTTCCACAAAAAGTATTTCTGCTTCCTTCTCTCTCACACTTTTTACACGTTTTCTCTCTCTCTCTCTCCCTCCTTCTCGCTTTCTCTTTTCTTTTATCTTCGCTCTAATTTTTTTCCTTATTCCAAAGGTTGTATAATATAAGAATGTTAATCACACACTGTAATATCCTTTTCTGTTTGATGTATTGCAATCCTCAGTTGAACAATTTTATATTGAGAATCTTTGAATTAGATAACACCATTGATTTTCCAACATGATTTTTTTCCATTTTCATTTTTCCATTTTTTTTACTTTTTTCTTTAAGAGAGAGGAAAGCGCGACACACTTTTTCGTTTTGATTTATGGATTCCTACCACAAGATTTTCTATAAAGTTAACTATTTTTTCTTCACTTTCATTGTTTTTATTTTTTATGTACAGACTAAGGAAACAAACAAGAAAATGAGGGATAAAAATTAACAAAAAAAAAATCACAATCTCGACTGATGGAATGTTCTTTTCGATTTTATCTCCACCCTCGAAATTTTACATTAAATCCGGGCGAAAACTCAGAGCTTCTCACGACTTTTTAAAAGTAATCCGGATTCGTCAAACATTGCGCACCTTATTTATACGAAATAACTACTAACTTATTCGAAATTAATGAATTAAGTTCCATAATCAGAAACCTCTCGTTCACTTTTTCGACCAGTTGGGGTCGTTTAGCAGTTAGGTTATTTTTTAATTTATTTATGGTGTAGTGGTGAATATTTTGCACACGCGATAAATGACCATATAACTATAGGAATAAGGCTATGTTTTGCATATTGGTGGTGAAAATTGTTGATGTTCCCAATTAATTTTTAGTTTTCCCTTAATAACTCCCTAATTAAAATACTATTTAGATGGGATATCTTCACAAAAAATATACTCCAGATGATTCTCTACCGACAGTCTGAAGACATGCTATGATTAATGTAAGCTGTTTACGAGATATTCAGTTTTCTGTCAGTTGCACTTCAGATTGTGCTACCAGTAAGATTTTTGCGAACTTTGACACCCTGTTAGGCTACTTTTTAAAAGATAAGTGCGCGTATATGTATAAGTTAAGAGTGGTAGTGAATTATTTACAAATTTGTAACCGCGTATAGGGTAAAGAAAGAAAATATTGATGGACTGCCTTAATTAAGTTAATATAAATTAATTGTGAATTTAAATTTAATTTACAGAACTCCCGAGATTGAAAAGAAATTCAGCAATCTTCATAAGAAACAATGGGGCTGACACTCGCCAACTATGAAGATCAATGAAGTATCAAATTTTACAATATTTGGAGATGCTTGAACTCGCCAAGAATTACAATGAAGCTCTCGAAGATGAAAAAAAAGAACACCATCGAGAACTGGCGATTAAGATTGTTGGAACGCAAGATCCAAATGTCACTTGGATTAAATATGTGGAAGATTAAAGTTAGAGAAGAGGATATTGTATATTAAAATCAGTGTCAATCATTAGAAAGAGCGACGATTGAACGATGAGAACTTCTCATTTGCGACAATTTCAAATAAATTAATCAAGCTAGCTTCGAAGGAGCTTTTAAAAAGGAACTTAATAATTGGATTAAAAGGTATAAAGATACTAATCGCATGCATGCAAAATTTTCATCACCATACTTTTCACCTCACTGTTTGAGATGTATCAAAAATAAAACTTTCTCCTATGGATCTACATAATAGATATTTCCTTCTATTTCAAGGAGTAAGAGAAAAAAATTATAGTGACAACTAATGATGAAAAAAATTAAAACTAGAGTTATCTTTTACTTGTGATGAATTAATAAATATGACTGTTAAAAATTTAAAAGAGTTAGTTATATCCTAAAATTAATAAGAATTAAATGAAACATAAAAAACTTTTATGTATCCAATGATATCTTCTGCAAGGGAGACATAAGTAAATCCACTAAAAGGCGAATTCTTGCAAATATATAACGTAATTGGCGCACCTATATCTAATATTCTATTTTCTAGACAAACGAAACAGTTGGGCATTGCTGACAAAGGATGAAATCGATGTTATCATTTTTGCCTCGCCTCTCCGACCCTGTTGGAATTCTTAAAGATAACATGGTATAGAAATTAATAAAATATTGTGTTTTTCACAAACACATTTTAATGTTTCTATCAAGTCAAGTGAACGTTCGTTGGAGCAGTGAAAAGGGAATCACTCGCTCTCTTCATTTTATTCAACGTAAATGGGCTTGTCTTTTGCTTACATATTTTTTGGTTTTCTGCTTAGTTAAATAAGCTTTCGAAAGAAGATATGCCATCACCTACTGATGATGCCAATCGTTTTGATATAGCGAATGAAATCAGGACATCGCCGATTGCTCATACTTTTACTTCTTCTCTTTTCCATTCCATTCCTGTTGTTGAGCGCACTTCGAACACAAGACTGTTGTGCAAGCCGTGAACAAATTTCATTTTTTGTTTGACAAGTATAAAGTATTAGAATTACAATGGATGAAGACACAGGAATATTATCTCATCAAAATACAGCTTGGCTTGAAAAAGAAGTTTTAAATGGATTGCGATTGTGGTAAATTATTTTCATATGAATTAATTTTATTTTTTCAAAAATATAGAAGTTGCAACCTATTCGCTTTTTACATTTACAGGCATGTTATAGGAATCGCTATATTTAGTATATTAAGCGTCATAGTACTACTCTGCTGTTGTTTCCGCTTTAGAATTCCAAGGTGAGTAAAATTTTGATGGTTTTTGAAATGGCCGGAAGAATTATAAAAGATCAACGATGTTATCATGAACAGAAAAGCTCAAATATTTTTCTTTTTTCAGAACAAAGCAAGAAATCGAAGCAGATTATCAAAGAAGAAAGATCGTTAAGAAATTCCGCAAAAGAATTCAAAAGTTTGAAAATTGTGAAATGGATGCTGAAATGGATTTGAAGAAAGGTATGATAATGTTATAAATAATATATGATCAAAACTAGAGTGTAGGTATGTTACTCTTTAGCAGCCTTGGAAAAAATCCGCGCCGATTTTGCTAATGAAAAGCATAAATCATCGGATAATAGCAGCGAAAGCAACGATGAGAGTCATTATGATGGAAATCGAACTGGAACAAAGAAGAAACGTTTGATTTCAGTTCCAAAACGTGATCAGCTCATTCAAACAATCTACACTGGTTATGATAATAATTCGGAAGCACCATTATCGCTCGAAACGGACGGAGCTTAAAATAAAACTGTCGTCGAGCTACAAATAAATTGAAAATTTAAAATTTGATGTTCATTGTTAGAGATTTATGTCGAATGTGATTAGAAAATAAAAGTTTAGAAAAATTTTCGAGCTCATGATAAGACAGAAAAAAAGAAAAATTTCCATCGTCTCATAATGTTTTACCGGCAATTAAAAACTGGGATCGTTCCAATCGATTTTTTTTTCGCTCTGCGCAATTTCGTGCTACTGATTATCAGTTATGTAATTAACATTTGGGCTTGTGAATGAACATCGATCACAACAAATGTTAAAAGAATTTAATTTTAAATGTTAGATATTTACTATCTTATATTTTTATTACGTCAATTCTCTACGGATATTGTTTCTTTTTTTGTTGTATATCTTACCACAAATAATTCATAACAGGACTCTGGTTTTTCATATTTATTTACTTTCTAGAAAAAGAAGGGTTAAAGGAACAAATAATTATTATCTTGTTAGAAATTGATCAATAACATTCAATCATTAAATAAGCGAATAAATTGAGAATTATAAAACTCAACCTTTTCAATCTTCGAACATTAGACCCAATTTTTTTTTCTTTACATGTTTAAGGAATAAAATTAATAGCGAGATGGTTAAAACTATCTTTATGAAAGTTTTAAAATGTATCTAAGAACTAAACATGAAAAACAATGGTAATGTTGAACAAATAAGTTCGAAAGATCTGTCAGGCTCATGTTAAACTTTTTCAAATATTTCATTTCAAAGTTCAACGAACTGAATAACATGGAATAATTTTTTCGCTTCCGATTCCAATAAGTCACGTTTTACACATTCAACCGATTGATCTTTCAATTCATACATTATATGCTACGTGACTCACGGACTATTTAAATAAAATAATCCTTAAAACTGTTAAAATTTACTTCTGTTGATAAGTTTTTCTTCCAGCGAAAAATAAACATAACTGGATTATATTTAGTCATTGACAATCTTGCTAACGATTAGCAAATTTAGTGGAATACAACAGACTGCGATGAAATTATATGAAGTCATAAAACATAGTAATTATTGAGACGAGTTCTACGAAAACTTATTGTTTTTTGGTTGATCTTTTGACTGCTACTTAATTTATTTTTTTCATTTGTGTGGAAATCAAAATAAATCAGCTTAGTCATCAGCATTAAAAGGAATTCACAAACCAACATAAAAATCGAAGTCATGTAAATTAAGTATTTTTTGTGGTGCATTCGAAGAAGCAAAGACGTTATATAAGAATGATTCATGACGTACTTATCTAATTTCGTGAATAAAAACGAAATAGTGTTCTATACATTGGCTTAGATTTTTTAAACAATTTCGAGTTCGTTGGGTTTTATACTATAAAAATCAATCTACCCTCCTCGTCTTTGGAGTATCGACACGATTTTTATAAAAGAAATTATTAAATTATCCCATTGAACAGAACTGAGCATATTATAGAGCGTAATTTTAATTTTTTTAAACATTAAGGACTTGTTTATTTTTTTTTTCATCTCCTTTTTCCTCCTTTCCTTATATTTCTTTTAATTTGCTGATTCGTTGCCAGCTTTTTGCTTTGATCATTCTTTCCTTATGAATGTTTTTCCCCTAAAATTAAAAACGGAAAATGCAATAAGTAATTAGCCAAGAAATTTGAAAAAAAATATGAAAAGGATTTCAACTTACGTGATGGTTTTCTTTTCAATAATTTTTGGTTCTGGTCTCGCACGATTAAGAACTTTAAGAAAATCTGAGGTTTTTGCACGCATTCTTGAATGGATGTAGGCTTTCGAACACTATATAAATGAAAGAAAAATGATATTTAGCTCGATTGAAATGACAAGAAAATTTTGAAACAACAACCTTGATGTGATAATGCAAGTAATCACGAAACATGTGAATTAAATTGATTGTGTTATCACGAGTTTCTTTATTTGTGTGGCGTGGAAAAAGAACTGAAAAATGAATTTATCAGATATTTGTTTAAAGACATTCATTTAGAGGCCTCACCAAATGTAACATAACCGATGTTATCACCCACTCGTGCATCTGAATTTGCAAGCTCCATTGGAGGCTCGCGATGAGAAAAGAGAACTTGCGGCGCTGTATGCGAAGCTCGTCGACCTTCTCTAAGCTCTTGCATAAAAACTTTACCCAAAACAACATCATCGTCGTCTTTGAAAATCGTACTAAACACAACCGTTACACGATCGGCCTTTGCCTCAACATATAAAGTTTCTTCATTGCGATAGTTGATGACAGCGCGCTTTTCCCCCTCCAGCCCTTGTTCTTGGAAGTCAAAATATTTTTCGAATACACTGGCAAAACAATTTCGCTTTAATAAACCAATCTTTTGTGCGATTTCTTCGTAATTGTCAGGTATGTTATCGAGATCGATGAGTACCGAAACATTAAAGCCATCTTCTGGCTCAATCAACAAATCGCCATATTCTCGCTTAAGTAATTCATCTGCACCGTGTTCTTGAAGTTGCTTGTAGAACTTGAGTGATATACTTGTCTGTTAAAAAATATGATAAACATTTGATAAATCGTTGTTTATATGCTCATAATATGTTAATAATACTTACTCTAATTTTTGTTTTTTCACCTTTGATGTTAGAAATATGGAATAATACGCCATCGAAGTCTGCAACTGTGACATCAATAGACTCAGGCTTGTTTCTACATTATGTATTAAAGGAAAATTCAAAATTAAAAAATAATTGACAAAAAAGCATTCAAACACAAAATTTCGTCATCATCTTTACAATGAGTCATTTTTATTTTGTCCAACCCAAAGTTTCAATCTTTCAACATTTTAACTTGTATAATTGTGTTTCTGAAGTTTCAAGAAATCCATCAATATTTGATAAGAGACTTTTCGATAACTTTCAGTGATAACTACTATTGATAAAAATTATGTTTTCATTATACAAATATGCTTTTTCTTCGATATTATTAATTTACAACATTTTTATCTTTTTGATTGTTGGTTGAGTGGGAGCTGAGTTTATCTTTAAACTTTGAAGATTATTCATGATGGAATACTGAGTACGAGATGATGTGCCATGGCGCTCCCTATTATTCAAAACACAGTCTACAATGAAATCTTCTAGACACATCAGATATTATCTGATATCATATAGATGTATTTTTTTTAAATTGCGATATTTTACGCATTTTTGTTACGGTAAATAATCATGAATTTACTTTAATTTTTCAACAGTCCCGAAGTATCCGAAAAGTTATTCTTTAACATAAATTATTTAGTTGATTATGTTTAGGTTTCAATTTTTCAGGATTTTGCTTAATAAATTCAGTATCCTCAACTGTTGGGAACAAAAATTAAATACCTAAATAATAAGAAGAAAGCCTTACCCAGCCAAAGCATTTTTAAATTTCAAAAGAAGAGTTTCCTCCACGTTTCGGTTATTTATTTCTAACAAAATCATGGTTTATTTACACTTATTTTACTATCTAAACAGTTAAAACATTGAATATTTTCTCAATTTAAGCCTTAAAAAGATTTTTTTTTTGAAAATGACCGATTTACGATAAGCGGCGAATTGATGAGCAAATACTAAGGGGTATGTTGATACGTATAGAATAGTATTTGAAATCCCTTCGTACATTAACACGAATTCGCCCATCACGTTGTTTATTTGAAAAAAAATTAAAATATTTAAAAAAACCTGAAAAAGCTTCATTTTCAACTTATTAATCAATAGTTACCTTGAGTAAATCTTTTGTTAAATCGGTTAATTTTGTATTAGTAAGCTTATACAAAAAGAAAAGGCATAACTTAAAGCAAAGTGAATCATTTACTGCGTTTTATATTGGTTGATACTGAAAATGTTAGTTTACCTACATTACGATTAGACTCACAATATGCTTTCATCTACTACACTGCTAATTCTAGGTATGATTTCTACCCACCAGGCCGAGGAAATGGATTTATAGATTACAGTGACGACGAGGATTTGGATGCTGCCGAAAATCTAACAGAATTGCTTGCTGATCAAACTGACCTAGCAGATTTTATAGGGTTTGGTATTGTTCAAGAAAATATTGTCATGGGAGATACTGAAAATACTGAATCGAGTGATGATGAATTCGAGCCAAGTCAAGATGTTGTAGAGAATAGTGATAGCGACTTTCTTGTTGATACATCTGAAGATGATCAACAAATGGATCTGGACACTACAATAAAATCATTAGAAAGCAAAGGCAATGAAGCTTCAAGCAGTGGAACATCTTCAAAATCAGTAGAAAAACGTATAATTGACGATTATGATTCAAATGATGAAGAAGATGAAATTGTAAGAAAAATTTTGAAAGAATTAAAGAAGCCACGCCTCAAGCCTCAAAATATCACTATCGAAGATTTTCCGACTGATCTATCATTCCATCCGGTAGAAAACATTTTAGCTGTCGGAACAGTAATGGGTGATGTTATGATATATAAATATACAAATGAAGAAAACATAATACTGAGCAGCCACGAGGTTCACACAAAAGCTATTCGAGATATCGAGTTTAGCTTAGATGGTCGCGATATATATTCGTGCTCAAGAGATAAATCGATAATGATGACAGATTTTGAGACAGGAAAATTAAAAAGATTCTGGGATAAAGCTCATGATGAACCAATTTACACATTAACAGTACTAGATGAAAACCTAATTGCAACAGGTGATGATGATGGGACTGTTAGATTGTGGGATACTCGTATAAGAGAATCATCCCCTACCTTCAGTCTTAAAGAAGTTGAAGATTACATTTCCTGTATTATCACAAACAACCAAAAAAAATTACTTGTATGCTTAAGTGGAGATGGTTATGTTACTGCACTAAATATTGGCTCAAAAAAAATGTTTGTTCAGTCAGAACCTTATGAGGAAGAATTAACATGTGGCGGTATATTTAGAAACGAAAGTAAACTTGTAGTTGGATCATCAAAGGGAAATTTTTACACTTTTAATTGGGGTGAATTTGGATACCACAACGATGCTTTCTCAGGACCTGTCACACCAATATCATTGATGTTACCAATAACTGAGAGAATAGCAATTACTGCTGGTGAAGAAGGTATCATTAAAGCTATGCACCTTGTTCCTGGTCGAGTACTTGGCATAGTGGGTCAGCATTCACTAGCTGTAGAGACAATGGACATCTGTAATGACGGTGAATTCATTGCTACCAGTTCTCACGATAACGACATTCGTTTTTGGAACATAAAGTACTTTGAAGATTTTGATGCAATTAATTATAATGAGAAACCCAGCAAAAAAGCATCAAAATACAATCTTCCTTCTTCATTACATGCAAATCGATCCGATTTCTTTGCTGATTTAGCCTAATTTCGTCAGTATCTTGTTCTTGAAATGATGAATAAAAATGATTGTAACGGAATACCTATATGTTTTAAACGTAAGCTCTACTTTTTCAGTTATCTACCTAAGACTTCAATTATTCGCGCCAAAATAAAATTTCGGTCAGTTTCTATTATAAGCAATTTACATTTTCATTTTTTCAATTGAGAAGGAAACTTTGTTTATTTCATTTTTGATACAAATACCTACGCAGTTAATAAACAAAGCAACATGGATTCAATAAGCTCTATTTCAAAGGTATTGTAAATATTACATGTAAGAATCATAAAAATAGCTATGATTTAATTATTATAATAATCAATTATCAAACAGGGAGTTTTTGTGTTTAAAAATGGTCCCAAAATTAAAGACGTGCTTAGGAAAGAGAAACAAGTACTTGCTAATAAAGAAAACGATAATGATATGAATTATCTCGCTTATAAAAATATGTGGATAAAGACTGAGGAACGAATTGAGGTAATATTTACAAACTTCAATTAATAATATTCTTAATGAATCTTATTCACTTAGAATAGAATTAATGAATAAAGAAAATATTATATTTTTAGGAAATTCAAAGTAAAAACTATAATGTTGTTCTATCAAGTCTCCTTGAATTTATAAGAAAAATACAGTTTAATAATGCTGGTCACTTAAAGACAGNTAAAAAAGAAAGAAAAGATATGAAATGTCGTAGCCCGACATAAGTTAATAGCCGAAGCCCGGCAGTTGTTGAATGTCGAAGCCCGACATAAAAAAATTAAAAAAGTAAAAGCCGAAGCCCGGCAGTTGTTCAATGTCGTGGTCCGACATTAATAAAAAGAAAGAAAAGATATGAAATGTCGTAGCCCGACATAAGTTAAGAGCCGAAACCCGGCAGTTCTTGAATGTCGAAGCCCGACATAAAAAAATTAAAAAAGTAAAAGCCGAAGCCCGGCAGTTGTTCCATGTCGTGGTCCGACATTAATAAAAAGAAAGAAAAGATGAAATGTCGTAGCCCGACATAAGTTAAGAGCCGAAGCACGGCAGTTGTTGAATGTCGTAGTCCGATATATATATAAAATAAAGAAAATTAACAAGAACATTAGAGTTGAGTAATGTAAACAAACAATTAGCGCAGTTTTGCTATCAGATTATCAGCGATTTGTTTACATTTTTTTTCAGAACAATTCTCAATTGAATATTTCCTTGAAATTTTATTAATTGAGTTAATTCTAATAGTTTCATAATAATGTCAGAGTTATTTTCATACCTTGACAAATGTCGCTGTTGTTATGGTTCTATTAAAGGTATTGAGAAATCATCAGAAAAAAACCTAATTATTGAACAAAGATTTTATTTAACATTCAATATTAAGCTTAAAGTTTTGTCATCACTTTCTAACAAGATTTGCATAGAATGTCACAGTAAAATCAACTCGTTTTACTACTTTAAACAAGAAATTATGGACAAGCAAGAACGTTTGTATCAACTACTTGAAGACAATGAAGTAATTAACATTTTCATGTTTTCAATTGAAAAGGAAACTTTGTTTATTTCATTTTTGATACAAATACCTACGCAGTTAATAAACAAAGCAACATGGATTCAATAAGCTCTATTTCAAAGGGAGTTTTTGTGTTTAAAAAATGGTCCCAAAATTAAAAAACGTGCTTAGGAAAGAGAAACAAGTACTTGCTAATAAAGAAAACGATAATGATATGAATTATCTCGCTTATAAAAATATGTGGATAAAGACTGAGGAACGAATTGAGGAAATTCAAAGTAAATACTATAATGTTGTTCTATCAAGTCTCCTTGAATTTATAAGAAAAATACAGTTTAATAATGCTGGTCACTTAAAGACAGTTCTATTATTAACTGGAATTAATCAGATAGATCACTTGAAACAATTCAAACTAGTTTCAAAGCAAATTGAAAACAACGTTCCTAGTATTGTCAGTGTTCTGCAATCAAGAAACTGTCCTTCAGTCAAACATGCAGTAGAATTTCTCGTAAACGAGTTTATAAATCAATATGATAAAAAAACTGTCACAAAGTTGAAAAGGAATCAATTGTCTATGTGTATGCTACAATCGTGGTATCTAGAGGAGTTCCAAGCGTCAAATGAACGACCAAAACTGATAATTATAATGACAGATTTTGAGCAATTTAACAAAACAATAGTACAGGATCTCATTAACATTTTATGTTTTTATGCTAGTAATCTTCCATTTATTCTTATTTTGGGTATTGCTACAGCTTTTAAATCTGTGCAAAATATTCTACCATCAGAAATTACAAACAAGATGGACATAAATATTTTTGAAAACGAATCGTCTACAGATATGCTGAACAGGATAATTGATAAAACCATTTTAAGCTATCGCAGTCCTTTTCATTTATCGGGAAAGTCATTTAAAGTTCTCATGGATATTTTCTTATTTTATGATTATTCTCTATTGAGTTTTATCCAAGGATATAAAATTTTTATGTTGGAACATTTCTGTTTTTCTAACTTTGGTTCAATTATATATAAATTTCATGACGAAAACATCGATAAATGGACTCATGACGAATGCGAAACGATCCGACGATCTTGCTTTTCATTCAGAAAGTTTGCGGAAGCAAGAAAAATTCAAGAAGATCGTGTAAATTTTCTTTTAAATGACGAGTTTTTCAAGAGAAAAATGGGAAAAAGAATTTCAAAAATAACATTTTTCTGGTATTTTTTCTATTGTCATTTGAAAATTCTTAGCATTTTATTTGAAGATTTACCTCAACATGAGCTTGGAAAGCTTCCAAGAGAATTGTATCCAATATGTATCACAAATGACATCACTAAACTTGACGAGTACAAAGAAATGTTTAAGCTTTTAAAGTTTGTTTCCAAGGAAAAAATCCTCATTAAATTGGAAAAGATAATAGAAGTCATTGAATATTTCGTACAAGATACACAGCAAGAAGAATTGAGGACTAAGATGAGACAGCTCAAAGAACCCTTCGTATATTTTTACAAAAACATTGAAGAAAGTGGAATAAACACAATCACTAATACACCCGCATCAACTCATGAGAGATTTGAACTGAAAAAGAAAGGTGCTTCAGGAAGACAAGAAATGATGGAGAAACTAAAAGAAATGGCTAAGCATAATATTGCACCAGTTGTAACAAAATATGAGCAAGCTCTTTGGGAATGCATTGATTATATAAACAGAAAGATGGAAAAGTATCTAAGACCATTGCAAGAAGCACCATTTTTTTATGAACTCACCGTTTTCTGTAACTATTATTCAATTAGAAAGCAAATTATGGGCATTCCTCGAGGAGCATTACATCAAGCATTGTCTAATCCTCATATATATATGCAGTGTTCTTGTTGCAAGATTCCAGAACAAGAGCGCATTTTGCCTTCGCTTCCTGACATTTCAATTGTTTATAAACTTCACCTTGAATGTAACAAGTTCATCAGTTTATATGATTGGCTTCAAAGTTTCGCTACAATTATTGAATATAATGAAGATGAAGATCATATTAGTCCAGAAGTTCAGTAAGTTTTTCTAATTCTGTCGAAATATTTATTTATATTAGTGTAATTTAATTATAATATCTATTATAGAGCACGTTTCACAAGATCAATCGCCGAATTACAATTCTTAGGATTCATCAAACAATCAAAGCACAAGACTGACACTGCTGCTAGACTAACTTGGTAAATTTGAGTGTTTTTTTACATTTTTCTTCTTTCTTAATAAATAAAGTCAATTTTCTTAAGCAACTATAAAAAATCATCATTGAAATAAACTTTACGATAAGAAATCGTTACAAAATGTTTTGAAAATTATTAGATAATTCGGCTAACTGGTCGAAATTTTACTCACCACCATATCCTTCTAAAAAAATAAAAAACGCGCCGCGCGTCATCGACGTCGGACTACCCGGCACTTTGACTTGCGTGGATTTGACCTCCCATACAAAACAGACCGATTTTGTCCATGTTTATTATGTCTCATTTCCGACGGTTCGCGCGGATTTGACCTTCCATACAAAATACCCTCAAAAAATTTCTCCGTGCATGATAATTTCTCCGTGCATGATAATTTATACTCTCTCCACCTGAGACTAGCTATTGCCCGACCGGGGCTGCTAAAATCAGGTGGAGAGTGTATAAATGTAAGTCGCTGGCAAGCATTTATGCTTTTAGAGCAGATTAAAGTGACATGAAAAGAACTTCAAGATCAGAAAAAAATTATTGAGGGAGCATTCTGTGCGAGAAATTTCTGTCTGTGCAAGTAATTCCACACTCTCCACCTGAAACTAACTTTGGAGAGGCGAGTTTCAAGTAGAGAGTTTAAAATTACTTGGTTAGTCGGAGACTAGGTAGGTAGATGAACCTCTAGGGAGAAAATTTTTTATTTATTATAAAAGTCCTCGAGGAGACCGAATTCAGTTTATAGTGTTTAATTAAGTATGCATTTACGCTTACAAATTCAGAAGTTTAATTACGTTAAAATTGGCTATTTATTACTTTTCGTGTATTTATGTTGGCCTTCTCGTTTTGCTATGATATATTATGAAAATATTCCAGGAAATGAAATTTACGATAATTTAATTAGAAAGATTTCAAGGAATTTGTCACAATTTAATCAAGGAATCCAATGTGTAAGTTAAAACTGCTTAAATTATAATAAAATTTTTTGATGCAATTTGATTTAATCATAAGGATGCTTACACTTGCAGGATTACACCGAGTTATTAGAGGAAAATCACTATTTCTACAAAAAATTTACAACAGATGATATTATAAATAAAATTGAAATCAAATCAGGAGGTCTGTTAAATATTTAGCTATATACCATGAAAATGACCTATTTTTCCAGTTTCTTTAAAGATTTTTTGTTTTGTTTTGTAGGAGAATTTTGGCCCGAAGAATGCACACCAAGTTTCTCTACAGCAATCATTGTTCCTTACAGAAAGCGAGAGGAACAATTAAAACAATTTATTAATTACATCCATAATTTCTTGCGGAAACAACAAATCCATTACAAAATTTTTGTAATAGAGCAAGGAGACGACAAACCTTTTAATAGAGCAAAACTCTTTAATATAGGATCTCGAGTAATTGAAAAAAAATGCTTATACGTATGAAGTTTAAAACTTACATAAAATATTACTTTCCAGTATGCCTTAAAAGAAAATTTTCCTTGCTTGGTGATGCAAGATATTGATCTCATGCCATTGAATCTAGGAAATATTTATGCATGCACAAAACGTCCTCGACATATGAGCTCAAGTTTGGATACCTTCCGATTTAACTTACCATATTATGGATTGGTTGGAGGAGCCATCGCAATAGCAACAGAAGACTTTGTGAACATCAATGGATTTTCAAATGTTTTTCAGGGATGGGGTGGTGAAGATGATGACCTCTACAAACGTTTACTCAACAAAAATTATAGGATTATTCGATTTCATCCCAGTTACGCTCAATATACAATGCTGAAACACACGAGAGAGAGACGGAATCCTAAACGTAATGAATATCTTAAAAATAGTTATCTACGGTTTGATATTGACGGGCTCAACTCATTGGTTTTTAGTGAAATAGAAATTCATAAGAATACATTTTTTACCCACATATTAGTTCAAACCTAAGACAATTATAATGTTGAACAACTGAGGTGTAAAGAGATCTCATAATACAGCAAAAAGATTATTTTTTCTGATATCAAGAAGTATTTGGTCTATGTTTGCGTAAAAAGTTGTGTTATTAAATAAATCACAATTTTAATAGAAAGTATTGATTGATTTAAAACAAAAATTAATCTCTTCATTCTAGAATGGAGATTTCTTTATTATATTTAAGTTTAGTTTAGTAAATAATCAAAAAGTATGTCTATTCATTTATTCTGGCAATAATTTGATTATGAATTAACGGGTTGGCAATTGAGCTGCGGTGACATATGTTTATATGATAGTGCTGCAAACGATATGCAACTATTTATTGTAAAGATATTGAAATTTATATTAATGATTTTAACCATGAATTGGATTTTTTTATGAAGCAGTTTAACGGGTCCAATCCGAAAATATCCATAAATCTCTAATTCATCTCATTTGAAACTGTAAAGCTCTTTTTTTTATTGAAATTCAAATAGAAAAATCGTGACTAGCTTTTGAGTGGGTTCTAAAAGGTATTGTTTTATGTCGCGCGAGAGAGTCAGAGAAATCTTTAAAACAAATATCAATTGTTCGTTTCTATTCCACAATAATTTATTATCTGTTACGAATCAATCTCTGTTGTCGCGCGGTAGAATTTAAAGGTTTATGATTTATTTGAGTTATGAATGCTACAAAGTGTATCGAAAAATCTCCACTGAAATATCAATTGGAAGTGGTTGACCTTTGATGTGATGTTATTTTTATTTTTTTTCGAATCAAAATCTTAGGAGTGCTTGACAATCCAATAAAAAATTTGTTTCGTAAATCACATCAAGTGTTTTGCTTTCGTATAAGAATGACTCATGCACCGGTTACGATCGATCAACAACCTAAGAGAAGTACGCTACACGGAATGTAAATTGAGTCTCGTGCGCGTTATTCTCTTTCTTGAACATTAATCACAATTAAAAACATTTCATGAGTTGACCTATCGTGTAATGTTTATATTGTCTTTGAATTTATTTGGATATATGTTTTGACAGCGTCAAAATGAATTTAATTTACATCTACAATCATCAATCCTGTGGTCTTTTGCACAAAAATAAAAATGGAATCAATGGTGTACTATAAAATTTAAACACTTCCGCAAATATATAAATAATTTAAGGGGTTCCAATTGTTCCATTAATATTTACTTGTTTTGCTTCAATCCCACTATGGCTTATCATTTCATTAATCTAACAGGGCTATTTTTCTTTTATTATAACATCTTTCAATATTTCAACTTACATGTTTTAATTTTAAAGAATGAGAAATACGTGAAAAGTTAATTTATTGATTTTTTTATTAGGAATAGAATGAGGTGGAAGTTGTGGCACATGTATATATATATTACAAGTAAACTGCAATCTATTTCCACTGGACCACTTCAAATGATCACGATTTCACTAGTCAGTTGAATTATTAAAAAAGTAAGAAAAATTCAACAGTAGTAGCTACTAAAGTTGAAGATATTTAATTAGTTTGTAATTCTGTTTTGCGGATGAATGCATTTAGGTGAAGCTAAAGGCAAAGTACTTCTGATATAACAACTTAATATTTCTAAGTGCGATCCGTTCATTTGATGATGGAGAAGAAAAAGTGGTATTCATTTTAACATATCGAATTTATTTGATCATTATGCAATTGCTGGGTTTGATGTCGTCCTTGTCGTAGCATTAGACATTTTTTGAATAATCTGTCATCGCTGACCTTTTTAAGCATTTTTTGAATGTAACGAGAGCTTTTAGTTCGAACTAATCGTCATTATTGAATTCTCAATTATATTTAATAACAACATACAGAGCCGATATAACCAACCGATTAACTTACTGACCTCTGACTGAGCCCAAAAATTTGAAAACATAAAAAAATTATTCAACAATTTCAATATAGTAACGATTTTTATTAGTAAAATTTTATAACTCAATCAAAATTAAAGTACTTTAACTTTATTTTCCCAATTTGTGTCTCACTGCCGTGATCAAACATAATGAAACAGTTGGAAGCTTGCAATTTATTTTTCCGTCGCTTTACATTGTGTTTTTTAATCTTATTATGCTTCGGCAGTGAGGAAGAGCAGCAAGAAAAAAGAAAAAATCCATAGATGGCACGTGACTGCAAAGGCATGTGAAGGCCACACAATGGTGGTCTAATTCACAATCATGATGAAGATTTATTGGTTCAATGATAAAAATCGCGTGTGTTAAGTATCAATTTAATTTTTTTTTCATGCCAACTTTATAGCTTGAGTTAAAGAATTATGAGATGAAAAAGAACTTAAAACTATTTAGCAACGTAAAAAATAATTTGCAATTAGGATAAGGTGGATATAATATAGAAGTTTGGTAAAAATAGAATATTATTTGAAGCTATTTTCTTGAATCTATTGAATATATATTAAACATATTTTTCATAATTTGATAAATGACACAAAATAGTAGCTCCATTAACCTGTATATTAATACTAAATACTAAGCGAAAGACTTTAAGTAACCACACCTGTGAAATGTTATCTTGCAAAGTCTGCCTGACTCGACGGCTGACGTTTTTATTTCTTCTATTTCTCATTTAATGAATCGCTTAATTGATTCGACTGAACCGAAATCGCATTTTTATAATCATAATTGTGGTTTTTTGAGAACGTTAGTGAGGGACAACAACTAGACACTTCCATCGAAATATTTCTGAAACAAAGTCATCTACTGAACACGCTTTACAATGCACAGTTGATATATTTGTAAGAATCTTTATGAGAATTTTTGTATTTGAATAAAAGTCGGGCCATGCCTACATACATGCATATCTGTAGTAAGCTTAAAATTTATATTTTGTTTCTCTCGGGGCAACCTGTGTCGATTTGAATGACTAAAATACCTGTTATAAGGTTCAACAAATTCAAGACCACTTAAATGTGGAATAATAATTCATCAGCATGAGTGAAGTTGTGCTCATTGGATAATTAAATTAAATGATTTTTTTTATATTTTCACGAGAGTTTTGAACACCATCATTAATAAAATGCTCAATGTGATCATAAACATTACTTTCGACCTCGCATGAACAAATTTTAATGTAAAGAGAAAGAAATTATTACAGAAATTGAAAGCTGTAAAGCACCATGCGGACATATTCCAGATTAAATGGGCTTTTAAGATCTAAAATTTATTTCAATTTATTTCTTGGTTCTAATTTTTGTCAGAATGACAATTAAGGAAATAATAATGTTAAGAAAAACATAAATTACTGTTTTAGCACCTATTAATTCAAAAATACCTTTTGCACACTTTTTCGCTACTGTTTTAACTTAGAAGTTTACTTATAAAAGTGAATTTCATCATTGTAATATGAAAGTTTATGAAAGGAATTTGAATGTGACGGATGATTGTAATTATAAGTTATAATGTTTAATGACATATTCGAATTCTTACACTTTTAAGCCACACATTATAATTTCTTATTCCTTATAATGAAAACCTTTAACATTCTTGTTCATTTCATAATTGGTACTAATGAGATTTCAACAAACAATCAACAGAGATATTAATAAATTTTATCTCCCTCCCTGACTACACAATGTACTGACAACAATCGATTTGCATAGAAATTACACATTTTAACGTTAAACATAAACTCAAACATTTAATTTTCTTTTAATTGAATAAGATATAATTGAGATTTGCACAAACGGTTGTAAACTCTTTGCATAATTGCTTGTTCTGCAGTTTTTATGTTTATTGATTTTATTTATTTTTTTCTTCCCTCCAAACACAATCGCACAAATCGTTTATATGTTCTGCGATCTTCAGAAAGTGAGGAAAACTTATTTGTATTGAGTATCCCTGCAAGCGACACATGATTAATAAGTGGGTAAATGCATAAGTATACATAAAATTATTAACAGTTTCCGTCAATTTCGATCTTCATAACTTTTCATTTCTCTTGAAATTATAATGCATTTCAGGAGATATGTTCCCTATTTACATGACATCAGTTTATATTCGGTTTTTGAGAATCATATTCAAAAAATTTGAATTAAATTTTCTCTACTTACATATAGTTTTACCTTCTTGTCTAAAGCTTGAACAATATTTATTTATGTATTTTTTTCACGCTGTAGTTATTATTGTGTTCTGTGACTTGTCGACGAAAAAGACATGAAGAGAAAAAGACTCCAGATATTTATTGTCAAGATAGAAAACAAAAGAGTTCTTGTTGAGACTCGATAGTTATTGACGCCAGTTGGTGATTTGTTGATTTTTGATGCAAATTTTTTCTCCTGCTGTCTTGTTGAATGGTTGCTTCATGGTTTTGCAGTGCGCTGTGAACCAATCGTTTTTTATTGGCATAATTGTAATTATTGACTTTTTAAGTGGCAATTGTCTTTCCTTTTCTATCCGCATAAGATATGAGTTTGGATCCATAAATTATGGCTGCAATAATGGATTATTTTTTGTGAGTGTATAAACGGGGAGAGGCGACTGCTCAGAATTGAAAGTACAAAGAACCCATTAAACGGGACACAGGAAAACAATCTGCTTTAAATGTCAAAGGCAATTGTTTTTTGTCTAATAATTTATACGAGATGAAATGTTTATGGAGTTCTAGGCTCTGTTTTTATTTATTTTTTTGGCGATTGTATGTTAATGAGTCCCCTTATTACATAATAAGAAATTTGATTATCTAGAATTATATATATTATGCAAATCGTGATTGCTAAAAATTGACATTTCAAACGAAGTTTTATGTATATATAAAATACATTTTACATTATGTACTTGTAAATGAAAATTGATAAAGGTGGTTTTATTTTATTATGTTTAAATGATCATGTTGCTGATTGAAAACGGATAACAGTGTATATGTAGCTAGCACAACCCAATTTCATTTAAAATTGGAAAGTGTTTTTATTATATGTAGCTTGCTGCAAAGTCGATTGGAGAATAAAAATTTGAATTCCAATCTTTGAATTTCAGTAAATCATTAAAGGGGCTCATTTAGCCTCACTGGCTCAGGGTGTTTGTGTCGGGAATCCAATTCGTTGGGCCCTGGTTCAAACTCCAGTCACAAGGCCAGGTGAAGCTTAGATACTTCGGCCTGAAACAAGTGTTATTACAACATTATTAACTAAAGTTTCCATCAAGGGGGCAAGTTGCTTCATTGGTCTAAGTGACTAAACCACGGTTTTGTATCGAGCGCGTTGCGATAGCGCGGCCGGTTCGAGACTGGGGGTGGTCATGTAGCTCTGAGGTTTTCAGAAGTTTAGATACTTCGCCCCTTAGACAGTTTTATCTTTAGCAAAGTTTTCGCTGGGATAAAAAAGTACTGAAATGTTTCTTTGTCTCGAGTTGATATTCAATTCGAACAATGAAGAATATTTAGGCTTAGAATCTCTAGCGGAACGGAGATGAAGATGAAACACTCTATCGTCAAATGATGGTAAAAACAGCCCAAGGCTACTTTCTAGAAAAGACCTTGGGTGGATGCAAAACGGTCGGTAGTGAATAGTCAGCACAAAATAATTTCACTGAAATTGAGTAGTGTTGTCATTTTCACGTGCCACTTATGACCATTGCCCTCAAATGCTTATGGCTTTTGATGGTGGTTCCTATATGGGCCTGTCCTTGATCTGATGATGATGATGAAGTTTCCATCATTATAGAAACATCAGTAGGGTATGGTACGAGTCTAGTCCTTAAATGAGACGGTTAAAGACTCTTCACGGGCAAGTTTGTCCTACAAACACACTTACCGAGAAAAGTACGTTTTACACATTTCTCTTTCGAAATGATTTGATAGTTCTAAAATCTAATATTTATTATTCATTAAATATCAATAAATATTATAAATTTTCATAAATTTATTTTTCATTGTAAAGCTGAACCTTTATTTAACTTCGGTCAATAATATGGAAATTTCAATTACAATTTTAAGATATTAATGAACTTCTCAGTTCTTCCGATGGTAATGAACTTTAAAGTGATTAATCTCTATAATTAGAAGATTCTCACAGATGACATTATTACAATGTATAAAATAGTTGAGCTTCATATTTAATTAAAGTTTTTTTAAGATTTTTGTTTAATTTTATTTTCGATATCATGAATCAACATGCAAACGTTAGTAAAGATAAGATTTATTTAGTTAGACTATGCTAAGTGGTTCTTCAAAATTTAAAATGAATTACTAATTCATTAAAAAGAAAATAAATGCTACTATAATAAACGTTTCATTTGCTACTATTTCTTCATATTTATTAGATACATGAAAGTTTTTATAAGATTTTTTTTCTTTCTTTATTTGACAACAAAATTTTATGAGTGATTTCAAACTTTTGATACGAATAAGATTTTATTTTCACTATGAGCTTCACCTTTATATCGAAAACTTTTATATTATTGTTAGACATGAACGTAGACAGAAAGAGAGGGAGAAAGCTTGCTGGTAGGCACATAATTATTTATTTCTTTTTTTTCGCTTTGCTTTAAATCGAGAAAATCAAAAGTTAGAATTTTTACTCTTGCTTATGTCCATTTCCAACTACTCATCTTTCTCATCAGGAAAAGTATGCGCTCTAAAAGTTTCTCATTAAATTCTAGACAAAATTCTTAGTACCTACACGTATGTTCGAATCTTCCAATGTTTTATTCATTTAAATATCTATTATATTTATGGTGTTTCTCTCATATGCTTATTTTTTTTAAATATTGTTTTAGAAACTTTTCTACTTGTTTTTGTAGTTTTCATTTTTTATAATTTTCAATTATGCTGTTTATGGCATCTATAGGCTAAATCTCAACCAAACACTCTATAGCCACCTAGTTGAGAATTTGTTGCATCAATTACGACATTAAACTGCCAACTTCTTTTTTTTTTTATTAGACTCATTAGTAATTTAATATGAAAAAAACAAATGACACCAGCTCACATCTCATTTGTTTTTAAAAATATTTATGAAGTAAATATGGTTTAATGTAAAATTTTATGAACCCATCAGTTACATTGTTTTTAATATATTTTATATTTTGATTTTTTGTACTTAGAGAAATGGTCACAGAGCATAAAGATTGTAATTTTATTCACTAATAATTCATCAAGAAAGTTTTTGTAACTAAATAAGCATGTGGTGGAACATTCAGCTTTCATTTAGACTTCTTTAAATTTAACAACAGTTATCTATCGAGTTTTATTTCCCAGATATTTAAATCAATCTTCAAATATAATACAAATAAAAAAACATCAACCAAGAAAAAAAAACAAAATTCAGAAACAACTTGGGAAGATAGTTAAACTAAACATTACCATTTACTTATTTCTTTCTCTCTAATGACTTTACGAACACCTTAATAAGAGTTTTGTTACACTTATATATCCCGTCCGTTCACACTTTTCCATTATTTAATTAACGGTAAAATATTTAGAATTAATTTTCATCTATCAGCAGCTCGAAGTGAACAGAACCCCGTCGTTCCTGACGGTCATGTTTGATGTTTTTAGCCCAAGCCTTACATTCGACATTTATTAAAACACCGACTAAAATATAGAGAAATGGAAAGTTAGAAAAAAATGTAATTTTTCTATGCAATAGATTTCTTACATGTTATGTCTTCGAATCTAACAGCAACAAGCGGTTGATTGTATTGGTTAGTATTAAACGGGTAAAAAAATCCGTTAAAACCTTGTTGGGCGTTATCATCAAAAGTGTAATATTTCAATTCACGAATATGTTCTTTATCCGCTGGATTTTCGCCTTCACAAGACACCCAAACAACATCTTTCATTTTCTTTTGACCAATAATATGTTTTTTTAACTGTGGAGGCATGTTTTCGGGAAGGTCAGATGCATTATTGTAATATTCAGGAATCCAGTTGAAGATTTTGTTGAGCTTAAGGAATACACAAGGTTTACCTTCATCGAAACCAAAGTTCGGATTCTTGTTTGTACTTGGATCATATGAACATTTGCCATATTTTTCTAAATTGACTTTACATATGTCCACAACCGGTCTCGGTCCAACAATATCGCAACTTACTCGATTAAGTTTGTCTTTTTTGCTCTTGTCTTCTACAAAGTCTGAAGAAAAAAATGTGTTTTAAAATAATACTATCAAAAAATTACTGATTGTACCTTCAAGAAAATCTTTTATTTGTGACACCCAATATTTTGAGCTTGTTGCGTTATTTTTTCGGTACCAAATGAGTGTACTTTCAACATTCGAATCTGATGGTGGCATTGGACGAAAACCCAATCCAGGATTATCGCCAATTAGACTATCTTTAAGCTGATATTTTGGATGTCCATCAACTATTGTAGACGCGAAAAATAACCACATCACCCAGAAAAATAATGCCAGAACAGAGTAGAATATCAAATAGAAGAAAAGAATCTTTCCTGAAATATGAAACACATAGAAGAAATAGATTAGTTAGTCTGTTGACACATTTGAATGATTAACGTTAAGACTGAAAAGAAAATTGACGCCATCAAGTGGATTTGGGATAATACAATTCTTGTCATTGTTTGAACACGATGGGAGGATGAAAGTCGTAATTTTATTATAGCATTTTTTTTCTATATTTTTAAAAACTAAAACGACAATTATTAATTGATAAATATAATTTTAGTGTCTGAAGAATTTAAATAAACTGTAGTTGTAAAATCTTATTACTACAGATGAATATGTTCATAGAACCAGTGTTTGGTTAATTAATTAATTAAAACTAAGTTAGCGATGAACCATTCAGTTTTAGAAGTTTGTATGCAATCAAACAATTTTATGATAATTGTATTTTATCATTGTAAGTATGTGAACAGTCAACTATCGTTTAACACTAGCTTAAGGGACAAGAAAAAATGTATTGAGAGAAAATGTTGTATCAAGAACATTTTGCACCAGATTATGAGAAAGATTCGATCGAGAGCATGTTATATCAAAGTTGACTGAAATAAGATTCAATTTTCTTTTGTGAGCCTGCTAATTAATTTCAACTCTTAATGTTTCCTAATTTTTAAGAACTAAAAATATGATTATTTTTTAATTTATATGACAACGACCAAATGATAATTATATGTATCTATCAGATAAAAACTCTTCCATTCTAGGATCATTTATTTGTCATTGCGTAAATTAAGAGACGTTTGTCGTCATAGTTAATATAACGATGATGTGATGCTCAACCGAATATGATTTATGAAAGCAAAAACCAAAAAATTGCTTAAACGAAACAGATTTAACAAGAAATAGTTAAACGTATATTTAAAAGTTATTTCGACATCAAGCTTAATTTAGAAACGTCAATTTTTCCTTCTCTTGTAACATTGAACGGCTTCCATGTTCGCTTTAAAAAACCCCTCTTTAAGTCTCACGGTATATATTAAACTTACAAAAATAGATGAAAATTCTCTTTAAAAATCAACAAGAAAATCATCTGTGCAAGTCTATTAATAAAAGGGAGAAGAAAAAAAGAACAACAAAAAGAAGAAAATTATTTGCTTATTTTGTCAAGCATTTGTTGTATCTTCATTCGCACAAAAAAGACTATTTACTGAGTGGTAGCTTCTGAATTTTCCGTTGAATCAGATTTGGTTTTATAAGCGAAAATAATAAAATTAGGAATTGACGTTTTGGTCATTAAATGAAATTTTTCGTAAATGTTGCTTAACTGCATACAAATTAGTTGAGTACCAATTTCAAGTTGAAAAATTGTGCTTTATGAAAACCTTGGAAAGTTCTATAGTAAAGACTTTCTTCCAATTTTCGATTTTTTTTTTCTCCTTCACAGTTTTCAAGGCTTTTCATGGTACATTCAAACCAAACTACACCTACACTACAATTATTTTGATAAAAAGAATTTCTTTGATAGGAAATTTTTATAACATCATCTAATTCCTCTGACTCACTTTAATCATTTCTTATTTTCCTCATATTTTAAACTCAGTGAAAAATTTAAAATGATAGAACTTTTCAAAAGAGATGTTTTACATAATACCTACTTTGTAAGCTCATATAAGAGAATTATATTAAGGCACTCAAATTCTAATTTTGTAGTTAAGCGAAAGTTTTTTGAAGAATTTTAATATATTTTAAATTAATTTACAATTATTTAAAATTAAATTTAAGGTAAGATCTTACCCCAACTGTCTTTTGTTCTTCCCATAAATTGGCTTGTATCCGAATTCCATATGAATTGTTTTAATCCAGCCCAAGCTCCAAGCTTTTCCGGACGGTTGTAGAAATCACCAGATTTATTTTTATCCGCCATTCTTCTTCTTTTCTCTAACTTCGATTACGAATTTATCTCAATTTTTTTTCACTAGTTTGATTTTTGTTTAATTAAATATTTGTTTATATTTCTACTAATATTTATGAACACATGAATGATTTGAAATCAACTTAATGGCGGAACATCTGATTCATTAATTATTTGAAAATTATAAATTTTCCCACTGAGATTTCTATGCTTGCTTATGGAAAATCCAGAAGTGAGAAAAAAAACTTCTCTTCTCTTGTGATATTCTTGTCAGCGTTTTCACGACACGAACGCTGCACGGAAAACTAAAGATTTTGTATCGTTTTTGCGGAGGAATTTTTTCTTTCTTTCTTTATTTTTAGTCTAAACAGCAACGTGAAGATTTTTTCATAAAAATCTTTTTTTCTTTATTTTGAAAGTAAACGTAAAGCCACCGAAATAAAAAATGTTGACTCTATGCGCTTTCCATTAAGTTAACAGTCACAAAATTTTCCTCTTTTCCGTACTTTGATATTGAGAAGAATGGAGTTAATGTGCTTTGGATCGTGCGCACTCATGCTCATATGGAAAAATATTTTGTGGAAAGCGTGAACACCCGTAAACACTTGTCACAGTTATATTACAATCTTCGTTTTTTCTCCGAGATCTGCAAGAGTTTACACAAGCAGAGAAAATAGGAGATCTGGAGAAAGAGAGGGAGAGAAAAACGCACAGCTTGTAGCATGAAAACAGTAGCATCACTTTGTAAACTATGTCAAGTACATTAAACACTTGCACAATGAAAAAATGCGTAGCTAAGTATAAACGAGCATGCGTCAGATAAATTTTGCAGTTTGAGATGTTGACTGATGCATTCAAAGATTATAATTCTTTTAAAAAAATAGCACATCAAAACCTCCAAATATTTACTTTTGTTTAGATAATAGTTAAATCAATGAATTGCAGAAATATGAATTGTGAAGCGTATTAAATAGCACCGAAATATTATTTTATTTTATAAGGAAACTGGAAAATAATTAATTTTTGTAACTTTTACTATGTATTTCTTAAAATTCTTCAATGAAATATTAAGATTAAAGCTTTAGGAAAAAGGCTGGTGCTTAAATTCAATTACATTTGAAACTTTAATAAGTTATAACTAATTACAAGAATAAAGATAAATATTTCTCTCTCTTAAAATTCTACATTTTTATGTTTAAAGGAATGAAAATGAAAATTTATTTGTTTTATTTCTTCTTATAGCCTGACAACTGACCATGACAAACCTTATGTCCTCTAAGTAAGTATGCTGTCTCTTAACTGTTATTACCTCATCAAAATCCCATTAATCACCTAAAATATCTGTTTTTTAATTGCCATAACTTTCAACAGCTTAAGCTTTCAATGAATCAACATTAATTTTTAGTAAAAAAAAAGCTACAAAGTTAAAATCTGTTCAATGCAATCTTTCCACATCATTTTGTTTCAGGATTGACGGTAGTTGAACAATAAATTAAGTTTCATTCAATATATCTTTCGTTTATACTTTGAGTTTTAAGTTTTTTTTACTTAAAAGTTGTTCAAAGTAGTGCAATGTTATGAATCTAATTGATTATCCGTAAACTTCAAGAGTGTGAAAGGGAAATGAATTATTCAATTGTTTTTTGAGCATTGACAAATCAATAGTGTGATTTATGTTGAATGTTTCGTGTTCAATAGTAGCTAAGTGCATATCGTTGTTATATAATTAACATCAATATCATATAAGTGTTGCTCTCAAAAGTTTTAGACAACAAGAACAAAAAAAAAGAGAAAGTTAATCAAAGATTAAAAAAAGAGAGAAATCATATTAGAAATGATTAAGAAGCAGTTCAATATTTAATACGAAAACAAGATAAAGCATTATGAAATTTGAAATAAAAAAGAAGACGAGAAACAGTAGCTGAAGTATCAATAATAGAGCCTCATCAATAAAGTCTCACAAGAGGAACTGACATCTGACCTGAAGTAGCATAAAAGAAGTTCATAAACATGTTACATGTATGTACGACGGTTTGTGTCATTGGCTGTTGTTATTCGTAATCATATAGAAAATAGAAATATAAAAATAAGAAAGAGAGAAATAAAATTAATATTCATAAAAATGTATATGCAGAGTATTCTACTGTAAAATTCTCACATTTCATAACTCGTACATCATTCACAACTAACAGTCATCTACTAGAAATGTCCGGGATTTTACACTGTTGGTGAAGGCTCTGGAGTATTCAGTGAAGCAATCAAACATCTAAATATAATATACAATATATTTGTAATCAAAAAACACAAAATACTTAATTTAAAATTATCGATACATGCGTACTCTAAATTATAACTACAATATTATAACTATTTATTACAAAAAATTCTCTTGCATGTTAAATATTGAAATTCGTTTGCTAGACGATAGAAAGCACATTACTTTCTCGAAAGTCGCATTATTTATTTCAAATATATATGTATCTTTTAATACAATTACTTTGCATTTTTACTTCACCTTCTTGTTGTGAAAACAATCTTTACTTTGATTTCTCTCTTCTTTTTGATATATATAAAATTCACTTGTTACTTATACAAAAGGAACAACTATTGTTACTCGATTTGCAGCACTGCCTAATGACGACGGGAGGGTGACTAAGATTCATCATTTTCATTAGTAAAATGCCATGATCTTTTCAACGTAAAATCTACGGTAAGGTAAAATTTTTTCATGCACATATTGAAATCAAATGATTGTTGTGATCTTGAGCTTAAGAAACTTAAATATTTAATACTTTTATTTTAAGTTAAATATAAGTAAAAATAAACCCAAGCAATTGAATATTTGTCATTTTTTGCGATACATCTAAAAGAAAATATATTTAATTTAAAAAATGATTTCATAAAAATAGAAAATCAATAATTTAAGGAACAAAAAGAGTCTAAAAAATTATCTTGTTTTATAAGCGGAAAGAGAAAAAGTGTTAGAAAAGAAAGTTGTAGACATTACTGTATTAGATAACCACAAATAAATCAATGAAATAAAATTTCAACTTGATATAGAATGATTTCGACAAGAAAAATTGTGCTTGCGCTGTTACCTCGCACATGGAAATTGCAAGAAAGAGATTGGCGTCGTCATACTCGTCGTTTTGACTTACGCTGTTGAAGCATAAATAGACATGAGTGTCTTTAAGATGAACAATAGATTAACATTCACTGTCGAATGAATTTGTGCGATTCGATCTGACCTTTCAATCTTTCATTCCATGCTTCATGTAGTGAAAAGATATCTATTTTATTGCTCAGCTCCTAACAAATCTATGACAATAGAGACATCACACGAATGAATAATGTTTCGTATGTAGTAAATTTGCAATTATTTCTTGTATTACTCGTGGCTTCTAGAGGGCTTTCACTAACTTTACACCAAAAGTTCAATAAATTAAGTTCCTTGCGCAGTTGCAGAAAAGATATAATCGTTATTTATGAGTATTAAGAATCAGTCTCGCTATAGCAAGTTTCCGTCTTAAATAATTTGTCATATGATTCTTATCCGCGCTCATGTTGTTGTTACAAAAATAAATTTGCATTTTAATGTGCTAAACGTTTTAACTTGATATGCAGTCGTCAGGAAACCTAAAGACTTACATTTAACTACAAAAGTTTTAAAAGTCATCAAATTTTTTTATAATCTTTTGATTCATCTGGATATAAATGAATCAGTTCAGTTTCAGTTGAAATCCCCAAGTCAAACTCTATTTCAGACTCAGTCAATTAGTTATGAAAGGTAAATAGATCGGCTGTAAAAGCGATACATATTAAACTGTTAGATTAAAACACTTTTTCTACTTTAATACGATTTGTATAAAAATGAAGCAAGTTGCATTAGACTACTGAAAAAATGAAATGAATGAAAATAACACGGTCAATTGGGCATTACAGTCAATTGTCTCAAACTCTATTCTTGTATAAAATTTCAATTAAAATGGTCTTGATGTTTCTCCACAATATTATTTTGATACAGAAATTTCCTGAAAATACCGTCATTTATGAGAGTTTCAACTGTAATCGACACGGAATAAATTTTTAAAGACTCATAATCTCTATTTTCATGAAAAAATAAAAAGCTGAAATAATTATTTTATATTATTAGCTTTAAAGTACACTTTATTTGCGTTTTTATGAATGATTGTTGGAATTGTTACTAAAGATTTGTTTTTCTTTTCCTAGTTTCTTTCAAACGTTTTTATGCCGATTTGGCTTTATGACTAATGTGATTTCAAAGTTATTCTGACATTTACATGATATTCTTGCAAGTTGAGGTATTATAATTGTGGTCCGTTGAACTTGAAATGAATATTGGGTTATTTTTAATGTTATGTTGGACTTTCTGATCATGACTTGTAAATTGAACTTTATGAGAGTCAAATTTTAGAAATAGGTATTAAAAGCCTTCAAAGGTTTGTAGAAAATATTTTACTGGAGGAAGAATTCGTTCATAAATTGATTTGTTCAAATTCTGAAATAAAGTCAACCCGAAACTTTACATACATATGTTAAAAATATCTAAATCAAAAAAGTAAACTTCATTAAACAATATTTTTTAAAGTCCTGCAATTCTGAACGTCGTTGCTTCAGGAAAACAGTTATGATGTAGTTTTTTGTTTTCATTTAACAGATGTTAGGTTTGTGCCGTTATTGGGGGTTTTCACAGCTTAACTCTGCTTATAAGATAAAGCTCAAACAAACATTTTCGCCTTTAACTGAACAATGTTTTAAGGATCTCAAATAGTATTTCGAAAGATAATTTTAGACGGAATAAGAATAGCGGTTGACAAGTGCTTGACTTGCATTTGAGTACGAGCCAAGTGAGGCTTTAGTGAATTCTCGTAAAATGATATGAACGATTTCATTTGACTATCCATTTTAATAATTTATCAATATGAAAGTTCTTCGCATAACCATTGTACAATCTACATTGAATTGTTTTTGCATAATATTTTCAAACATTTCTGGTAAATCTATCGTAGAAATTGATCTTAATTTGACTCAATTAAGTATTTATAAAGAAAACTTTTTTACGGATTCAAATATCTAATGATCTCAAGTATAAAAACCAAGTCTGTTCGAAATATTTTTTAATTGTTCAACTGCTTTCATCAGCAACAGTTCGGAAAGAAATTAATAAAATGATTTTTAAGGTGAATCTAATTTTTAACTTTTATTTATTTATTTATTTCAAAAGCATTTCAAATCATTTGTGTTAGTGTATTCTGGTGATTTTACTGATAACATCATATGCTAAAGCATCAGGCTTCGAAGGTTTTCATGTCGACCATCAAGAAGGACATGATGAGGGTGATGAGCATCATGACTTGAGTGGACATGGTGGTGATGGATTTGGAGATGGCGACCATAATGGATTCGAACATCATGGCAGTGAAGGCGATTTTAAAGGTGATGAATTTAAAGGAGACGATCATCATTGGGGACCTGCTAAATATCAGTAAGTTTATTTTAAGATGACAATTAATCTCAATATGAAAAATAAATTTTATAGTCATGGTGGAGTGCATGAAATAGAAAATCATGGAACACCACATCACGTACACACAATTCATCATCATCACATTAAAAAATACACAGTGGTGAAGAAAATTGAAGTCCCAGTGATTAAAGAAGTCAAAGTTCCGTACAAAGTTTATGTTATTAAAAAAGTTCCTTATAAGTACTACGTGAAACCGCTTGTAGTCAAAGTTCCTATTGAATATTACAACACGAAAGAGGAAGAACACAAGCATGAAGATCATCACGAAGAAGAGAGTCATGAACATGACACTCATGAAGAAAAGCATGGAGTTGGGGATCACCATCATCATAAATGAACAGAAGAAATCGTTTCACGCCAAATAAGTCTACAAAAAATTGATTTCGAAGGACTGATTACTATTAGATGTATAATGCCAAAAAGGCTAAATAAAAGCATGGCAAAAGCGTCGGTGATTTGCTTTTAATCTCATTCAAAGCAGTCTTCCTTTATGTTTCATTCATTTAACGGTTTATCTTCAAGAGTATTCGCAATGATTTGCTGAAGTGCTTTATCAAAAATCAAAAAATAAATTCGAGAAGCCTACTTTCAGCAAGTTTGATGAGACTCACTTTAAAGATTACATTTCTTTATTACAGAGAACAATTACATTGGATAACGTTGAGGCATCAACGCACTTTTAGTGTTTAAGATATATACCATTATCTCGATCATTTAATCAAAAGGTCGTCCTTTCGTTTTGACTCAACGATGAAACCATAATGCGCAAAATTATATGTAATTCTATAACATTTCTTTTACCTCTTATAATTCCCAGCTTTTTCTTCACTTTGTTGAGTTCATTTAATTTTTAAAAGTTACCGTTTTCAGTTTATTCGATCTGTGTTGCACCATGTTAAACATAAATCATAAAGGGAGAAAAAATAAATTTTATTGTTTTTAACACAGCGAAAACATTTAAATGGCTTTTGGCGAAATTGCTCGCTGGTTGCAATGAAATGTAACATCGCAACACACATTGAGCTCGACAGAATCTCTTCTTTTTTTCGATTTTGTTGGAGATGAATTTTGGTTTTTGCCGTTCCTTCGAAATAAATCAAATTATGCAGAAATTCAGTCGTTGCACAAGCTCAAGAGATGAATTTGGTCAAAAGAAAAAAATCTGAATACATTCGTTTTGCAACATTAACAAAAAATTGGAAAAAACCTTGCGCTGAAGAAATTATTTTAAAAAATAATAACCAAAAAGAAAAGCTGAAATGAAAACATTTACCTTTTAAAGAACAGTTTTATGTTGGTCAGGTTGATATATGTTGAGGTGGTAAATGTTTCCAGATGCAGATCATTCACCCGCGATAATTCCTTCAATTGTCTTCAATATAAGGAAATTAGACAACTCGACTCAGTTTATAAACTCAAAACCACATTTATCTGTTTATATATTGTGTATGGTGGGTATAAGGTTGCACATGATTCATCAGAAATTGGTCAAAAGATTCTGTTTCTACCCGCAAACCTAAATGTATTTACTGGAAATAATCATGGGTTACGTCACATCATTAATTTTAATTGAGCCCAATCTATATTTATCATTCCATTATTATTCCTTCTTCCGTTTAACTTTTATTTCTCAAGAACAGTACAATACTGAAAATTATCCCCAAAAATATCTTCAGTTCATAAAATTTTTCATTTTCTCATCGTTGGGGTTTTTATTTGGGCATAAAAAAGATAATCTCGTTTTGCACCTGAATTTCGTCGCAAACATTAATATTAACTACATCGTGTTTCTGTTTTCTCACTTACATCCAAGTTATACCAAAATAGCAGACAATTTATCTTATTTATTTAATTTTATTTCATAAAGGCAACTCCATTTCACTCACAGTGTTTTGCATGCAAAAATCATGATAAATGAAAATTATTAGTAATGACAAGATTCGTAAAACACAGACATATGCGATGATTTATTTATATTCGAGCAGCAATGGTCATTTGTTTACTTATAGATAAAAAGAGACAGAATGAGAAAACCCCTCAAGGTAAAAATAAAATAAACTTGATATATATGCCACCTGAAGATTTTTATAATTTAAATCTAGTTGTTGAGAATGAATTACATTTTGATTGATTCAGCAGACATGTAGTTAGAATTTGTTTGTGTTAAATATGAAAACAATAAAACGTGTATAAGAAAGGAAAAAATGATTATAAAAATTCCTTTTAATCTTCAGATAATTTGTTTTCTTTATGATACATGTAAGCCTTGATGACACGATATCGATTTGCATTCCGAATCCTAAATATTGCTGCTTTTGATTTCCGGTTTTCTTTGTTTATAATTTTTGTTTTAACATGTCAAATGATAATCCAAAAAATTCTTTCTTTCTCTACATATTCAACATAGTGTTGTATATGGTTCACAAGAAATCTTCATATGAGTAAAAATCACGAAAATATATATTATTTTTAGAAAAGTAAACGTGATGGGGGTTTCGTTAAAACATTCATAAATTTCACTCCTCGAAGTCACTTAATGTGAACTAAAAGAAAGACCTTTATAAATCGTTTAAATTATGTATGGTTGTTATATTACATAATCTTAACCCTCTTGAATTGCCACCAAAATAGGTTTGGTTTCATTAAGATTATTTTTGGCTTGGCCATAAGTACTTTTCAAAAATCTCTTAAATTAACATAATAACTACACGATCTTAATCGACTAAAGAATAAGAAGCCATAATTCAAAAGGTAATCAATCACCCGAATCACGATAGTATTTGTAAGCCACGATCGTATCTATTGCGTAAACTACTGCTAATACTGTTCCCATGTACTGAAAGATAAATCAATTAAAGTCATTTAATGTGTTTATGCTTCATATCAAAATACTCATCTTACATAAATACAAGTCAGAGCAGGATTTGTGTTATTCATTGTGAAGAGTAAGATATTTCTATAGCTTGGTAATTTCGACATGAAGCCCATATAACAAGCAGCACTTGAGTAGAAGAAACAGGCCATTGCGTTGAACAGCAGCTCCTTCAAGCATAAAAAGAAACAAAAAATAATTTTCATTGCCGTATTGTTTTGATTTATAATCTTACAAACAGTGATTGCCTGATTAGAGAGAAACTTTTTGATGACAACGTATAGCAAAAACATAAAGTGAATGTAGTAGATAAGCAAGCTGTTACGGTTGTCAGGAAACTGTGAAATGCTGTTGTAGATAACTCACGCATACCAAAATTAATCAGAAGTGTTTCACAACAGCTACCCAAAAGAAGTTCAAACAGTTTTAGCATTCCACTTTTCGATGTTAGAAATCCTAAATGAATACAAGTGCACACACGAAAACAGCCTATATTAAATCCATTCCTATTTTTTCCATGGCGATTTTCTTGGTCTTTAGGCATTCTTATCACTGTTGGCATTATACAAAAAAAAATTCTTAGAAAAATGTTTCAAATCAACTGAACAATTAGAATGCTAAACTAATACTGTTTATGCTATAAATATGAAATTATTTTTCGTCTCATGTGAGCATTTTTTAAGATGTTTCATTTCGTTTCGTTATCTTTGCCATGGTCTCTTTTAATATTTGAATTGTAACTAAATTGAGTTTCAAAGTACATACATGTTAAAAGAAAAGAATGATAGTGTAGTGAAAAGAAATACAATAAAAACTTTTTTTATCGGCACGTTAACAGAAATTCAATCGACGCTAAGGAGAGTTTGTCCATTCACAAAGGAACAAATTTAGTCTACATCAATGATCTTTTTGTTGAAATGAAATAAGATTCCAAGAGAAATTTGAAAGTTCATCTCACATTCTTAGTTCAACCTTGACAATTTTGCCAATATTTCAGCGTTATTAAGCCTTTGATAAGGTCGAACCCCTTTAAGTTTGCACTCTGAACTTGACGAAAGCTTAGAGAATAAGTCAGTACAGATAAAATTGTTCTGATGGTGATAACTTAGCTGTCGAAAGAGCTATTAAAGTAACTTAACTTAGCTTTAGAAAAAAGATCACTGGTTAATGCTTCTAGAGGTAAGATAAATTTTTCTCTCTCTTCCAAAGCTGATTCCAGTGACGAAAAAAAAACTTTCATTGAAGTTTTACTATTCCGTTTTTAAAAACCAAGTCATATTAGCAGGAAAGATGATTTCATGTGACATAAGAATACGTTTACATAAACTAGGAAATTCTCCAGATAGCTTGTAGATATCTAAGTATCAAATTTGTAATTACCAAAGAGAAGAAATTTTTAGGACATCGACAAAGAAAAAGTATTACGAAAAAAGAATTTAACGTTAGTTTTAAGAATTAAAAATTGATATTTATGATATTTTATTGCAGCAAGTGCTATTATGCGATGTTTTGCTCAGTATGATTTAACTGATTAATTGACAAATTTAAAGATAGCTGTTTCAACTGTTCAAATGTCTACAAAACATCAAAAATTACGCACTTATTACAGCTTTTGATTGCAATTTGAATAGCATTAAATGCAAGAAAAACTGTTTCAATCAGTGCGCAATAAAAACAAACATCATTGAACTATGAAAACAAACATTATAGAAATTATTTGCAATGTTGAAAAGGTAGGAAGTGGAAAAACGCTGTCTAATTTTATTATTTAAACGATCTGCTGGATGTCGGTCGACAGAGATAATTCAAATTGAATGAACAAAAAAACCTTTAATGAATTTGCAAATTATTTTGCGCCAGCCCCTTTTACACGAATGATTAAGTAGTTTTTCGGCTGCTTCAAGAGATCAAAAACATTGTACCTAATAGGCATTTGTTAATTATTTTTTCCTTCTCACAAAACACTTGAAAAGATCTGTATGAAACTGAACTCTTCGACCTTTTCAATAAGGTGAAAGAAAAAAGCAAAAAAAAGCAAGAAACAATAAACTATTCATTAATTGTTCTTTCTCTACTAAACGTTAGTGCTGCTTGTTGTAGCTATATTTACTCCATTTCTCTTCATATTAGGGGAAAAAAATCAGCTTAAGAAGTTCTTCCGCACGATAATCAAATCGGACAATATCTGAAGTCAATGCTTAATTTTTTAACTTGCGGTGTAAAAGTGAAGTAAGAAAAAGAAAAAAATAGCAACATGAAAGCATATACACATGATTTCGTTGCTCTGCATGAGGCCTTATAGCTGCGGCGTAGAAAGAGGAAAACAATAAACAATGCCAAAGGTCACTGCTAGAAGTTGCTTCAATTTTTCACAGTAATAAAAAAATCCAATAAATATTTCTTGTATGTTTTCTTTTCTCTTACAATCAACGTACTTACTGATCAAGAAATTATCTAATCTATTCTAAAGTAAATTTATCGATGTGAATTTATTGATATCATTTAAAGTAAAATTTCTTTAATAAAATTTCTTTAATATTTAATTAACGATGCTACTTTGGTTGGAAGATAAATACGTTGTATTGTGTTTATATTTATCTTCAAATTCTTATGCATATATGTAAATATTTAAATAAATAACTTCCTGAACAGAAGAAGTTAAAGAAAACGACATTCAAAATTTTCACGCATCACACGATGGAGAATTTACTTAAACAGTATCTGAGAAGAATTATGTCCAAATATTTTTTTCGATTTCTTGCGCGAGAAATTTATTCTCGTTTGATCGTTTGAAATCGTGTGGAAAATAATCATAAAATTCAATTACGCTATGGATTGAGTGCTCAAATTTATGAATTTGATGTTGTTGGAATGCGGATAATGCACCGTTTCTTAAAATTGTATCTGAAGCATGTTTACTTACAATTTCACTGCCAGCGTTAAATTTTTATTTAGGTAATATGGAAGAATTTCAATGTCACAAATGATATCTTTTACAGCAAACTCTTTCCAACTTTCATGATTTGGTATACATGGCTTATAAACTTGAATGTTTGTAATTTAAATAGATATTATATTTAAAGATGTAAATTATCTCATTTACAACCATTTCAAGCTTAATCCATTCTTATTGTGTACCTTAAAGCAATTTCCAAAAGTAGCTCAATATCGTTTGTTCATTTATTTATTATAAATATTCTCAAAAGATTGTGCAAACCTACGATAACCTTGATAGCTCAATTTATTTGGTTAAATAATATGCAGATATTTATTTGTGCATTAGGTACTTAGTTTCAAATTCAGCTTATCTTTGATTTAACATTTGAAAAAGAATTAAATTCCTCAATCAGCAAGATCATTATAATTTGTCTGTTTCTTGAATGATAAATAATATTCCACTAAACTTCTTTTGTATGTATTTTCAAATAAAACTCGAGATCCAATTAATATTCTCTTCTGTTTTTAGTTTATTAATTAAAAGAAATTGAAAGCCTGGTTAACTCTTGAAAAAGTTTCACGTCAGCTGTATGATTCAAATTTGTAATGAAACCAACCTACAACCCTGCAGCATTGAAATCTTCGCTGTTAATCAAATGTTTCTTAATGCCTTTGTTGTGGAAAAAATAATAAAGTCAAATTGTATCAAATTTTCGACTTTGTAAAACACTAGTCAAAAGTCTTGCGCAAAGCATGAGGTCTTGATTATCAGTCCGACTGGTTTAGAGTTTATTTTTGAATTGAATTAAGTACCTAAAATGCCAAAGGTGAATTTAAAATGAGTGCAAATAGTTTTTTTGCTGTTACATTCAAACCAAATTATGCCTTAGTTTTCTGAATTTTTAATATTTTCTTACTATGACGTATCTTACGATAAGCAATTCTTTTAAAAAACATTTCTAGAATTTGTAAATGTAAGTATAAGCAGAGATCATATCAATTTGAAATGTGATTTAATAAGTCTCATTTTTATAATTAAAAATTTCAATGAAAAAATAATTGATGATATTACCAATTGGAAGTGTCGCTAAAAGCGTTCAACTTATTGACTTTAAGTTAAAAACATAATGTAGTAAATTTCGTAACAAACTTACGAGTCCTATTTAATGAAATGGCAAGTGTTCGAGATTCAAATATATCTATGAATCACAACTTTCTAAATAACATATTTCACCTGACTTCAATACCACGCAAGACACAATATATTGTATCAAGCAACGATACAACGAATGGAATAAGAATAAGCATTGAACAAATCATCTTGAGGCAATTTGTGTGAAAAGCATTAGATAAACTTTTGACTTTATGTTTCAAAATTACGTAAACTCGTTTTTTTCAAAGTAGACAATTCCATAATGTTTCGCTTACCTTTCACATCTCCTTCCACCTGAAAATCAACATTTTTATTAGTGTTTCAATGATTGCGGCAGTAGTGTGGCTGATGATTAATAAAGCTGACCTAGCACTTTAATGGCTCAGTTTGATAGTTTAACAAGCTCAAGGTAATGAGAAACTCAATTAAGCTCCTGGGGCTGTAGAAAGGCGCTACAGAAAATAGAATATCTTCGCCTTGATACATTATTGTGAAGATAATTCAAGAATATAAAATCTTAGAATTTTTAGAAAACCACTTAATTACTTCATTGAATTTATTTTTTTCATGTAGGTTGATGATAAAGAAATGAAATTACAACGGAACCAAATAAATATGTATATAGCGATAGTTCTGGTAAATTTTTGTGTAACAACATACAAATCTATAGATATATCAATTAATATGCATCATATTTATTCTATTTATCCACCCTCAAATGTCTCTACTTAAAAATATATTCATGTGATCGTGACAGATGAATATGAAAACATTATTGATATTCCTCGAAGGGTCATTTAAATTACTCTCAATTTTTTTTCTCATCTTCGATGAAAAACTTACAAAAGAAGAGCCTGAAGTGCTGCAACATGAGAACAGTAAAAATAATGATGATTTGCGTGTTCTATTTTAATTACTTTTTATACTTTGAATATTAAATTTTATTCACACAAGAGAGATCATTTTTGATAAATGGAATATTTCAATTTTGTTTCTTCTATTCCATGCTCGCCTTTTTCTTCGTATTATGTTATTTCACGTAACGCCTCCCGCTTAATGAGCAATTAAAGCACATGGTATTTTATCACTCGAAGGTGAATAACAAATGAATATTTTGAAATGTTTTCTTTTTGATATATACCATACATGCGGCGCACTATAACATCATAACGATTCATTTTTCAATTATGAGTATCCTTACTTTAGGCGATTCTTTTTCTGACAATGGATAGAACATATATATATACATAACTGCGAATAAAAAATATATGTTGATATATTCTGGTACTACTAATAATTGGAAAACGTAAGAGAAAGCAATTTTGGCTGCCGTATAAAGGTTTTAAGATAAATTTAAACATAGATATCACGTCAAATCATACATAATTGATTGGACTTCGATGTGAAAGATTTGACAATGTCTGAGAATATTTTGCTTCATTTAGCTTTAATTAATGCTCAATTTACAAATGAACTTGTTACTCTGTACTTTGATCTTGATTTCAAATTTATTTAAATCTCTGCAACTGGATTTTGATTGATTGTTCACCATCAGTTTCTTTGCCTCATTAACTCGTCAAATGTTAAATGAACCTTGGCGCAAGTGAAGAAAGTTATTCAGTTTTCATTATTTAAATTTTTGAAGATATATTCTCGCTGACTCATCGTCAATCCGACATACAAATTAAGGTTTTTCTTATTATTAAAGTTGATGCTGAAAGTAAAGCAAATCAACTTTTACAAGCTATTTAGACGATAATGAACTGTTTGAAGTGTATATAATGATATAGAATTATACTACTGTTGCGAAATATAATTTTAAAAGTATTACATTTCTATTCTGTTCATGAAATAATTTTGTGCATAATGTGCAACTGTACAAAGGCGTAATAAGTAAAACCTCAGCATGAACCCCACTTTTAGCACAAAATCAGATAAAAAAACTTAAAATCAACTACCTATATAATATGTTTATGTTCCTTCAATACTTAAACAAAAAGCAATAGAAACTATAAATTTTCTACAACATAATATTGAAAAGCATCTTGAATCCTTTGAAATCTTTAAAATGAAAATAAAATTTGCCTACGTGATAAGAAATAAAATCGTTAATTTTTTATAAGTATCTAAGAAAATATCCAAGTAGTCAAGTTAGTGTTATTAAACAATCAAAACCCCGTTGAATAAATAACAAAAGCTTTAATAATAAATTATTTTCAAAGCTAGTTAAAAAACATTTTCCGACATATCTGCAAGCAGCTTCTGTATAAACGAGATATTTTGTTGCATTTCAAGATCATAAATAATTTAAGCTTTTAAAGCACCTGATTAAATCAGCTGTTGAATTAAGATTAAAGCTATTGAATAGATAAGAGAGATAAAATTTTAAAATCCATTCTGTAAATGCAAGATTAAATAAAACACGTTTAATAAATATTTATAAAATTCAAAATATATAGCTATTCAAAACTAAATATTAATATTTCAATAAGTATATAAATTAAGAAAAGTTATGATTCCAAAGCATTTAATATTCAATTTCTAATTAATTCTGCTCAATTTATCTACTTACAGATAAGTAAATTGGAGCAAAAGAGAGCAAGTTCACAATCATACTACACAATTTTAATACTTATTTATTATGTAATTGAAGGTAAATTTGTAGCACTTTTCGCGTATAATTTATATGTACTTTCATAATTTACTGTAAAATCAATTTTGCGAGAATCTTTTGTATTTTATGTTATACGTAAAGTGTACAATGATGCATGCTACTTTATTTCAATTATGGTTCAACATAGCGGCGCATAAGTCTATGACGAAGAAGAGGAAAGTGTAGAGAATGCAAAAGTACTTGCAATTGATTGATTTATGCATTGCACTTGGCAATTACAATTATCATTTTCTTAGAGTTCACATTGTGGAGTACAGATATGTATCAATCACAAGCGACTGAGATAAACGTAGCCATTTTTATATATATTAATGACAATATTCTTTGAATTTGTTTCCAATTCTGAGTTTGTTTTCTTTTTTCTGATGTCAGGTTGAGCCTTCGTTAAAATGTGGCAATTAAACATGGATACTTTTAAATATACCAAACTGATAGTGCTATATTACTGGACATAATACATGCTTTTTAACAGCACAAAGAAAAATATAGACTGCTGTCGGTTCCTTTTTCACAAGGCAAAGCTTGAAAGTGAGAACAACAATTGTTAAAGGAATATACAAAATTAGCAGAACTAATTGACATTTTGGATCTGTGCAGTTTTTGTTTCGTTATTTATTTTAATATTCCTTTCAAGAAACAAACTCTTACAATATACGTAAACATAAAATGATATTACACATTCTTAAATGGTTTATGTTTCAATTTTCTTTTACTTAAGGCTATATGCTTTTCAAACTGTACTCTGCAAAACAATAGCAAGTAGATCATGCTATGAACATCAAATCATGCTAATTCCATTTACCATTGAGAGATGAAACTATGACAGCACAGATAAAAACAAAATATGCATGGAAATTTTGTCAAAAGTTATGAAACGAAGAAAAAAACGTTAAAATTTCATTGAACGCTGGTTGTGATCTTAAATTTCAGACAGTGCAAGTGTATATTTATTCCATCCTTTCTTCTAGCACTTGATCCACTGCAAATACTTAAAGTATAATACAATTTTCAACAAAGACAACATTTGTTATCTTAGTAACTTAGCAATACAAAAATTGAATGATGGAATAATTTCTGATTATGTACAACGTATGGTCCTTTGGAATGATTGAGTCAAACAACTGTTAACAAGATTCAGTTTCAAAGACCCTTTTCTATAGACTATTCCTGCAACATTTAACAATTTTTAAGACATACTCATTGCTAAGTATATGATCAATTGATTATTGTTTTAAACTTTAAATGTATCTAATCTCAATAATTTAAAGAACAAAAGAAAAAGATTTGAACGTCTGAACAAAATAAAATACGTTAGCTTTTATTTCTTCGTTATCTAATTGTCACTTAGATATGGGATATCATTTAGATTTTTATATAGGAAATGTTGTTATGCAAATGCATGCAGGAATGGATTCCAAACATTTTAAATTTGTCATTTCTAGATTTCTTCACATATTTCAAATATGATTAACGTAAATAAGTAAATAACAAATTCCTCTAAGATCAAAACTATATTTTCATGAATAACATGTTTTTTTCAGCGTTTTTTTTCTCACTTTATCGTTTTATTGAATGTTGAGTTTTATTTCTCTGCTTTTTATCTTCTTTCTGAACTTTGTAAAATGCATTCAAAAATTATGAGACTTCATTCGGTGGTGACATGAAAATAACCTTTAAACGGCAGTCAAATAAAATGCTTGTTTTGTCTTATCGACCTTTTGTGATACTTTCGGGTAGAAAGGAAATAAAAATGGTCAACGTTTTTCTCCATAAGTAATTTTAATTTCACCGCGAAATCATTCAATGAAAAAGTTCTTTTTGTAAGTTTTCAAATGATCTATTATAAATGATTTTTTATCAGTTTCATTTAGTAAAAAATGACATTTCGAAATGTATTTATTTAGCCCAAATATTTTAACTTAATTGAATATACCTAGTAACTATATTCAATTTTCATCAATTTCAGACATATAAAATTGAGAAGACTATTTTTTGGTAGTAATTTTCAAGAACCTGAATCTGTTTTTAAATTTATTTCGAACAGAATTTTTATTGTTTGAAATGTTAGTAGTATCAGTTTATTAACGAACTGTTTGCAAGTTCGATATAAAATTTATTTACTTTGTCATCCATAACTTTAAATGTTATCAGAAAGTATATACGAGAGAATTGCTGAAAGAAAAACGCGATTTCTTTTAATATACGGCGCCAGTTGACCGTATTCGATTTGAGTACTGTTTTATGCATTTATGTATGCATCAGCTTGTTGCTGTAAGATATATCACTTCAGAAGATTGTATAACATAACTGCTCTCGAAAATATATTGTTTTGTATTATTTGGTCACTGTTGTAATGTAAACTTACATAGGTGAGAATGAGTAAAAATTATTTAATTCGTAATTAATTGGGTTGGGCCCAAATATAGTTTAACATTTCAATACAATTATATATTCTAATTAATTGAGGATTAAGAGAAAAATATTAAGCTAGTGGATGGTTATTCTTATTACTTTAATATCATCAGGAGTTGTTTGACTCTCTTTTGACATCTACCATTAAAAATAACTTATGCTTTTAATAGGAAGCTATCTATGGTAAGAAATTGTGATGAAGTGATAATATTTTACTTCATTGAGATTGTATGATTTTTATCAATCATGTCATAGTTTTAATTTGTCTTGTTTCAAGAATAAAATTTCATAAGACAAGCTGTAATCATGAGAAGATTTTCTTAGGAAATCTTAAAAAGAGCATGCTCTTAAATGTTTACAAATGAAGAAATAAACAAACAAACAAATTGTGAATACTTGGCATATTAAAAGATATGATATTTATGTATGATTGTAAACTTTTGAAATTGAAACATTTTTAGTACAATTCGCAAATATTCACATATGTTTGAAAATCGTTTATTTTTACCTCTATCTAAACAAATGCTATTCTAAGTTATAAGTAAGTTATAAGGAAGCTTTTAATAAATTAAATTCCAATTATTCTTGTAATGCGCTATCATTTTTAAAAGATATAATAAAAATTGTTTCAATTTCTTTTTCTCTCTTAATGTACTTGGACAGCAAGCAACATTTTTTCTAAACATTAACAATTGTCATAATAGTGAATGGTCATTATTCGTTTCAAGACTGAACAATTTTCTTAGAGTGTGAGTGGGTGATGCTTTTAAAATTTATTTAAAAAACCTTTTCTAACAGCTAACATGTAGTTTTATTTAATGGAAATTACTGACCACACTATTCAAAACGTAATCGAGTTTAGTTTCTCCGAATATTCATCTAATTCGTTTTTGTAGTCTAAGGAAATTAGAGACTAATTTTTCTCCTCGCAAACGAAAATTATGACCAATTCAAGCAGTGCTCAGAGAAAATCAGGGCTTCGGTCCGGAACCTTTTTCCTGTTCCGGAACAGGAAACGGACCTTAAGGGGACCATGAACTTGTTCCGGAACAAAAACGGACCGTTCCGCAAACGATAAATCTGTTCCGGAACAGGAAAAGGACCGTTCCGCTAAACGCAAACCTGTTCCGCACCAGGTCCGGAACAAAAAGGACCTATCTAATTATGTAAGAAAAGTAAAAAAAAATCAAAAAGAAAAAATTGCTGAAAGTGAAAAAAAGTCATCAAAATGGCGAAAATAAAACTAAATTCACGATGTGTCTGTTAGAACATACATTATCTCAGTAATGCTATTATTGATTTAGTTTTCTCTTTAATCAAAACAATCTTTTGATCGTTTTCTTTATTAGAGAAAACTAAATTTTATTCATTCGTTAATAAGAACTCAATGAATAAAGTAATGTAATTTACAGCAGAGTCAAGTTCATGCATGTTTATATTAAAACTTACCGTAATAGAAGCTTTACAGTCTTCCTGCTTGCAAATTCCTTTGTTTTTTTTTGCTGTCATAATCGAAAAATGCATAAATGCCTTCTTTAATATTTTTTTTCAGCGGCATTTTTTTTCATTCACTACACTTTAAAGTTTTCACAAAAAAAAATTTAACAGTGTTTTTTCATGCATTGAGTTGCTGAACACACTCTATTAAAAAATTCAAAAAATAATTTACTGAACAGTTAAAAATTTCTAACCGCGAGAATAATACGCAGAACATCGGTGTGCGAACTAAGGTCCGTTTTGTTCCGCGGACCTTGTTTTTGTTCCGGAACAATGACGGACCTTGAACAGGACCATGAATCTGTTCCGGAACATTAACGGACCGTTCCGCAAACGATAAATCTGTTCCGGAACAGGAAAAGGACTTTGTTCCGGAACAGGAAACGGACCTTAAACGGATCTCGGAACACGGACCGAAGTCCCGGAGAAAATTATGTTTATATCAGGGGTCGGAAGCCGAAGCGGAAGCTGGAAGCTTAGAGAAGTTCATTTTTTTGAGAAGCTGAAGCAGAAGCTTAGAAGCTTTTTCAGAATTTTGAGAAGCCGAAGGAAGCTTAAAATTTTTTATATTGCAGCATGCTTTTGATTTTTATTTGGTTTAACGTACACATTTTAAGTTTCAAATATTGGGTGTCAAACTTAAGGATTTGCTAGTGTAAAAATAATGTTTATTCTACAATGATTGTTAAAATTAGGTAAATTATGAATTAACCAAAGTGTTAAAGATGGTTGAAATGATGAAAATAGTAACTATTAGTATTAAATTGATACGTCTGATGTTATTAAATTGATGTTGATGTAAAACGAAATACGGTTTTCAGACAATAAGAAGATTTTATTCTCAGATTTATCTCATCGACTAGTTTCGGTGGCAAAATGTCACCATCATCAGGATCTTCTACAAATTATATAAAAATTTAATCACTGAACTAAACTCAACATTAATACTATCGTTCAGAAATGTTTGAGAATTTGTCAATATTATTTATAAAAACTTTAAAAATATTCTGCATGTAGTAAATTCTTGCGCCAATCGCCATTAAGTGTTCAACTTATATTGACGTAACGAAAATAGTAACGACAAACTTCTCAACGGAAATCATTCGAACTTTGATTCGTTTTGAATGTTTTAAATTAAACAGAAGAATTGAGTCTAGGGCACATGGAGCTTCCAATTGAAATCCGAAGAAGTAAAAAAAGTGTCTTTAATCGTGACATTTTTTATGCACGATTTTAAATATTTGAGCTTAATTTTTCGGTGAAACAGAAAACAAGAGAAATGAAGTAGATAAAAGAAAAAAAACATATTCATAAGCGTTGTGATCAATGATCAATCGCAATGTCATGATAAAAGTATAAAAATATAAACTGAGAAATTGTTACACAGATGACAAATTGTTCGTAGTTTCATTTATGGGTCACGTGAAAATGAAATCGTAAACTTTGGTCACGGTATTTTTCAAAGCTCGGAATGTTAATATCAGCTTAATTATAACTAAAAGACTATGTTTATGCAATCTTTGTAATAAGTATTGGCTGATCAATCTTTTGAAAAGCGTGAGAATTATTAGTCTCGTCAACTTGTTTATACAAATAGAAAGTTTTCGAATTGTCATTTTCTTACATGTGGATCATAATTTATGAAATAAATTTGTATTAGACACTGCCATAGAATGAACTTTTGGTGCATAGTGAAACCATGCTTTACAATTTCTGAATGTTTTTAGTGACAGAAAATTAATTGGAGCATAACAAAATATCATATGGATAATTCGATGATAAAATATTTTTTGTATTTGATAACACTTTTATCGAGTTTTTGATTAATTGAATCTAGTAAATGACTTAAATTTTATAAAGTTTAGTTCTAAACAACCTAATAAATATATTAAATAAATTATCAAGAGAAAATTTTCTTCAGTCGATGTCAAATATTAACTTTTGTTGGCTCGTCTCTTATGATCTTAGTTTTTATAATAACTTAAATATTTTTTATATATGATGCCGAGAAATCTCCAAGTGATAGAAACTGTTAAAAATCCTGACATATTTATTGGTAGTTAATAGTCAGTGAAATCACCTGTAGCTGTAGCAAAAATTTATAAATTTATTTTATGAATTCAATTGGAAGCAATCGATTATGCAACTTGTGAATAATGTCGCTTGAGGACATGTCCATTAGATGTCTTCGAAATGAAATATAATCGAGAATGAGCCTGGGAAAATTGTTAGCGCTATATTTTACTTTTCGCATTAAAAAAGATCGTTTCGACAATCATTTGGATGTGAATCCAATATGTGCCGTGTCACTATCATGAATTAACAAGAGTTATGAATAAATGATGGTGTAAACAAGCAACCCTATGAATTTGACAAGCAGAATCAAATTAAATTAAAAGGAATACTGTGGGTATTTATTTAAATAGTATATGCGATTCAAAGCATGAATATTATAAGAGAGAAGGAAGGGTGTAGGTCTATGCATTGTGCATCAAGTTCAACAATTTAATTTTCAGGGATTCGAATGGAACGGATAAACTTGAGCTATGTTTTATGATGAAAAACATTTTGTTTGCAATCATCTGAAAAATTGAAAGAATGATTGTCCATGGCACACCCTAGGAGGGTAGCTTTGTATTTATTTTATTTTTAACCCACGCGACCTGCTAAATTTATGTCTTCCGATTCGTTAACTCAATGAAATGTATTTCCCTCACTTCCATTTTCAATCAATTTTTTTTATGAACGTTTGGTCTGTGAGACGAATGATATCATTGCGTCGTATTTCAGATCATTGTTCGCATTAATTGATTGTAGCTTCATATGTTTCTAAACAATGTGGGTGCATATGACATTAGAAGAAGGGGGCGATGTTTTAAAAGAGCTATCATCAATGATTCTTCTGTATAAAAGCGTGTGAAACCAAACCGTATTTTTTTATAAATATTTTTATGTGATGAAAACATTGAATTGATAAGAATTTATTAGATAAATATAGTATAGAATTTTACTAGCAAATAATATTTTAGGCCTCCTTTTTAAAATTCAGATTATTTCTTCAAATACATATTACATATAAGAAGCATCGAGGATGTAGAATCCCATGAAAGAGATCGATTGGATCAAGTGAAAGATAATGTCATGAAAATTGGTGGATATGTTCAAGAAATGGAAACTTAAGATTTGCGTCAAGGAGATCAATTCGATAGACGAATAACCAATAATTTTATAAATAAAATGTAACTTCCGAAAGAACGCACGCGTATTTAATTAACTCAAATTTTGTTCAGCTTTATCAGCCTATTCCATTCCATTTGCGTCTGCTTGCTGATATCCGTTTTGAATCCTGTGAAAAACGTGCTGATTCCATGATTTCAACCGGATTCTGTAAAACTTTATCAAAATCATAAGATAGATGACGTCAAAAAGCGTGCACGAGGCACTTCAAATCATTTACAATTCCATTCTATTCTTGTAAAGTTCGCATTTTTTTGCTGTTTCCTTTCTGAAGTCTCAATTGCCCTAAACTTTGAAACGCATGTTATTCACGTGCCATCAGGAAGCGACATATATAAAAGATACAAAATATGAACACATGATGGCTTATGCGGAAATTCTCTTAACGCAGAAGTTTGTTCGCGCTTTTTTTTAAATCATAAGGTTAATGAAATGAATTTATTTTCTTCAAAACTTGAGCTCTTTGAACAAATTATCCAACAACATGATCATTCAATTTCTCTTACGATTTACACAAAATATATGATTAAATCTCGATCACAAGTCATTCCTTTCATGATAACCATTTTAACACAAATTCCAGAGATCATTTATGTAATTAAGTATTTCGATATACAAATAAACCTCCCTCTTTCATATGTCGTATAAATAAAGAGAAAAAAACTGCAACGCTTAAATTTATGAATGTAGCTTTGATGAACGCTTTTGCAGCGCAAAAACCAAAACCACAGCGAAAGAAGAGAAGACAGAAGAAAAAAAGATCAAAAAAAAGAAATTTCTTGATATACCAAATATAAATATATTGATTACAGGTTGCTCAACACAGGTGATTATTTATTGAATGATTTAAGTAAAAGAAAAAGTTTGCATTGCGGTACTGATAATGTTGAATTGTCAATGAGATTCTGTACTGTTCGCGTTGGGGACTCATTTATTTAATCCCGTTATTTCACCACGATCAAATTACCAAATCCATATTACAGTAGAAGCGTGATATAAAGATGGCTGAAGGGACCCATTGTATCGAGCAAATAGTCTGTGCATTTATTTTTAAGAGAGATAGACAGGTTCGTACTATCAAGTGAAAATTTTTAGAAAAGCGTTATATCAAGGTTCCACTGTATATGTTTTCGTTTAGCCTTTATGCTTTTGGTGATAAATGAACTTATCGATTCCATAAATATACTTCTCCAAGAAAAATCTTTTCTTATTTCTTTTGGTGAATGCAACTTATTGCAAATTCAAGGAACGATGTTTAAGTTAAATAAGTGCAGTGAAATTTCGTACAGAATTTAGGTTCACTGGCAATATTTTCAGTGGACAAAATTAAATGCAATTGCACTATGAATATTTTTCATTTATTATCATTCAATTAACAGCAACGATTCAGTATTCGAGAGACTAAAATCAGCAGAACATCTTATTAGTTGAAATGGAGAGCTCCGTGAACTCAATTCATCACAGTTCTTTCACGCTATCATAAAGTTAAAGTAAGGTATTTCCAAGGTAAAAGCACGGGAATTTATTTTATTATTATCGAAAAACGGTTTAATGATCAACATAATCTTAAACGATCACCAATATACTTACATATATTTACATCCATATTTATATGCATCTTATAAGTATGCATAAGAATATATCCTATATATGATTAATACTTTGGCAAGAAACATAAATTGTTGCATTAAAAAAATTGATTGCCCATAATTATGACATTTTGTTAAGAAATTAAAAGCATTTCGTCCCAAATGCACATCACAATTATGTCTACTTTATTCAATAAAATTATTCGTAAATGCTTATGTGCTAAATATTATGTTGAAAATCATAAATACCTATAAAGTATAGTTTAAGGGCAGAAGGTTTCATTTGTTTGTTTTTTATTTCATGTAAAGCTGTGATTATTCACTTAATTAAATTACTCCAGTGAATAATCGAATGACTTTACTATATCGTGTAATGAATTAAATAAAAGTAATAATTATAGATTTTTTTAATAAATGTCTAGGAAAATTTTGATTTAACATTTATTTTTAACTTAAAGCTCTTCTCCTCAATAGATAACTTTTAAAGGTTAAATTTTGAATTTTCTTTTAAATGATTTAAATGATTACTAGTTTAAATGATCCCTCAATTAAAAAATGTTGTTTGATTTCTAAGTATCTATGTGTAATCATGAATCATTTATCGGTAATTTCTGAATTTCTAATGCTTTTTTTTATTTCTAACTCTTTCCTAATGAATGCTTGAACTTCAACAATATTTTATTCTTTCAAAACAAAATATTTGTATTTTTTTAATGTTTAAACTCCATGAATTAATTTATATCTTCATACATACACACTTATACATATGTGTATATATGTATGTTTTTAAGCTCATTTGAAAGTCAAACATTAGTAATGAGATTCGATTTAGTGTGACACCTAATGTTTGACAAACAATTTTGCTCATTACGTTAACAAACGCTAAGAACAATGTTCATGAAACCTTTTCTAGAATTCGATGTTGCATAAATCATTTGAGTCTTAAGTTAAAGAATGAAAATATTACAATACACGGTTCAAGCAGATGAAATCGCTGAAAGGGTGTTAAAAATACAACTCATTGTTTCACTTTCTCACCACACATATTACTCAGTTTGATGTTACGGTCACACGGGATGATATTTCCATCTAACAAATTTAGAGGGGGAATCCAATTCGATTGTTTAATTTAATTTTGTTTGCGGAACTATTGACATTCTCAGGAACCTGAAACTGAATGTTTAGTTGTATTTAGGTTTTTAGATAAAAATTTACATGTATGTAGACTCAAAATATTAATCTTTAAACGAATGAATTGAAGTTTAACTATATGAAAATAGATTGATCCGTTTGTGAGTTATGCTGATAATTAACAAAATATTTTTACTTTAAAGCGACACTAAATATTTTGATATTAAGCACGTTGATTTAAAGTTATATAAAAGTTTTTCAATAACGTATAAATTTGAAAGCAGGTTTATTAAAGCAGATGAATCAGTTCCATTACCTGCTCTTAGCCCTTGATTTTACTTCCTATTACCATGAAATGAAAGAAGTAAGTAATAAAGAGTACATGGAAGCATATGCTGCAAGTCTTTGATTGTTGAGCAGCAGTATGCTGCTGACTCTAGAATATTGAAAACCGTTAGACTCTCTAAACATCAACATAACTAGGGGTGAGAAATACTATAAACTTTTTTATTTATTCAAAATCTCGGTCTGGCTTTTTGTGTTTACGAGATAACAGTTTTCTAAGTTGCAGAAAAATAACAAGTTGCTTTATATTTAGAGGGTTGATTTGTTTAAGAGTAGTTCACAATTGCTTTCATTCGACCCTTATGAAAGTGAAAATATGTATGCAACAAAAGAACTATGAGCGTGGGATAAAAATATCGAAATTACTGAATTTATTAGTTACGCAATTTTAATTGTCTATGTCAGTGTAGATGAAGGTACACGTTTAAGTCATGTGAAATTGTTAAGTTGAATAGTTTTTCATTGAATTCGGAAGCAGATGCAGCATCCGGTTGGTGGGAAAAATATTTTGATTGGAACATTGTGTTGAAGTTTTCTTTGAGAATGTAGAGATAATATTTTATTCAACTACATTTTTATGAAGATATCAACTAACCATGGAAATTCATGGAAATTTATCTTCAAGTGTATTCACTTTGAAAATATTTATTCTTAAGTCACATCTAAGTAGAAGATGCATTTAAGTTGTAATCAGTTTAGAGCTGAAAAATGCATTTGAAAATTTTGTTACTCGATCCTACCTGTTTACGAATCAAAATAATTTCTTCTTTTTTGGTAAAAGAAAAACGATTTAGGTATTAATAAAGTTTAAAAATTTGAGTTGTGCAAATTATGGTTCAAATACGATACGTATTATTTTATCGACCCTAAATTATATTTAAATGTTGTTTCTGTCATCAAACTCAACGCAGTTAAAATTATTAATCCGTTTCTAATTACCAATTACGCTTTAACATAGACTATTTACTGGAGTCGTATAAACATTTTATGAAGTCGCCGACTGAGAAATCAAAGCGTTAGCCATGAATGAGTCACACAATTAACTATCAATTTCATTTTGCTGCCGTTTTGAATTTTAACAATGTAAATATGCAAATACAATAAATTTTTAAATTTCCATAATTTTCAAGAAGTGTTTTCACACTTGTTGGTAACACAATCTGTCTTACTGGATAAGATCCAAAGCACGAATCTAAATAAAAAGAATACGAAACAAAGTACTCACTTGTTCTAAGAACATTTATATCGCGATTCAAGTATAACTGTTGAGTAATCACCGATATTGTATTTAAATGAGATGGTAAGACATGTTATAACAAAATTAGATGATGTCTTTTTAATTATAAAAAAAAATCAGTATTCACTATATGAAAAACGGCATGTCGAGTAAATCTAATTGCTTTTCATAATAAAGATTAAGAATGCCAATAGCAGCGACACACAAAAACACCCACAACACCTCGTTTGTTGTTTTCTTAAATTTTTAATTGATATTTTGTTTCGCTACACTTCACTTAAGTTACTATTACTTGTTTGGTTGCTTGTAAAAAGTAAAAACAATTTTAGCGCCTATTGTGGCGCAGTCGACACTTATCTTAAAGTTTATTGACGGCTTATGATCTGTGAAGTAAGAAATTGTTTATTACAACAAAATAAGAAATAAAATCACATGTGCAATCTCATCAAACAGTAATTTCAAATTGTGTGCCAAATAAAGCAAGTCGTAAACATCGGTAAAGTTTCAATTATTACCTACATCACAAAATCAGCCTGACAACAGGTTTCTCTTGTTTTTATTACTTTTTTTCCTCTGATTGTTATTAAAAAACAATTCAGTGTCGAAAATTAGAGTTCTCAAATATCATTCGTTCATTTGAATGGTATTACAATTATTTCAAGCATCGTGAGAGATCGCCACACACCCAAAGACCCGATAAGAATAAAGGTTTTCTCAATTTTACTGCTACTTCGCCTTTAAACTGGAACCTTAATAGTAACTTTATCTGATCGTGTGAAAGAGAAATGAGAAGCACACACCACATCAACTTAATATTTCTCTTTTATTAATTGTTGAGCTTGTTATGAAAAATCTGATTTGCATATTAAAATAAATCGATATCAATTTTTCAAAGCTAATTAATTGTAATGCGCTTTTAATAGAGAAAAATGGAGTGATAGTTTATGATAATGATCGATAATTTTCTCTGTCATCTCAGTTATGGAAAAGGTGTGCTCGTTGCTTTCGCATTCCATTCTTGCGCGATACTAATATTCAATCGTGAATGCTTTGATTATTCATAAGCATCGTTTCGAAGATCGTTGTCGTGTTTACAAATTGAATACTATAAAACATTATAGATTGGCATGCGATACAACATTCGAAAAGTGGTGGAATACTTACATTTTGCGACTAGAAATCTAGTTGCATATTGAGTCACCCGAAATAAGAATACAATCAGGTTTCGCTTGCCATTAATATTGCATCATTAATGGGTGTTGTATAAAAAATCCAATCGGTCCAAGTATGCGAAATCCATTTAAATTAAGAACAATTGCACGATTTCAATTGTCGGGTTAAATCATTTCTTTCTTCCTTTTCATCTGATATTTAAAATGTTAAAACCTTCTTTCACTTCAACCAGTAAAACCATCATCTGAGAAAGAGACATTTCCCACAAATTAGGCGCTTTTTTTAAACCAAATTTTAATCTCATAATTGATTTTGTTTCGTTTCGTTGATGATGTGGTAACTGATCCCTGCTTGTCTTTATTAGCTTGACTGGAAGAAAAAAAAACGAAGCATTTTGCACGAGGTTAAATTGTGTCAATCATTATAAGAGCCGTGAGTCTGATTGAAATTTTAAATCACAACCTGTTGCTAAGTAACAATATTTATGTCGTTTCTACGTTATATAGCTTCACAAAGTCCAAAATCTTTTGAGTCATTAACGTTCGTTTGGATGGAGCAAGTGAATCTTAAGACGATTATAATGCTTTTTAAAATAAGTTTTGAAAGAGTCGTATCATGATATGAAGTTGAACAAAACAAACTTGAATTTGAGCGTTAAAAACAGAAGCATTGAGGAGTGCTATTAACGTTAAATGCTTTCGAGTGATGTTCTTTTTTTAACATTTTATTATATTGCGGTGCTTCTTACGGATTTGTCACTCGAAGAAGATAAATACTTGTCATGATTTCATCTCTCGTCTAATATTTAACAAGGCGCACATGTATGGATAAGATTTCTTCTCCATCGTCATTAGCTATTAATCTTGAACCGCGCAAAATTTACCTAAAAGAGTTTTTTAAAGATTTAAACATTCCAAACAATCCATCATCGACTCATAGATATGATTTAGTAACGAATGACTGCATTTCTTAAAAGATTAAATTCTATTCTTTTTGGATGACATGAAATCATTTATATTGTTTTATTCTTTTTCTCTTACTTTGGGTTTTCTTACAGGTTGAAGATAAGTATGTAAATATCATTGTTTAAAATTATCCTTCAAGTAAAAAAGTTATTACATTTTTTTTACGTATCAAAATATTCTTTAGGAAAGAATTTTCATTATTCATTTTTCTTATACTCTGAAGATGAACAAATAAATGTACGAAACTAGTCGGTTGAGGAATTAAAAAAATCTTTAATCTGTATTATTCTTAAAGTACAATTCTATTTATTTGAATGAATAAATGAACTACGAAATTCGAAATGAATTCATTTTAAAAGTGAGAATATAGCTTGTAACAGAATAGGCTTGTAACAATTTTAAAAGAAAAAGCAGGAAAAGAAATCATACCTTTAACAGACAGCGCGTTTAAGAGCGATAAACCAATTCATTCATGAGTCTCAGTTTCTGCCGGTTACCAGTGAACAGTCTTGAAAAACCCTTGCCCCAGATCGTTGAGAATTATATACGTGTGACTGATTTAATATTTTATTATCAGTTTTTTTTTGTGACCTTTTTGGCCCTTTCTTATTCAGTTCAACTTACATCTCCTTCCTTTTTTTCATCCTTTAAAAATTTCACTTAGTCTGACCTCTTTAAGAATGTTTCAAAACATTTCTTTTTGACTTAAAACACAATTCACATCACGTATGCTATCAGACGCTGTCTTAAATGAATCAGAACTAAATCTGAATAAATATTTCTACTGTAGTAGCAGACATTCCAATCTTCTGTGTAAACAACACACTCGATGTGTGGTATACCAACAATCAAGCTGGAGAATAGTATCAATTCTACTTTAAAATCACTAGATACTTCAGCAAATTAATTACATAAATCAATAGCAAAACATTAAAAAATCCTATAAATGTCATTAGAGTGCTCTCATGTAATTCAGTTATTTATCAACTTAATAGACATTACTTCTGGCATTGATAAAATTTCAAGCATTTTCTTACGTGCAAATTATTTTCATCGTGTGCTTTTAATAGTAATTTATCGATAGGAAGTATTGATTATCATAAAATATCTGCAGTGGATTGACGGAGATATTTCAATCTGAAACAGAAAGCAATCTGCGTGGGAGTATTTGCTTTCAAATCATGTCATGAACTTAAGACTAACACCAAATGACGACATTCATCTTTAATAAATATGCAATATACTTTCTCTTAAGGCTTCATAATATTTAGCATTCTTTATGTTTTCGACTTGAAATATATTTATTTATTATGAACAATCAATATTTGACGACTGAGAATAATTTTCGTGTTTGCAGCATAAAGAAATCGTTAAAACATGGAAGATTGAGGGAGGAATGAGTTCAGTTTATAATGAAAGATTATGCAATAAATCTCTCGTCTACATAACTGTCGATGCATGCTTTCCTTCGACCGCATATGGTGCCATTCGATCGTGCACAAAATAAGAGAAACACATTTTAAATTTCGAGAACAACAAAGTTATCTTCTTTTCCTCAATTGATCTCCCTTTTTGAGGGTTAAAAAGGACGCCTCCGTTCACACTTTTAAGAGGTTCAACGAGGGTTGATTTCTTCATCTCTAGAGTCTAATCTTAACTATGTGCTGTTTGAAGAGAATTGTGAAGAAAAGATCATAATATAAAACTAAAAGCACACCCTTTTAAGTTTCTATTCCTTAAATAATAAATTTAACATCTGCATCTGCATGGCTTCCATCGGATGGGTTAAATGATTATATATAATTGAAACTGGTCTAAAAACGCTTAAATGTAAATACATAGTATAAAATATAAAAAGGACTAGTTTACAAATTAAATAAATTGTTTTAAATTAAATGATATCATCGGTTCGTGCCATCAACCTCAATAATTACTACTTACGATACTAAACACATCATCAAGTAAATTCTTAATCTTGATACTTGAAGAACAAGCTTTAATAACTAAATTTTATTGATCTATTCTTGTTGTATTTCACTTTATTTGGCTATAATCATTTAATGCTCTAGCGATTGCAGGTTTTAATAACTGCAATAAGATCAACTTCAAAGAAAATTAAAATTATAATTTCTTTAAATGAAAAAAAAAAGATTTATTCGATTGCTTTATTTTTTTCTTGCATTAGGTAGTAAATAGATACTGAAAGATCAACGTTGATCTAGATCTCAAATGTGTCTTATGAGTATGTAAAAGAAGATAACTCTACAGATCATCGAAAGTTCAAAAAGTTCGTATCATTCATTTTAAAAATATTAACCGTTATATGTAACCAAAGGTTATTTCGATATAGCGACAAACAAGCCAAGAGTAAGATGAATAAGCGAGAAAAAAAGCTTAAATGGTAAAAAATTATTTGCTTGTAAAATATATATATCTCTCTTGGGTGTTCTTTTTCAAATAAATTAATGATTTAAAATGTGACTTTATAGCGGAACTTCATCTCAATTTCTCGTGAAAGACTTCATCAATGTTGAGGTAGAAACAAGATTTAATTGATTTTGTTTTTGACATTAAACTAAGTCATTGAGCGCTCGACGATCTCAGATTTTTTTTTGCATTCTGACATGAGCAAGATATCTTACATCAAAATTACCTTTAAGAGGTAGAAAGAGCAAATCACGATACCAAAATCTATTTCTTTCAATTCCATTGCATATCAATCAGGCCAAGTCAGATCGATTTCTTCACTGATCTAATTATAAAAAGAAAACTTCTTTCGATCTTCTTTACTCAATCATCAATTTCTATTTTTTTTCGTTCTCATTTTAATGTATTCATAGAAATAAATAACAAATTGGCAATTGATTATTGATAAGCATTTAACGCTCTCGCGTGTCGATTTTTTTTTGATTTATGTTTCTTTTGAGCACAAAAAAATCAAAGAGCGAGAAAAAAATCTGAATTAGCAGCTTTAATGACAAATGGAAAGAAACGTTACCGTGTGGTGTATCTCGATAACAATCGCACTATAAAAGCAAAATTGCGCGCTCATGGATTTTAGAAATGTGATCTGATTAAAGTGAATTACAGCAAAGAAAAAACAATTAAAAGGTTTGTGTTTTAAGTTTGACTCAATATTTCTTATTCACATTATTTTTTTTTCTTTCGCATTTCACCTTCTTTCTTCATTTCTGCATTTTGAGAAAGAGAAAAAACTGAAGTCACAAAAAAATCGTGTGCAATATGGATTATAATTTAAATTTATCATTCAAACCTTAAAGCACTTTACAATCTGCTAGTCACGGTACCAAAGTTTTTTAAATATAAAAAATGTGAAAGAGGAAGGAAAAAAAACTTTCTTAACAGCAAATATGAAGTTTGTCGCGAGATGTTTTATATCTCGTGGTGTGATCACTTATTTTACATTTGAGTACAATATGCGAATATTTCTCATTTTTACCTTTCGGTGTCACAAAAGAATAAACCATGAAACCGTAGCGAAAATGTATGTAGTTGCCTTTGGACTTTTCTTTTTTTTCGGTCATTGTTGTTACTCCATTTTAAGATCTCACCGTTTTTGTCTTGTTTAATTCCGTGTTACGACAGCAACAGAGATATGTGTCATCCCACGATTACTTTTTATTTTTGGCGATTCGTTAAAGTTATGATGATTTCAAGTGTACTGCAATAAGGTGCCATTATTTAGCCCAGTTCCATAAGTCTAAGAAATTTTGTTTAAATGTCTTTTTTTGTTAGTTACAATTGAAATTCAAAATTTGTTGATATGTTGACCTTTAAGGTTCGAAATTGAAAGAAATTCTCTGGCAAATCGTGAAAATTGACATTTCGAAAGTTCACGATTATTTTATTCAATTTTCTCTTCCTTCAATTTTAAGAAAAGAAGATGAAGCATCGAATGAAATCTCATTTTGTTTTGTGTCGACATCGATAAATGTTCCTTTGAATAAATATGAGCATGAAATCATTGTAGTCTCTCAATCATAACTCATTCATTAAATTCCCGAGCTTTCACGAGGCTAAGAAATGCAGCTCTTTTTTTTCTTCTTCATTTCCTTTCCTTTTCATGGGTGAAGTACTACGTTCGCCTTCATGAAATGTTTATTGTAAAAATTAATTTCCATATCATATACAATTTATTTAACTGTTTCTTTTCGTTTGGAGATTCTACTTGTGTCGTTGATGTAGGTAATGTTTAAATTAAATTTATTTCTTCTTTTCTTTCACTTATGCGCGAAGCTTGATGTTTAATGCCAATTCATTTTCAAAACTGTTCGAGAGGGAAGATGATGTAAGAATCATGCATTAAAGTGCAGGCAAGCTTTCTTTGTGAGGTGTATGACGATGAAACTTCTTCAAATCAGCACACAATATTCACTTAATTTCATGAAGGGTCTATACGACAACAAAAAGAAAGAACATAGCAACGAACAAAAAGATACGATACACATATATGTATGTATAAAATGCTTTAATTGAAATTGAGGAAATGCAAGAAATGTGTGTAATGTTACCTGATGGGGGTATTCTTGAAGATTGTAAACTCAACAACAATACTCATGCTTAATTGTGAGTTATTGAAAAAGACATATTTCTGAATTTAGTGTAATGTTAAATTTTTTACGAGTGTTCCAGAAAACAATTCAATCTTGACGCGTATCTCAATAAATTTTTAGATGGCTTAAGAAACTTCATTGACATTAATGTGCTTTTTTTATAAATAAACCTGATTACGAACGTTTCATCGTCATTGGTAAGCAACATGTTATCTAATTGTTTCGCAACCAAGTGTTACGAATATTACGGAAATTCAAGGTGGAAGAAGTAGAAAGAACCTAAGTTCATGAGAAAACAAGTCTTTTGAGGAATTATTCAATAATCTGGAAACATCTGCTCTTATCTCCCCCTTTTAAACAGTTTTAAACAGTACAATATAGCCGGTTGATTTCCTATCGAAACCTATGAACATTGACAAATTTGTTCAGTTTTCTTTCAATAATGTAAGAAAATATTGAAATTGGAATATGATTCGATTTGATAATGGTGTTGTGAATCGTTTATTGTTAAAATATTTGCGGTCCTTAGAATTTACGCCAAATTGAATAAAAGTTCTCAATGGTTTGCAAATTCATGTTTTAGATTCTATTGAAATCTATATAACGTTTGATAAAAGTAAGTTTTCTCAATTTATTAAAGTTTTGTATAAATTCTATTCATACACTGCTTATATTAATTAACCATACGTATTTTTGATGTATGTATTTTTTAATCCAGATGAATTAAAAGAAAAACAAGTATGTATGTAGATAAAAGGTTCGTTATATTTAATAAAAAAATATTTTCTCACTTTTAATAAGATCAGAAAAAAAATTATTCAATTCATATCTACTTGATTGAGAATGAAATTACTTTATGCCGCATGATCCTAGTAGATATTTGATTTCTCTTTAATACATAAGAAGATAACTGATACTCCATCAATACAAATAAATATAATTTTATTTGCAAGATAGTAACTCTTTTTTTGATAATTTATTTTTATTTCACGCTTTACTTTCTTGAAGCAATCGCAAAGAAATTGCATTGAATGGCGAAAATATTTGGCGCCTTCCCGAACCAGGATATCATAATGATACAACACGGTGGAAATTTTTCTCTCATTGTTGAACTTGTTTTCTCTCCTGACAGCAATAGATTTTCTCATCTCGGAAACATGTACACGGATGCTGTAATCTAAAAGGATTTTTCTCGGAAATTCAAATATTTCTCTCTTGTTCACAACACGCATGCGCATTTCTGGAAAGTTTTGTGTGTGACGATAGATTTGAAACGATATGCTTAAAATGATTGGAAGCAGAAGATTTGATTTTCCAAAGCATTCGCAGCTGAAAATGGAAAATAAGATCCTTGAAATGATTTTGATTTTCCAATGTGTTCCTTCCTCTGGTCGCCTGTTAAAACTAAGGGTAATTTATATTTATTGTGAGGCTTGCGAAATGTGAATAAAAAATCGTTATTTATATAACAGAAGGTCAGAATGAAGGTGAATAGATCCTTTCAAGGACTTGCACTTCTATAGCAGAAAAAAAGAATGTTTAAAATACATATCATTAAAAATGAATTCAAAAGAAAGTTGTTTGATTTCATAGGAACAGATCAACGTTGTCGTCTCCCCTTATTTCTCCCACGGTGGAGAAAGTATTTCGGTGAAATTCCCCATAGAATTTAAGAAAAATTCTTCTTAACAAGTTCCCATAAAACAATTTCCATGAAACGGGTGATGTAAGCATTCCGCAAAATTCCATTGAGAATCTGCCGACTTAGTAGAAGCTGCAAATGCAAATGAAAATTACTTCAACTTGTTTCCCCATTGACTGTTCTGCATAAGATTTCAATATAAACACTTGTTTTTAGCTAAAAGCTCAAAGCTTGCTGGTTCTGTCGTGTGTCCGAATGAATTTCTTTTTTATTTTAATGAAAAATGGAACAGGATTCAACAAAACTGGACAGTTTGTTCTGGTCACTGGACGAAATGCTTGGGGCGATTTCTCTTTCTTCCCCTTCGTATTTCGATTCACGGAGCAAAAAGAAAGTACTGCTCATCGTCGTCTGCTTTTCTGATACATTTTCCACGCATATCGGACACGAAAACACTCGAAAGGACGAAATTCCGTTTCATTTTGTGCTGTTTCGATGATAAAACCGATGTTTCGTGCATGTGTGCGCAATACACGTTGACGTTTTTTCCTTCAGGCATAATTTTTTTTATTTCCTTTTCGACTTCAACTAGAAAAATGAAAGTATGATAACCTGGTTTGCTTGGCATGCTTTATTCGAAGGTATTTTTCTAATATTACGTTTTCTTATCATTTCGTTTTATGTTGCGCGAATACTTTACACGTGTAGCTTAAATATTTTTTTTTACAGTATCCGGTCACATAAGCAAAATCTACCAACACTGGTTAAACCTACAATTTCATTGGATGAATGTAAGGAAATCGACGCGCTGCATTTTTATGAAATGCGGATAAATGAAATTTTAAAATTCTGATGGAGGGAATTTTTTTTCTCTCGTCATTTGTACTCGGTTTTCGGTACGTGGAATGAAGAGTATCATGAAGTGAGCATTAAAACGGAACTAAATCGTGAAAAAATTTATGGAAGCAGAAATGCTGAACATTCAAATTGAAGGTGGAGACTCTTCGTGAAAGTTCCTTCCAACATTTTGGCTATATATGCTGGCATTGGCATAGCTGTCTTAAAAATTACGAAAAAATTGAGATTCAATGAAATTCAAAATTTTATTCAAATAATTGAAGTTTAGGATTTTTTGCGAGCATTTAGTTTTATATATTTTAACAAAAGAATGTAATTCTTGAAAGATTCGTAAATGATCCAACTTATTTTTTGTATGTTTTCACGATCACATATTTCGTTGTTAGCTTTTGTTACTTACAAGATGGAATTCAATTGTGAGTCGATTTTATATTATTTTCTTATCTTCGTTGATTCTTTACCATTCTTCTACGGGGATTTATATTTGATATTTCGACAAAAGAGCGTAGAAGGGACCGAAACTAAAGAATTACGACTGTTCCTTTCAATGGGCGCAAAAAATAGACTTTCTGAGAAACACGTTTTATTGATTTAAAGAAGCAAAACGACCTGCTATAAAACGTTGAACAACGGAAAGAAATTTTTTGAATGAAAACAACCAAAAGAGTCTTTCACAGTTGGGACTCTTGCTCCATAATCGGGTGCTGCATCATAAAAACACAGATGAAAGAAATTGTGATTTACACAAAAGCAGAGATGAATTATTAGTTACCTTGGCTTCATGGCCATTGTCATTTACAGCGGACGATTTCGATTTCTCGAGTTAATGATATTTTTCAATCAACTTTCAGATAAAAAGAAATGAGAGAAAAAGAAATTCGGCCCGTGGCGAAGATTTATACCGAAAATAACAAACGAAGATGTTGAGATGTTGATTTTTTATTTTATTTTTAGTTTTTTGATAGATTCTATTTACCCAAGCTATTATTATGTAGTAGTATTATGCGAACAAGGTCTTTCTTTTGTATTGATCGTGATTTTATTGAATTTTTTTTTTGTGATTCAAAATCAATGCTTGAATATAAAAGCGAATAAAATAATATATATCAAAATAGTATTTCGATTCAATTCATGAAAGAAAAGCATTTCACAGGGCATTTAGGGCTTCACATAAGTGTCGGCCTCGGCAAGAAGTGAGTTTCTCATTAATAACACGATTGTACTTTTCGTCACCAAATGTTTATGATGACCGAAAGAAATGTTTGCTTAGAAAATCCTCAAAAATTAGCTTTTATGTGTTCATAAAAATTCATAATAACAATCGATTGTTAAAAATCAATGAATTGTCGAAAATTATTTAGATATCTATCTTTGAAATCAAACATTATTCGTATATTGAATAAATGGAGACAATATATATATGAGCGGAAATTCCAGTTTAATATTTTCAAAATAGTTTTCTTTTTTTTTATTTTCTGCCTATTAATGCAGGAAATAATTTCTCAAAATAATCATGTGCAATCTTTTCATTCACACATTGCTATGTGTAAATCGGAAATGCAACGTTCCTTTTTTCATATATGCGCATCAAATTATAAAAGAAAAATTGGAGACAAAACGTCTAAATTCCATCCTGTATTACGCGTGCCATATACCTAGCAAGGCTCTGTACCAAAGCAGGTGTGAGTTTGTAAAATTTGCACCCCAGTTCTGAGTAAAAATTATAAGAGAAGAAGAAGTGAAAAAATGTTTCAGAATACAAAAGATATTTTTCAAAAGCATAGGGATGAAAATGAGGGTTATATTTAGCAGCAGTTTCATTTCATTCCTAAACATACAACTGCTTACTAGTTTTCTGTGATTTTGGCGCAACTATTGGAATCTAAAGTTGTACATGTAATGCACACTTACACAGACAAATGGATCGTCATCCCTTTACAGAATTTATTATTTAAATTTACCCTCGGTAATGATCATTTCAACTGACAACGTGCGTTCCATAAAACATTCGTTTGTGTCAGTTTATTCGTCTTAATTCCAATATGTGAAACACGATATTTCGGTGGTACAAACAGGCTTTTAATAACCATTAACTATACGAGTGCTACATCATATTAGATTGAGGAAGTTATATTACGTAGGCATGCAACATGAGATGGTGCACACTTCGATTCTAAGTCTCTATCATTTCATTAGTTTTATTTTATTTTCATGACTGTGATGAGAGATGCGATTTCAATTTTTAGTTGAATTCCTTCAACTTATATTCAATCTGTCTTTTCACTTGACTGTGATTTCTTTTCATGTTATTTACAAATACAGATTGTGAAACAGCCGAAAGTAGGTACTCGAAACATGAAAAAATCTCCAGCTAAGGCCCGGTGTGCTCCGATCAAAACTTATGCTTTGTTCTCTTTTGTTTAGTACTGAACTTGTGATGGGTGAAACAGCAGCAACTTCATCGAATAGCACACAATAGTTTTCGATTCTCTTTTGTCACGAATTGCGTAGACATTTTTATTTTTCTTCTTTTTCGCATCGTTTACAAACTGTAATCTACCATATGAAAAATATTATGTAGGGAAGAAGTTTCAAATCAAGCACAAATCTTATGCAGAAAGCATATTATTTAGACATGTTAAATTGTCACGAAATATGTAATATTTACATAAATTTACAAAAATGAACGATACAAGATTTTAAAAAATAAAAATTTCATAATAACCCTTATTTAATTTCACCAGAATAAACATCTTGATGAGTTCCGGTTCTCATTCCACTCAATTTCATCTCCGGGCGTTGTTTTTTACTTGATCCATTAAATAACAATGTTATAGATTTGTGTACCTCAGTCAGTTATGATTTTGATGGTGAAATTACTGAGAATGAGAAATACCAATTTGCAGCAATTTCAACACCAGTCTCAAATAAAACTAAATTAATTTATGTTAATAAATGTTCAAGATTTCTTTCAGGCATTTTCTTTTCCCTGGGCTTTAACCAAATCTGCAATCTATAATTTAAAATGAAATTCATATTAGCCTTGTCTCAATCATATCAGCAGTCAAAGTCGTTGTACCTGCTTTAAATGTATAAATTATTTTAAATCTCTGAAACATAAAAAATGGCATTTGTTCTCTCACTTTCCAGTCTTTAATATTGGCCAGTTGCTTCGAATGAGCGAATAAAATATTAGCGTGTGCAAAAAAGATTAAGTACACTCGTTGCCTTAATTTTTCAATTATGAAAAACACTTTGCTGTTCATATTGTATGATAAAGTCTCCTACTTAAAAGAAGAAAAATAAAGTGAAAAAGAAAAAACTTGATGAAGATACTTTTGCGCAAGCGTTGGAGTCTTTCATAAAAATATTTATTTATAAAATTCGGTATAATTACAATTAATGATTGCCTCTTATGAAAAAATAAATCAGCGTGCGTGACTAAATGACAGTACGAATAAAAGTATGAAGACTTCTCATTTGAGAAGCCTAAAGTTCAGCTTATAATTTTTATTTTATCTTTCTTCCTTCTTTTGTAAGAAAAAGATTTTTTCTTTCGTTCAACAAGAGATGACTTTTGCATATTTTATCCATCATATAACTTCAACGACACACGATTTCGTTTTTGTATCATTGGAACATTTAAAAGAAAAGAAGAAATATATGGAGCCTTGTTTATTTGAAACGATATTGAACGCGTGCTACTGAATTCAGAAAAAGCCTAAAGTGAAATATTATAAAATTCAGCTGCTGCTTGATCGCCATTGAAATTTTAGTTGACTTTCAAAAGAAGAGATATTTGATTTTCTTAAAATCTCTTTTCAAGGAAACATAAAAAGAAACTCATATTCTTTAATATAACGAGAGATCGATGTAAAGGAAAGGCTGAAAAATATTCAATTGTGCAAAAATAAATCTTCTTTCTTTTTTGCTCAACAGAGAGTGAGTGAGGCGAAAATCTTGATAGCAGGTAGTTTTCTTTACGTAACTGTTAGATATAGCATTTCTTTTTGTTGAAAGTTATTGATTGATTTGATTTCACTGGAACCTTCATTGTGTAACGATTGAATGTCAGAAATCTTTTTTCTCTCGCCTTCTGTTTCATTTCTTGAATGTGATGCAGAAACTTGCGATTCACAATTAAGGTTCTTTTCATTTTTTGCTGGTTCATGTCATGTCGAAATATATTATTGATGAAACGATGAAACTTAATACGACCTTTAAGACATCTTTTCTTTATTTTCGTTTCTCTTCTACACATTTTTTTTATTTATGAATGAAATACCTGTCATACCTAATACTAAAAGAAACATGCATTTACTGAACGATTTCGAAAAAAATCTTGTAGCAGAATTCATACATTTGCCAGTTCTTTTTTAGAATTAGATATAAGGATTTCTAAAACGTCACTTAATCGAAACGAAGAACATAAAAATTGAGTTACTTTTTTCTTCTCTCAAAAGAAACCACAAAATAAGACGCAATACAATTATTAAGTGAGAAAAAGTCTTTAAAAATTTATCTAAACTGTCAAATGTTTGTCGTCAAGTTGGTTTTTCTAAATTCAATTTAGGGAAGATAAGTTTTCAGTTTCACGCGGTAATTTCTTAAGCTTGCTATTAAGAAGTCAAAGATTGTCCCTATTACGGATCTTCCTTAACCTTGACGAAGTCAAACACGATATGTTCCATCGCGTTGTCAATGGTATGCTCGTTACTTTGTTACTAAGATACATCAAGAAAATATCTTATAAACGACCCCGCACAAACGACGACAATTATTGGAAAGAAAATCTGTCACCGAATCAAAAACTCCATTAAATGGAAAGATTTATGTGTTATGTTCAAATAGAAATGCAGATGCAAGATGCATGCTTCCACACACGCGACTATGCTTAGAAGACAATTAACATTCAAACCAAAAGATTAAATTTCTGAGATGAGCATTGACATGTTCAGAAATCTTTTTTTCTCATTTAAAGGAGTTTTTCCCTTGATATTTTAAGGCTTAATAGACACATAAGACTTTTGAAGCATTCGACAATCAAGTGACTTTATTTTTTGGTAAGTCAGACAATCCATTAAAAGCCAAACATTTAAAACAAAATTTATGTCGCATCTCTTCACTTGTTTATTTTTCTTTCTCCAGGAAAATTATCGTATTAGTTACAAAATGTTAATTATTTCCTCGTCTTTTATAGTTTCAAATGTATTTGTCAATCGTAAAGTTGAGAATTTTATGGAAGCAACTGTAAGAATATAAAATCAAATGTCAGAATCTAGAATTAATCTCTTGACACATTCTAATAAAAAAAACTGTGAAAGTGTCGTGTTCGATAAAACTTTTTCAATTAATGAACATGATTTATGATATCTTTTTAATTATTCTTCAGAAAATATGTGTTTACTTTTGCTGCGATATGAGTCATTATTTGGCTCACACTTCAATTAATATATTTAAATGAACCAGAAGAACTAATAAGATAACAGCTTGAAGTTTGTTAATTTAACGAAAATCTTAATGGACACTTAAAAGAAACATATGCCTAATTGTGATTCATTAATCATACCTTCAATGTTTTTTTGAAATCAACACATTTTCCATGTTTTTGAACACTTTCTTCAACGAGTTAACACCTGAATATGATTTTTGTTTATGGAAGTTTAATAATCGTTGTTAATTACATAAGGCGCCGCGAAATTTGTGTGTTGATACTTTGAAAATTATTATTCCGTCTACTCAAACACAATGTTGTTTTGTAAATGATTTATTCCTCGAATTTGCATATATTTTAAAATCATAATACCTTAGTTAATAATAAAAATTGACTCTACAAAAGTTAAAAGTTTTCATGAATTTAGCTTTTTCAAAAATTAAAAATCACAGCTCCATGCAAATCGGAAAGTTGAATCATACATTTTCGAATAGATATTTACTTACTATGTCGCTACTTTCCTTGCATTGATACGAGATTCAAAACACTGTATTTGAAAGATTTGACCCTTATTATAGACAACATAAATTTGAATGCATAGTCTTGTCTCGACATCTTTAGGAAGGAGGAAAAATTAAACATTCAATTTGTCATTCTGCTATTTTTTTCTTTGCGTTTATAAATAGTTCAAGCTAAGGTTACATTTCCTTGATGAATGAGGATGATATTTGTCAACAAAATTCCTTTGAACTTCAACAAACTTTCACAGCCGCAGAGTGAATTTGTAACGAATGTTAAATCTATCCATTTATCTTTAAAGGTGCAATGCTGAACGGAACAAATATATTTAAAATAAATCAATGTTTTCAAGAATTTGAAAATTTCGTCTGATAAATCCAGAGGAGATTAAAATTTTAAAGTTTTACATAAATATTTAGTCGCTTCTGCCACTGAAAAAAATATGGAAATCATTCCAAAAGAAACCCTAGATGAATTAATTTGAGATTGTTCTTTAAATTGAGCTACTTTGTATCATTCCTTATTCATCGCATGTCAAATAAAAATTTCTAACTTTTCCGAATTGTTCTCAAAGACATTAACTTCGAAAAAGTAGAAGAAAACCTGGATCGTTAATGTCGTCAATGGAAATGGAATGAAAAAAATTAACATAAAAAATCCAACATTGTTCAGTGTATACAATTTAAAATCCTTAAATTGCTGATTGATTGATTGAATTACGTAACCAATAATTCTGTTCGATTAGCTTAGTTGATCAATGTTTACGACAAAAGCAAGAGATGAAATAAAGAGATATGTAAAACTTTTAGAATTTCTTTATCATATAATTATGTGAGTTAAAATTGATAATTTTGATGATCGAGATGAGTTAAAGACATTGTAAGATAATTTCAATCACCATATTCAGAGGCTTTAAGCACCAAACATGAGTCTTGAATTTCATTGATTTTGTCGGTGAAATTCCCAATTTTTCGATTATTTTCAATATTTCTTTAATAAAACATTCTTGATACTGCGATACATACATTCCACTTGTAACAGCTCCATACAATAATGAAGACAACAAAGCTGTAATTTTTTTGATGAAAAAATTACAAATTTGGGTGTAATGGTTGTTTGGTGAGAAATGGAACGTGTTAGCATGTTCATAAAAAAGTTGTGTACATGAATATGAAAAGAATTTCAGTCAACATGTTTCATCGCTTCTTAATAGAAATTATTTTTGTGGTTAAGATAAAACGACACGGCTCAAGATAATAATTATTTATTTGATCGATCTCGAAGCAAACACCCTATAATTTCATGTTATCGTATTAAACCGCCTTGAAGACTGTACTGATCCATCCAATAAGTATTATGCGTTCTTGGATTTTTCGCTCTTGTTCCGTTACCTTTGAAGCACTTTTCGCTCAATCTGCTCGTAATCTTAATTTCAATGATGTTCTGATAATTTTAACCATAATGATTATTTTGTTTCCTTATGTGAATTATGATTGGCACTGATACAAATTTATGTCTTTGTTGATGGGAATGGAATTTATTCATGTTTTTCTCTTCAGATCGTTTTGCGGTTTCGGTATACTTTCTGATGCTGTTCGCTTTTTCAGATAAATTGTATATCAGGTGAAAATTACGCTCACAATTTCAAAAATTAAACTGTAAAGTGCAACGTAGTAAGCAGTGTAATAATATTATTATTTGTTATAAATTATATAAACTAAAGAATTATACAATTTTGCATGATACTGAAAAATCAGAACTAAACGCAGGTGATATAATGCTTTCCATATTCATTTTCAAGGGTAATTTTACTTATCAATCATCAAATGTTTACATAAACACCAATAATAAATTTACCTGGAATCATGTCACCAGGATGTGGATAATCGAAATTATTCGTTTCTAAACATTTGTTTGACAAATTAAAACTTTTTTACGCAGAGGAAGGTAAGTCAACAAACGTTACATTCCATAAAAAAAATTTGGAAAGAAAAACCAATAAAAGTTAAAAGCCTATTTAGTCTACCCAGTGGGATAATAGGTCGAACAGAATAAAAAAAAACTCGCTTTTTATCTTTTTTTAAATTCATAACCCTTATAAACATAAAGATCCACTATCACTCAACATGAAATTTAAATATATCTATTGTGATATCTATATTGAGGTGTTATCAACCTGTGATTACTTCCTTGTGTTATCATCATCTTTTAACGTCTTCAGTTAGTTATTTATGTTTTATTAATCATATGCTGAATCTTGTTCATAATATATACATCAAAAATTCATTTAACTTTGATTTAAAATATCTTCAAAATTCAATCTGCAACTAAATATTAATACTTCAGTTTCAAAAAGTTTTATAAAGTCGCAGAATTTGTGTTCCCTAAAATAAATGAATAAATAATAAAAAGTAGAAATTACGAGTTAAAAAATATTTTAAATCTGTTTCACTTTCATCTTTTTTGACACACAAATTTGCACCTTCAATAATAAGGATATGAGGATTTCTAAATCCATTCATTTAATGATAAATTATGTTTCTTTTATATACGCATTGGTAAACACATGATAATTATAATACCCTGACACACCCTGACCTACCTGAAAGCTGTTTTGTAAATATTTGCGATGCGTCAGCATTTTTCTTCTTTAATATATTTAAGTGTATATGTTTATCAAGATCATCTTCAAGATATCTTAAATTAAGAACTTGCTAGAAGGATCAGTCTGTTACGTAGTCAGAATTTATCAAATATCCCGTAGATAAAGTGGCGCCTTACAAGTTGTTTATAAATTCGAATATTCTTGCCTTTTCCATTTAATTTTCTAATTTACGAATTAAATAGTTAAGACTTTTGAAGATTATATATTTCCATGTGCAAATATTTATTTATATGAGTGCGCTTTATGTTTTCTTCATAGACACCTTCTGACCGGTTTGTCATCAACTGATGTGAGTAAACAAAACTTTATCTTGGATTATATACGTTTATCAGATTACTTTTGTGACTCATTTTCAATTTGCATTTTAAGTTCAGATACGAGAAGTTTATGAAGATAATGAGCTGATAATTTAATGTGAGTGGAAAATCATTTGCCATTATTAAGAAATTATCACTTTACTAAAGTGAATGTGCAGAAAAGTCTTCGAAGAAAAGATAATTAAGTGCGATAACAAGGTATTAAGATTTATTGATGATTCATCACTCAGAGTAAGAATTTTAATGACGTTAATCATGTCGAGTCTTTTTCTCTCCTTTTTGATTTTGAAATTCTCCATTCACAGTCCATCGATAGCAGCAGATGTAAGAACTTCACTTTCATGCAACGTAAATTACAGTCTGGATTGTTCGTTACTTATATATTTTCATTGCTCTTACAAAAATGTAACTCTAAAGACATTTTGGTATATTTTTTTTGGTACCTTCACTTTCTGCGCACGTGTCCTTTCTTTGTGCTCCCTCAGAGGATTCACTTTCAATGCCGCCATGAAAATTATTAATTCTATTCAAAAATCCAGTCCTCCCTCTCAATTTTCTTTTCTTTTCATCATAACCATAACGCACAGATTTAGAAATGAAATAAATGGAAGAACAACACAAACATCCGAAATTGCATCTGTCGATGTCTTTAAGAAAATAAATATTTCTTCAATCTATTGTTAGGTGCTGTTTTCTTACGCTTCGTATCGGATCGTGTGCGATCAATTTGATACATCTGTCTTCTGAATTGAATCCTTTTGACGAAGACATTGTTTAAAGATGCTTTTTCAATAAATTGATCTTTCAGTTGATAGCATTTATAACAAATGCATCAATTGAAGACTAACATTAGAAATTATTCGATTGTGAAGATAGAGAAATGAAAGCTAACTTTTCTGCGGTTAAGTTTTGAAATCCAATAATAATTTGATGGAGAAACATCCGCTTGAACAATTGTGAGTAGCGTGAAACATAGAATGTAGTTACATTAATACAATCGAAGTGATTAGGTCAATCGGAGTGACAATCCTATTTATCGATAGCGAACATAAATGAAAAATGATTCCATTTAGTTGATCGGATTTTTAGGCCGCCGCAAACATATAGAAAATGTATTTACTTGAAATGATCAAGCTCTGTAAAACCGACAAGAATAAATCGAGACTTCGTACAGTGGATCACAGTTACTTTTAGAGTGGATGGTTAATGTCTAGGAAATATTATTTACTTCACTTACTTTCTTTCTTATACTAATTAGTAATTACTAATGTATTCATTTTCATATTTTTCATTTTTATCATAGAAAATATTGAAATTGCAACTTGTTTTGATTATAATTTATTGTAAAAATTGTAAGTGTGATGACCATATTGCAAAGATATTTGAATTTTATTTTTAAAATTTAACTAAGACAACATTTTATAGTTTTATATCAACCAAATTAATTTTTAAGACAAAAATACAAAATAAGACTGCATCATTATTGCTATTTTACAATGAAATGTTTCTGAAAGTTTAACGAAAAAAAATAAAAACCTTAATGTTTATAAGAAATTTAAAGACGTATTTCTTGTCAGGGAACAAGTTTTCATCGCCCCTTTTAAATTGTTCACCCTTAGATATTTTATTTCACAGAATCTTTGCAATTTAAACAATTTTCCCATATGAAGGACAAAGAAACTTATGAAACTCAAAAAGGCGCAAAAAACGTCATTAGAAAATAAATCGGTGAAAACTGATTTGAGATCGTGAGAATATTTAGTTTCATTATAAAATTATTCCACATGTACTTGTAAAAGAATAGACATTGACTTTATATTATTTGGTGAATATTTAGTTGAATTTATGTGAAAAAAGAAAATAGAAGTAGAATAAAAGTTTTATGATAAAGTTTAAAAAAAATTAATTATTGTTTTCTTTGAGTTACTTTTTTGAATGTTTTAATTACGAGTATTATGTTTTTTAATCGGTGTCACGTAGGAGTAAAAAAGATGAAACATGACATAACGCATGTCTCGTTTACATACTTTATATCCAAATTTAAAACCTGTAATTATGAAACATAAATCATAAGCCACCTTGTTTTCATTAAATTCTCATTTGGTTTCGATTTCTCTGTTCAAAATATTTTCTTTATTTATTGAACAAAGGTAAAAACTTGATTAAAAATGTTGTATCATCGTTATGGTTAGGGAAATTAAATTTCGACTAAAGAATAAGGCGCCAATAGACCAATAGTTAAATTAGACATGTGGAAAGTCATCTTAACTCTTAGTTCAAATGGGGCTCTTTACAATTTCTTCTTATTATTTCTATTTCGCTGTTTCGAACTTGTTATTAATCCAATAAAAAGAATCGATAATAAGGAGTGGAAAATTCTTCCTGCATAAAGCAAAACAAGGTTTCATAATCTATGTAGAAAATAGACACAAAATGATTTTTATGAATTGGAGAATGGACATAATAAAAAAATCACCTGCTTGTGCAATTGAAAACCGTATGACTTCCAACTCTTAAATCAATGCCTTACGCACCTTATCATTAAATTTTGTAATAAAAATATGAGAAATGTATTTCTAATAATCTAAGAAAGGTTAAATGCTTCAACTCTTTCTTTCCACAAACACTTTCGTAAGAAAAATTTCAGTATAATTTGTGACTTTAACTACGTATGATCAAAGCTGAGAGTCGTGTTCATTCGATTGCTGACAAATTCAACGTTCAAAGTGAAAACATTAAAAGATTACTTTAATATTTTCAAGGCACTATGTTCAGCTTCACAATTAAGTATGTTCTGCGTTTAATCGTATAGTTAACAGCAATCATATATTAGTAGATCAAATTAGCGTCATTTTATTTAATTACACAAGAAAACCATAAGTTCAGTTGAATGGAAAGAGGTCAATGATTTTTTATTTAAAAATTATTATTTTTACTTTTGTCTTCCTTGCTTGTAGATTTTCATTTTAAGATGTGTCCTAATTTTTTTTCATGATTCTGGTATTATCAGTCGTGCAACATTAAGTAAATTCAGACATACATATGTAGTTCGACTTATATAAATTGATCAAACTGCTTTCAGAACTCGCCTGTTGTAAACTCCAACCGAGTTTCATTATGAGAAATCACTAATCGTACTGAAATCAATTAAAACGTAATACTTTTCCTAATTTCGCATCTTGTAGGTTGGTTAATTCGAAAAGTAAAATTTAAATTTAAAAAAAAGAGGATTTCAAATCCTATACAATTTGCTTTTAATTTCTAATTCTAAGGAATGCTTATTGTCATGTACAATATTTGAATGTTTGAAATGTTTAAGATTATTGTTTTTTTTTTAAATTATTTCTGTTTTTAATGAAAAATCAACATCTTATTGAAAAAGTTCAAATGTTCTATATTATACATTTTGTTCCACTTATTTTTACTGAAGTTAAGACGAAAAAAAGTCACGAGCTTGTTTCTCGAAAATCTTTTACAACGTTTTCAACTCCGGGAGTTCTTAAATCCCGTTATGCTGTAGATATAGAATCCAAGTAGCAGAATATTTATGATTAGATTTCGAACGAACATGTTCAATCATTATGCTTCTGTTTAAGATGGATTAGCTTACTGTTTGACTACGATCGTTCCATACCGTATACGTTATGATCCCTTCGGCAAAGAACTTAAACAATTTAAAATAATTGATTTGTTTATTAAAGAGTTATGAGAGCAATCAAGACATTATTAACCTACTCGTTACTATAAGTTGCATGTTTTTTTATAATGTTTTAAATTTCATCAAAAGGTATTTTATGAGAACAGAAACAATCGTGTATTTATGTAAAATTTGATTGATCAACTTGGCCACAAATATGTAAGTTTTTTTCTAAATTTAACTTAACAGCGTTGTTAACAACATGTGATGTTTTTATTTTAGTACATATACTAGACACGTTTATTTTACGATCTTAAGTAAGACACAAGTTACTTTTTCTCTATACACAATGCATTAAAAAGTGAAATTTCAAACCAGTATCAAATGACTCCCGCACCTGGTCCAGTTTACCATTGACCAGTTGCGATTTCAAGTATAAAAATCGAAGAAAGAGCGCAATTTTGGTATGAACGAGTTATGAAGTAATGGTGCTTAATGGTCCATTATACAATTTCCATATACTTTTCAGTTCATTCCTATATTTTTTGTTTTCGCTCTCTTAATTTGTATGAAAATGTGAAATAAATTTTTGCATTTATACTTATTCTCATTTGAAACATACATTCTCATTTCACAATATAGCAACGATAATGAGGAGAAAAAGCCCTCTACTTCGAATACAGAGTTTCTTTAAAATCTGGCTACGCTTTAGCATCGATAGAGTTTTATTCGAAAACTTTAGTTTTTTAGGTCCACTCTAGTTATTCTGCCACGATAGAATTGTTCCAATTAGCAGTTTCTATATCCCTCTTTAAGATAACATTGAAAATATTTAACACATATTAAATACTAAGAATGTTTAAAATATTTTATGTTCTGAGAATTCATAGATAATGTTTTAAAATGTTGATAAAAAATTGTGAATAATTTAAATTTATTTATATGATCGTGAACTGATAATATTTATTGATGTTTACTTTAGTTTTGTCAACTTTAATTCGATATTTTCTGAGATTTAAGTCAATCTTTGAATTATCATTTCGTTCGTCCACTTATTTACTTATCTCGTTTCAAGTTTACAAAATACATGACTTCATTTTAGTTGTTACTTTGGTTGATTCCTGATCGTTGTGGATAAGAAGAAGGAATATTATACAAAAGAATGGCTTATCGTAAGATTATTTAGAAAAGAAAAACATTTGTCAATTGTCATTAATTACTACATGGAACTACCATAATTGCCTTCAGTTTAACTACATACTTCAATTATGAGTCTCTCGTTTAAAAGTATTTTCAGGAGTATTTTCTTTTTACTTCAACATCAGTTTACAAGCTTAAAGGTTTCATGATCGCTTTTTATAATCGATTGTGTGCCGCTAATACAATTACTTGCGTGTCGAGTCAGTCTGATAAGTAGAAGAAGAAAATGGCTCAATTAATAATTTTTTTTCAGCGATGTTAAATAACTGTGAGGATAGGAAGCTTGATATTCATCATGGATATATTGGGTGGTCATAATTAATACGTAATAGAAGGAGAAGTTTTGTAGATTTAACAAACACAAGAAATTTTTAACATGTTACAAACCTACGATCAAGAAGGATCGTAAAATTTACAGCAAGTTTCGAATATTTAAATGGTTTTTTAGATGTACATCGTTTTAATCACTTTTGAGTAAAATTTTCAAGGAACTTTTACAGAAATTATTTCAGTTTATGTAACTATTACATTTTGCAAAATCTTCAGGAGGTTTGACCAGTTCACGTAGTTCACCTGGTGCCATTCTAATATTCATAAATAAACATTTTATTAATTATCATGTCTACATGTATTGTTCCGTTTTTACCTATCTAGGCGGCAGTGCATCATCATGGAAGAAAATCGCTTCATCAATATCATAATTGTGATGAAGGGATTTTCTGCCAGGTTGTGTTAGCGGTGGAAGTGAAGATAAATTCAATTTGAATAAGAAATCGAGGAAGAAAATATTAAATATTAATTACTCATTAAATCATTTTTTTTATTTTCCGGAAACATCTTCTACTTGGTGTTCATATAATAAACTTTATAATTAATGAAATATTATCCATTTGTTTTGTAAGTCTCGTTCGGATGATTAAGAGACTTTCTACCATAAAGGTGTGATTATTCCTGAAAATTTGCAATTGATTTTGTTAATACTTCTGAATTAATTTCAGGTTTTGCATATGACAACATAACAAATTGTTCAACTTGACTCGCCTCACAACTACCAACTGTTTTAATTCGCCACCAGAGTATATCTCAGACAATTAAATAAAATTTGAACGATAATTTGTTTAATTTCTAGAAAACAAGTCCGTTTACGCATTCGAAAAATTAAATTAATCCCTTAACAAGGTGATAGAAACAAATATGTAAGGTTTGGCCATAAATCACTCTTACCTTCTGACTGATTTGCATTAATGACAAAGCCATAGCGTTCCCCCAGCGTAGAAGCCAATGACTCAACTGTTGCAGGTTGTAAGTCGTAGAAATCACTTGTAATTATTAACAGACTATGATTTTCGATCTACAATATCGCGGGACAAATATGACTCATACTGCTCACGAATCGAAATCTGTATCGTTGACCTCTTTGAACGCGAAAAACTTCCAATGGCGTACCCGTTATTGATCGTCGAGTTATTTTCTGCTATACATTATTTAAGTAAGAGAAAGAAAAAATGAAACTTGTATTTGTTACAGTGATCACAACCTTACATTATGATCGGTGTCTTTGCCGTTAATTAAGACATTTGAAGGTGAAATGTCTATTTTACTGATGACAACCATGGTATGAATTCTTCTCCTAAGCCAACCATCCAGTCAGAAACAATAATTAAATGCTCCTTCAAATGATCATATAACGCGAAATTTGGATCATACTGAGCTTCTTGTCACACATCGATTTCTCTTAACTGATCATTAATTTTATGATGACCTGAATTACTGTGGTAAAAAATAATTCCAGCTTCAGTAGCTTTAAACCCATAACGAAATGTTTCCGAAAAATCAATATGGACACTTAGATAAAAATGGGACCGAATCATTCGATAGAATCTATAACACAGCCATTGATTCTTCCACAGTTCATGTTATGAAGTTTCAATATAGCAAATTGTACATGTCCATCAGGGAAAAATGTGTTGATAATTCTTTAATTATATTTTTCATGCGAAAAAATAACAATTCCTTCTAATAAATTTTTCGTTTGACTTTAATCCCAACAAGGGATATTTGCATCAAATATTACCTTTCAATGACACATTGGGAAATTACAACGCAATGCCAAATTTCAAGAAACTGAAAGCAGTAATTTTCTTAATGAAAATCAGAGTGCAAACAATCAACAATTTGCAAAATGATAAGAAATTATCGATAAATCACTCATGTTGATAATTTAAAAATTCTCTGACTCAAATGATAGTCGTAACCTTACCTGGCCTTGTAAAATGAGTAAATGTGTTTTCTGCATTTAAGATTTTTCGAAAAAGATTCTTTCAAATTTTCAAACGGAAATTTATCTGTGCATCGTAGAACACTGACAATTTGTCTATGTTTGCATGGCAATCAGCAGTGTCAGCCTCATCGAACCATTATAAAATGAGCACGTCATTTCAATAAATATACCGATAAAATTTAACGTGACTAAAATGAGAGGAAACTGAAACGAGACTTTTATTGCGAGTACTCCTATTGAAATTTGTAATTCATCATATTCCATTTTACAGCGATACAAAATTATCACGATATTTTTATGTTCTTTCGTTCGCGGATGGTAACATTTTTAATTGAAAATTAGTTGTTATATTAATAGGTTGTAATTATTCGCCGGGCTTGCACAAAGAGCACTGATAAATTATTAACATCAAGAAAAACCCGCTCATCGTAACATGCACTACGTTGTCATACAAACGATATAGTTTTGTATTTTTCTTAATTAAATTTAAGTATATTTTTATTTACTTTAAGTTTATTTGATTAATGTAGGACCATGATGTAAGATGATTTTAAAGATTATGAATTTTAAAATCATATGGAAAAATTAAGTTCAGATATGAATTGAAATAATTAAATTAAAAGTTTGGAGAAAGATATTGATATTTATCTTAGGAACTTAAAGTACCTACATAATAGGGTTCCGCAAAATTATTACCACATAAAAAACAAAAACTCTGTTTTCTATAGACTTAAAGTAATTTTCATGATTTATAATTATTCAAAAAGAAATTTGAAAAACTTTTTGAAAATTTACATTAGCTTAGGTAAATAATCTTGATAGATTTATAGCTATCATAAGATTCGTCTTAAAATTCATAACAAAACTATAAAAGTAAAATATTTATATGAGTAAGTTCAATGTGCATACGAGACTGGAATACAATTAAACATACATTTTTAACTTATGTTCAAGCGTTCAATATACAATATTTAATAGAGAGATAAATCAATTAGGTTTATGCTTTATCACACTTTTCTTGACTTAAAAATGATTTTAAAAAATATCTTTATAAAATAAAAGAATGATTCAATGCGTTTCGTAAAATTCAATTGAAATTTGAGTCATTCTATTTAAAACAAAAAAAATTAAATATCTATATCTACTTACTTAGTTGACTTATGCTTATTCTTCATGCTTCGAATATTTTTCACGATCGCGATCGTGTAATTTTAAAAAGTCTATCGTATGATAATCTGATAAAAAGCCAAGGTAGTTAAACGTCAGACTGGTTGAAAATTTAACTGCCTCGATTTTTAAACGAATCGATTTATGTTAGGTTATCTCATTTAATGTAACTTACAGCTATGAATAAGTTTTTGAAGAGCTATGTGATATTATCATGATATATTTCACTACTTATCTGGCGCCTAAACAAAGCATGTAGCATATAGTTTTGAGTGGTGGCTTGTGTCTTATTATAGCATTACATGAACATGCAACTGTATAATAAATGTTCACAGCTTTAAGCTGACGTTGAAAATATTTCTGAAATTAAAATTGATTTTTAATCGAATTTCAATCGGAATCACGTATTCTTTTACAAACAAAAAGCGAACCGTGTTGAAAAGTTGGTTGTTTTATGAAGCATACAATCTAAAAATTGTTGTTTGCGAAGTGTTGTTTATGTAGCTTTATGATTTTCAAAATCTGCAAGATTATTCAAGGCAGTGTGTTTCTAAGAAATGACATATTTGAATATACGGATTCATGTAAACATTTCTGAAAGTAGATTTATTTTTGTCTTCATTAGATAATTTCGCAAAAACCACACACATTATTCCTAGAAATGCAGTAAATATCATTTTATCACCTATAGTGTCTGCAATTTATGATCACTAAGTCGATAAAAATTATAACAAACTGTTTAAGGTGTTCCTGGTAAAAACAATATGTTAACATTTTATGACCCAAAGTCTGAAAAACTAACACATTTCTATTTATCAAATTTTTTAGAAATCACTTTAGAAATAGAATATCACCTGTTTAGTTGCAAAACTTTTATGTTATAAATACAATAAGAACAAAAGTACAAATATTGAACCAAAAGAAAACAAGAAAAAATATAGCAAGAAATATCTCAAATTCAAAGAAATGTTTTCACTCAAAAAAGTAAAAATCGATTATCAGTTCATATGCTTGCAGATCTTGTTCAATGCTTTTCAGTAAATGTATTTCTTTCAATGTAAAAAATTTTTGCGCATTGTAAAATTAGAAAATTTCTACATAAAACTATATATGGAACTAAATTTAAACAAAAAGAGTTTGCTATGACATTAATCAAGATATAATCTTATTTATAAATCGTTTTTCTTTTCATTGATATCATAGTGTTGGTAAAAATCAACATGCTCAGATTTATTATGACAAAAATTAGTTCCGGTTATCAAAGAAACTAATGACACACCTTATCTAAATCTTTTCATAGGCGCGCTTTAAGATAATAAATTTAGCATCCAACCGATACAAACAGGTATCTTTGTATATTTATCTCTTTACTGATAGAAATATCACCACATCTCATGTTGGTATACTATACAAAATATTTCGAAGACACACGCACACCTTGTCCAACAGTATCAACATTAATTCCAATTTAATTTTCATAATTTTCTAATAAAATGGTTTGTTGAATATCAAAGCTGTTAGTTCGTGAAACAAATATAATGTTTTAGTCATTTTTATTAGTTTTGAGAAAATAAAGTTATCAAGCGCGTGGCGCGCGCGTTAAATCAGTACATAGATAACATATTGACTTTTAGAAGTTACTTTAGAAAGCTAAAATATTATTTCGCAAACAGATAACTTTCTTTTTTCCCCATAAACAATTAATTAAAAAACTATGAAAAATAAATACATCTTGAAAATTATAGAAAAAAAGATCTCAACGCTTTGAGCTACAACAAGTAAAAATGTAAAAAAATATAGTCAGTAGGATCATTTTTTAAAATGGATATTTTTTTATTGTATTTTCATTGGATATAGTTTTTACTGTTTGATATTTACAATATCTTTTTTAACTTTATACTAAAAAGGAAAAGATTTGTTTTTGTATTGCCAACAAATAGTCAACAAGTGCATCAATCATACTGCAACCTCCCACGAAGCACCATTTCAGATTTTAATTTTAATCTGAAATAGTTTGGCGCATTGAAAACAAAATTTAATTCATATCTTAAATACCTATGTATTTAATAAAAAAAAAATAATGTTTTTAAAAACAGTTAAATGAATTATAAATTTCGTTATTTAAACAGCTGATATATCTGTTCATATCATTTGTCATAAAAGATTTCGACGCACGTTGTATTTAATATTCAATTCTGTAGTATTCCATTGATACCGAAAACGAATCCACTCTACATATCGATTTGAATGATTCAGCTGAAGGAGCCTTTCAAACACAAATATGGTATTAAAGAAAGTCATTGTAATCAGCTCACCTGCTCCCTGATAATATTTTTCTAAAATACCTCGTTATGACACTTCTTTTTGTTTGTAACAGTGCGAAAAATTTTTAACACATATTTGAATCTGGAATCAAAAAATAAATACTTGCTGCTTTCATATTTTAAAAAACTCTGATGTTCAAATTTCACCAGGAAAATTATAAAATAATTAAAATATAAGCAATAACGTTTAGTTATTTAAAAATATAATGCGGCAAAGTCTGTTTAAATTGTCACAATCATCATTATCACCATCAAAATAAGGAGCAGGCCCATAAACATAGAAACCACCTTATCAAAATGTTACAAAATATCATAAAGTTCAAAGGAAAAGCACGTGAAAAACAATCCGTAACGTTTCATCACGTGTAGAATATTTTTAAAGCTGATTATCATAAAAGTGTATTATAAAATGAGGTTAAGACACCGGATAGTCTTAAATTAATTTTAATAGTAACATTTTTAATCTACACAATTCAAGAATCAACATAAAAGGTATAATTTCCAAGAAAAGGTTCAAGAGAATAGAAACTGATGGAACCAAGTAGAATTGAAATCCCAAAAAAAAAATTAAGCTAAACATTTATGCATTATTTGACTACGTTTGTAGATTGAAGATAGCACAGGTATGCCGCATCTGTACCGGAAGGATGTCTTTCTTATTCTTGTATATTGTATTTTTGAATAAATTTAATAGTTTTTTTAATCAAATTGCGTCTTTTCATTTTTCTCAGTAAATGAAACGGATGAAGAAGAATCTGGGTCAAGAATCGCATTAACTTAAAGCAAACTGAAACACGAAATTTATACCTAATTTTGCTACAAACCTTTTCCTTTGTAGACGAAAAAAATGTTTACCAACATTCTATCCAGCTAAGTTTTCTTCTTTATGCAGTTGTTGATATTTATAAATATTTTTGGTTATCATCAAATGCAGCAAAATGCACGAAAATAAAATAGGGGTTACCAGTTCTTTAAATTGTCATATCTTATTTTCAAGCTAATCGTTTATGATATTTCAATCATTACGACAATTCTCTATTTCTTGACTCAATAATTGTACTGTAAATTTAAAATAAATCTGAAGCAAATAATAATTTCATGTAAACAAAAATTGTGTGTGAACATCAGACAGTCTGGAAGCTAATCGAAATTTAATTTATCGTGCAAATAAAACATTTTTGCGATTTAGATTTTTAATATCAGAGTTATTTAACCAATTGGCAGTTTCAGAATATTATTGATATCTACACAAATTCAAACTGATCGTTTATCCAAATATTTCTTGAAAAGATATTAATAGATATATTTTCACCTTTCGATTAAGAAAAAATATCTTACAGTTGCAGTTATTCACTTATTTACCTGATTCAATTGATTTTTTGTCTCTTTTTTTAAGGAAAAATTTGGACTGCTTTCCGAAATGGTAAAACATTAAGTATGAAAATTATGATTTATGGTAAAATAATCTTAGTATTTACTTGAAAATTATCAACTTACAAAGAAGAGAGAAAAAAAAGTTTAAATTATTTAATACAAAGCCAATCTCTGAAATATTCTCTTTAAAAATTTTACACTTGTGATTCAGCTTTTTTGCTGATTGAAATCTTTAAGAGTAAACTGCGCAAACCTATTTCTTCTAAATTCCATGCATTATTATCTCTGTTCTATTTCATTTTTAACTTGAAGACGATTACAAACAATACAAACAAAAAACAAGCACATAAAGGTTCTTTTCGGCATTCATTATTTTATCTCCGTTTTACGCATTCATGATTCTTCACCCAAGAAACAAACAATATTTAAGAAGATTTTTTAGTAGATCTTTTTTATTTATTTTTGGAAAACTTAATTAAAATCAAGCAAAAATTTCATAATTCAAGAATGCTATAAAATCAAAATTTTATTTTTCACATTGCTGAATTTTCATTGTGCTTAAGAATTGTAAAATTCTTGTTCATAGCAATGCGTTGACCTCTTTAGACTCAACCCAATATTGTAAACCTTACCTCAACGAACCCTTTTTATTCTCAAAAACTTGTTTAGCTTTTGCGTCACAAAGAAATTTCAGATTCAACTTGGCACCCTTTGTCAGTTTTTGAGATTTTTTTTAAATCTGACTTGGGATAGAATTTCCTTTTCATTCAAGATTTTAAATTGTAATGTATCACCTGCCATTTTGTAATATTGTATTCTATAACTGATTGAATTACTAGATGAAACCCTTTTCTGTTATATATGGCACTGCATTGGAAAGAAGATATTTCTGCACGTTCAAGGTATAACTAAAAAAAAATACCTCAGCTTGATATTTTGAGTTTTTCGAGGGTATCTCTAACAGTTGAATCTTTGCGAAATAAGCAGGTGTAGAAAAAGATATTGATTTTCTAATGTCAGACTCCAGAATAATGATGAACATCTAAGAATTTACTCTAAAGTTATAAAGAGGTATCCGCATCTAAAATGATGAAAAGAAGAAAAAAGCCAGCTATTAACCCAAATATTAAGATTTTAGGAAACCTTTTCTTCTGTCTAAAAGCGTTGACTGAAGATTTGAGCAAGTGTTTTTTTAACCGTTACATTTGTTTTATAAATTATTTAATAGCGATTTAGACAAAAAGATCTTTTCATCTTTTTAATATCTACACATCTACATAATTATCAAAAATAGTATTTTCAATATTTTTCATATTTAAAATTTAAGATGAGCTCAATTTGAACCTATATCAGGGAAATTATCTAGGATTGAAGAATCAAACAAAATATTTTTTCGAAGAAAAGCAAATATATTTTTTAGATCTTGCTCAAGAATTTTGAACTTGAAAATATGGCGATCATGAAGAAATCTTGTGAACTATAAATAAAGAAATTATTTTTATACTGTTGATTTGATAAAATATATGTTTAATAAACAGGGATTAAGTCATAAATTTATCGTAAACTGAACTGAATGTACTTGTTATTCATGCAGTTCAATTCCTTCTCCCGTTTTCTGCTTTCTTAAAGTGATTTTCTGCCTCGTTTTATATGTTCGTAGCCAGAAGAAATTGCTGGTAGAGAATCATTAAAAAAACGAAGCAAAAAAGAAAATTTCCAGATGAAATTTATGACATTTTTGACATTAAAATAATTCAATATCATTCACAGTTTAAGTAGATTATATGATTAATGCTTGAGTTGCAACATCAAAATATGTGTATTAAAAAAATGAAGCCTGGTGCTGGTGGTATATAAAAACTTTTTTGTTTTAAACATTTTTTTACTTGCTTAAATAATTCAGCTCCGGCCATGAAGCTTCAATTTTCGGTTGAGTCGTAAAATTCCGCATATCTTCACGGTTGAAGAAAATGAATAAATTTTGCCTTGAAATTTTGAGAAATATACTGTAGAACAAACTGAATGCTAAAGGAGAACAAAAAGTTAAATTTTAAATTTACCATTATTTTTGATACAAAATGATTCTCCAAAAGATTTTTGGATTTAAAGAAAGAGATTTTCTATTTCAAAATTCAGCGATATTTTAAGAAAAATATCTTTATTAACTGTTTGATCATTTTTTTATTAATATTTTCAAATTCCAACTCAATTAAGATCAATTTATAAATTTTAGTTTGTGCCTTATTCGGGAATTTGTTTATAGAGTACAACTAATCGATATAAATATATGCACACATGCATTCTTCAAAACTCTCAATTCATTCAGGTTTTTTATTTTCGTTTACCATCACAATAATGACATTTCACTGCTCAAAATAAAAACCGACAAAGTGTTTTGAACAAGAAAACGTACTAAAATACTTCAGCATATAAATCTTAGTCCCAAGCGCAAAAAATCCTTAAAATTTTTTTTATTGCAAAAAAGAGAAACTTATGAATTATTGGTTATTTGAGGTTTCCCGATCGAGATATTTTGGAAAGAATAGCAGAAAGATAAAAGAAAAGATGACATACAAAGAGAAGATTCTTAACTGCTGTCGGTCTCCTTTCAACACTTTATACACGGTTGGATTGGCTTGAATAACAAAAACTTACGTAAAATGTTGCAGCGAAAATAAAATATGAAAATTAAGATTGAGGGTAAAATTAATTGTTTGAGCTGGAAACCAAAATTTTGATTACTTAGCACAATATTTTCATCTCAAATTTAAAAACAAGCAGTTTGAATTGAAGATCCAAGAGACGACCTTCAAATTTTAAAGTGTAAATTAAATCATTTCTTCCATGAATGGACATTTGGCAGCCAGATTGGTTCTTTCTCTTGTTCTCATACCTTGTAAGCGAACAAATTTAATTGCATTTTGTGTTAAAACAAACAACAATAATTTTAAAATCAATGCGCAAAGCATCTGGCGTCAAAATGTTTTCCTAGTTTTCTTAGAAAGCATGTATAATTTGCAGAAAGATCCATAGTTTGGCGCCTTTAACTTAAAGAAAACCTAAAAGTTTAAAGTAAGAATACAATTTCAACCAAATTGTTATTCAAATTTTTTTGATGATATTATTAGCCTAACATAAGCCTGGGAAAATATAATTTTAAACTATTCATAGAGGCTTAAACCATTTACTATCTTTATGACTTCTGCAAATACATAAGAAGCAAACATCGAAGCGCCATGTGCATTACACATAGCTCGGGAGTTTCCAAGGTTTATATGCACATTTTAGAATGCATAAGCATTTCCGAATTTTATTATTCTTCAGTGATATTCGTATCTTCTTAAGGTATGTGAAACAAAGAAGTGTAAAAAGACAACAAAAATCAATGTGGGATAGGCTAGGATGTTAATTTATGGGAATTCCTTTTTGATTCTTTCTAACATTTTATGCGGAAAGGGAAAATTCCTTGCAGATGTCCATTTCTGCTGCATTTGTGTTTTATGATTACATTACGTTAAATAGATTTTTCCTTAAAATTCATGTTTGTCCGATTTGTAAATGTTATCTCTACAATGCAATTTTATTTCTCACCTAAAAAATCAGAAAAAAAAATGTTTTTTCCAAACCTTCTCTAGACCATGTGGAATCATCAGATTCGTCGCCTGTTTTATAAATGGAAATTTTCTATATACAGAAATTTTTAAATGAATGAAAATAAATACAACTATTCGATATATGGATTTCCCTGACGATACTTCCTTCTTTTTAAAAACAATTTCAAAATAATTTACTTTGACGCTACGGATAAGAAAATTTCTAATGCTTTGTGCAAATATTTTATGATTGAAAAAAGTTTTCCATTGGTTTTTGTCATAAACTGAAAACGGTGTTTTTAGGAATTTCGTAGGAAGATATCTTATAATTATTTATCGCTGCCGACTGAAAGTTTTTTCTCTACTTTTCATGAGATTTAAATTTATATCAGGCACATGTTATTGTCGCCACAAGTCTATCTAAATTTGGCATTGCCGGAATGAAGACAAAACTTTTCTCTTGAAGATTTACAATTGACGATCTATTAGACACAATGATTTATAAAAATTTAACTCTTGTATACTTGAATTTAAAGAATTTTGTAAAACCGTTATTCACTGCATATTAAATCCACTGACGAAAAGTGTATTCAGATTTTCCATCTGCATTTTATAAAGCATTACCGTTAAAGTTATCCTTAAAATCTTTTTGTTGTAAAGTAAATTATTGAAATAGGGTTGCTATCAACGAGAATTGAATTTTAATTCCGATTGAAATGAAACCCTAAACTAGAAATGTGTGTTGTTATTTCTACAAGCAAAAATATAGCCACCTGCCTGACTTCCCTTCTATTTGATGTTCAAAAGTAAAGGCGATGCATCTTAAGGCTCAGTGCTATCGAAGCTGTTCATAACGTCTTTTTCCCATAATATATTTTGGTCCAAACATCTGTCGCGTGCCTATACATCAAATGAAAACTATCATCTTGAAACGCTAGAAACCTATTTAGTGTAATAATCTAATACGAAAATGAATTGTAATTTTTTTTATCTTTTTATCGATGTTCCTTAGTGATGAATAAAATATATGTATATAATATTTTTTTAGAAATCTTCACGGTCAAACAGGAATTAAATATTTTTCTCCAGAACAGTAAGGAATGCTTTCGAATATTGCGAAATCTACAATTTAAATACCAAACCTCAGAAATCTTCAACTGATGCTTAGAAAAAAGTGACAGCAGATGCAGTTGATTTCAAAATTTACCGAAATTTTCTTTATTTTTAAAGAATAACAAACAATGCCATATAAATCTACTATAACTTGCAGAGTTATTTAAAAAAAAGTAAGGGCTTTAGCTCAATACTTGTGGGAACACTTGAAATTAACTTACTTATTTCATGTTATGTGTAAGTTTTTAAATTTCATTTTTTGAACAGTAAACATATTTACTCAGAGCAAGAAACAAAAAAAGATTTGAGCAGCAAAAACCTTTGAAAATAATATTAAAAAAATTCAAAGCGGAAGGCAAAACCTGTTTCTGCATAATATAAGCGCGCGAGTAAAACGTTGTTATTCTGGTGCATTATGAACAATATAAATTTTGTATGCATCCACATCTGAATGTTTGTCTGGTTGTGTGCAGTATATGTCTGTTTACCATTCTGTTATTTTTCGTTTCTTTCGACTCTCTTTTCTCTCAACGTTTGTTTTCCTTTCTTTCCGTGCTGATCGCTTTTCATATTGCACCATTTCCAGTATGCTTCCAATAAGTTCACTAGCACAAATATCGAACACCTGCGCTCTCTCAGAGTAGAAAAAACCGAGACACGCCTTAACTGTATAGTGGGGTGCATGGATCATAATGTAGTGATTGGCTCACAAGAGATTTCTCTCTCTCAACCGGCACGTGCGAGAACTACCACAGTCAGTGGAATGTAAAGATTATTCCAGGCCAGGTGCTCTCTGGAGAAAAACTATAAATATCCAACTCTCTCGAAATGAATTTTATTCCAACGTCAACCTTAAGTGTGTTAACTTCTTGCAGTTTTGTTTGAAGTGAATTTATTCAATATTTTATTTTGTTTTATTTCTTTTCCTTTTATTCACAATATCGGAAGAGAAGAATATCAAAAAAAAAGTTTAAACAAATTTTGCGGAAACAGAAAAAAAAAATACAAATAAAAGTGCTTGGAAGTTTTTAAATCCAATATCTCAAGAAAAAAAGAGACAGTGAGATTAGCTATAAATAGTTAAAAAGATCATTTTTATGAAAATCAAATATTAAAACAAGGAATGCCAATTTCAATTATGCAGAAAAATTACAGCAACTGTCCGCTTAAAAAGCGACCAGTTTTTATTGTCAAAGAAGGTAAGTTATGAATTTCAATCGACTTGAAAAAATATATATATTATCCGGAAGATTTAATATCAAATAGTGAAGAAAAAAAATATTAAAATTGAAACTCCATATAAATAATTTTAAATAAACAATTGTTTTCTATTTTTTCAACAGAATCAGATTCAGAATTAGAGCCAGAAAATTTGAGTACAAAACCCGAGGATTTGATGCTTAGAACAGGAAAGGTTTCTGTATTGAAAACAGAGAAACAAGCACCTGAAGTAGTTCAAGAAATCAGAATCATTTCGTCACAATCGGATGAAAAATCTTACGACTATTCCGCGCCAAAATCACCAACATTATCACCACTTGATTTACACACAATCAAACCTGACATTTCACCCGTTTCGTCTCCGATCGAACCTTTAAATTTCACAAATCCTAATTCATGGCATAAACCCGTCAACTCACCAAACCCTTATTCAAATTACCTGACTTTTCCTGCATTTCCATATCCACCAAGTGAGGCATACACTCGCTTATATCACCATCAAATTTCACCAGTAAGAGATTCATCTTTATCGCCTCCTTCATACTCTTCAAGTAGAAGTGTTCGCGACTCATCTGTATCACCACCAGCACCGGTTTTCATTCAACCATATGTCACGTCAGATTATCGCCGCAACAACATTTTAAAACCATCTGAATCTTACAGTCATCACCACCGTTATATGCCATATCAATTAAATCACCATCATCACAATTTATTACCAGTCGATCAGTCTTCACTATCTCCTACGTCCAGCCATGCATCATATAATTCATTTGCATCATCTTCGAATGCTTCAATGCGTTCAATTTCACCACCTTGCACTGCTTTAGAAGATTTACCTGCAAATTATTCAATTTCGGTATTGATGGAAAAATCAACTTCAAGCACAAATATACAAAAATCGCTAAAATTGGAAAAAAATGAAAAAACTTCAGCTCCACCTCGTTACCAATGTCCAGATTGTGGTAAATCTTATTCGACGTACTCTGGGCTTTCAAAGCATCAACAATTTCATTGTGCTGCAAATGAAAGCAATCAAGTTCAAAAGACAGTGACTTGTAACGAGTGTGGTAAAGTTTATGCATCAACAGGAGCACTAAAGATGCATATAAGAACACACACACTTCCTTGCAAGTGTCATCTCTGTGGAAAAGCTTTCTCAAGACCTTGGCTTCTTCAAGGACACATAAGAACACACACAGGAGAAAAGCCTTTCAGTTGTAATCACTGTCACCGTGCATTCGCTGATCGATCAAATCTTCGTGCTCATCTACAAACACATTCAGATGTTAAGAAATATTCTTGTACAACATGCAGTAAAACTTTTTCGCGAATGTCGTTGCTCACCAAACATAATGATAGTGGTTGCCCTGGACTCCAAATAACACAAAATGATGGATATTCTAACCAAATTTCGCCTGCGAAAAATATTCAAGTGTACTAAATAATTAAAAGTGACTCAAAAAAACATTATGAAATTGTGCCTTGCAGTGCCCACAAAATATAAATTTCAAAGACTGATGAAAAATCCACCGTGTTCTACATCATTCAAAGTTGGTGTTTAAAAAAACTTTAAGAAAAAGGAATCATTTCAAATGTTTCCTAAGTTGCTATAAATACCAAAATTCATGAATTTCAAAAAGTTCTTTTCACTTCGTTTTTGCTTTTTTTATTATTTTTAAGTTTTTAATTTTTAAAGTAGGTAGTTATTTTATTTTTGGTGGCTCTTAGAAATAAATGAAAGACGGTAAGAAAATTAGTGGATAAAACTAGTCAGGAATTAAGTTAAGACAAGAGAAATCTAGAAAGGTCTCATAAAAGCCAATTGCACTCACAACATCAAATAAAAACTTCTTTTTAAACTGGAAGTAAATAAGTTGAGAAACAATTCACTGCCATTATAAAAACCACAAACATTGCATTCTTTAGAATAAGATTAATCATAAAAAGGAAATTAATATATTATTGTTTGTTTAATTTTAAGTCACTCGAGAAATAAAAATATTTTTCTATGAAGAATAAAAATGATTTTAGAATATGAAATTATTTAAGTTTTTATATTTAATGAATTGCTAAATAATTCTATCCTAGATAGGTTTCGTCCAAATTAAGTGAATGAATAATATTTATGTATGAAGGGAATAGTCGCCAGATGGCTAGAAGATTTTTCTTACCTGAAACGACTCACCGCTCATCATTTCATAAAGTTCCATTCTAAAGGTGGAGAAGAAAAAATATGTGTCAGTGAACTACATTTTATGCCTTTGTTCCTTGTTGTTTTTTTTTTACCTTTCATTTGATTCTCATCTTCTCAGATATTTCTTGTTATTATTTTTTTTCCTGCACATTATTTTAAATTCGATATTCTCAGTGTTACCTACATCTTGGTGCACTCAGATTAAAAGGAAAAAAATCAACCGAAGACTAACCATGTAACGTTCAATTTTGTCTATGTGAATTTTCATCAATCAAGTAAAACGATTATTTATTTTGCAACAATTTCAAATAAAAAATGTTTCCGAAATTTTTGGCACGTCATAATTGCATATCTACATATTGTTTATTATTTACGAGCAATGATCTCTTAAACAAATTAGATTTAATTGAGGTAATTATCGAACATGGGTTCACCATATACCACTCATTGAACTCTTTCCTTTTGTTAGTAATTTCTCAAAACCACTACCGCCGCTGATTCATAAGGTTCATTATTTCTTTTCCAAAATGTAAAACGATTTAGCAAAATAAATAAAGTGCAAAGTTAACAGCAAAAATATATTTACATACAAAAGTTTTACTTGCTTTTGTCCATGTTGTATCAATCATCACAAGTAGAAGTTGTTTCTTATTCTCTCAATTCACCTTTTTATGGATATTTAAAAAAAGAAATTTCTTAATTTCATTACTGTTCAGCATCCATACAATGCGAAAGTCCATGTTTTGAAGGAACAATGAAATGCAGAACTTAAATTTTTTACTTCTTTTGAAATTGTCCAAGTTATGTAAATCAGAAACACATGAATCTGTATTTGAAATCACCTGCTTTCATGTCTCTTTAATCTGATCAAAATATTTATAAATATCGTTTTTCTGAATTTTCGTTAAATATTCAGTCATATTGTAATGTCTACGCGGAATCACTGCAAAAAGGCCATATAAAAACCGAAAATGAGAAATGAATGCATAAAAAACGACAACATGTAAGAAGAAAATAAAATGAAAATGCAAATGTGAGTCGAAAAACAGACATTCTTGGCAATCATGAAACAAATTGAAATCCCTCGAAAATGCTGCACATACTTCGTTAATGAATCGAACATGAAGCAGTGATATGTAACACGATTTTTAAATAAAATCCCATTGAAATTTCGTTGACAAAATAAACCTTTATTTTGAACAATTACCAGTTCCTGCTTCACGCAAAGACTAAAAGAAATTAATTTCAATATTATATTTATATTGCTTCCTTGCCAGTTGCTTACAGTTGTAATTCCCTTATTGTTAAATTTGGAATACATATTTGAAAACGTTGTGAAAATGCTTTTTCGCTACAGTTTCTTCAAATTGAATCTTAAAACATTCTGTTTTTCACGTGTTACGAGTTTTAACAAAAAGAAAAATAATGGTGAAGTAAGAAACCACAGTCGGTGATTTTACATCAAATCAATTTAAAGGAATAACAAAAATGAAACACCAATAAGATCAATGATTCACACAGTTGTATTCAATTTTCACGGCTGATGAAAGAAAATGTTTTGATTTCTTAGTCAGCTATAGATACCGGATCGAGTTATATTTATTGTTTCACCTTGTACGGATACACAATTTCATCGTCGTTTTTCTAATGACTAAAAAACATTTAATTCAATTACTGACTTTAATAGTTCACATTTAAATCAACGATCACTATTTTAATCTTTGAGATTTTTGTAGGAATATATAAGTTTTAAATTTAAAGTTTTTGCAACTAACCAGTGAATGTCTTATTGTGATTTGTTTTTCTGAAATATTTGATTTCTGATCACTTTAAAATCTTTAAAAAAATGTTTTCCAACTATTTTGTGATCGGTTCAGTAAAAGCAAAGAGTCAATTTGATTGCCTTCAATGTAAATGTTCAATAATGAAGTCCATATCAATGATTATTCATATATATATTTTCATAAATCTTCAGAACGATTAGCATAGCGATGAAATTTATGGTAAATAGACTACTTTTCTCATTCACATGTGAGCCGACATACTTCAATGGAATCATCCAGATAAGGTGTTGCAATAATTTAAAAACTTTTTATCCTCCTTTACATACTTACAAATATGTACCTAGTTGCAAGTTACTATCCAGTTAACTAAGCACGACTTCTTTTGCTCGCACTGAAAAGATAATGAAAGGATTGTACACGCGTTACTTTTGAATTTCTTTTGTTTTATGTTGCAAACAGAATGTTTTACATTTTGTTTGTATCAACAAAAAAACACGCAATGTCACTATGAAATGGAATAAACGATTTAAAATCTACATTTTAGAATTTGGAAGTTATTTTAATTTATGAAGCGAAAGGTAACAACAGTTTTGAATCAATCGAGCACACAAAGTTTATCTTTACAAGTTCTAAGAGAATTCCATTATTTATTTGAAGCTGTCCTCAAATGCCACAAAAAACAAATGATAAACAATATGATAAGTGCTTTGATTTGAATAACATGATTAAACATTCAATCACGTTGCTTGGGGAAAAGGTGATGTATCCGTTGGAAATTGTGTATGTAAAACTTAATTTCGAACTATAAACAAATATTTTATTCATTAACTGTATATTTTAAAGCAAAGAGTGAGAGAGAAACTCTCACGAACTTCACAATACTGTCATTCAAAGGGATTGATCCAAAAAGAATAATTATAGTGAATTAAGTGTATACCTTTTTTCTTAATCACAATCCTGTCATAAACCTAAATATTTAGGCAATTTTTAAGACAAATGGGAAGCTCCGAAATGGCAATTCTGCCAATTTAGTTAGTAAATAATTTCAGCTTCAGTAATGAAACAATCGTAGCAGTCATTTTAATGCTGTTGAAAACACTTTTCATTTATCCGATTATTTAATGTTCAATCAAGAAGCTCTCTGATAAATCTTTGATGTGTGCTCTTTTTTCTTTTCTTTTTCATTTTATGATGTTGCTAAAGAGGTAAAAAAAATGAAAAATACAGAAAAGTCAACAGCGTAGAAGATACACTCATCATGACAAGTGACATTGCTGCATTAAAATCACTAATCGCCGAAGTCAAGTAAGTAGCAGCATTAGCTCTCAAGCCATGAAGGTAGCAAAAGTTATATATGTATTTGATTCCATGGCATTGAACCTGTTAAATGTATCTTTCTTCTGCTTACATGAATGTCAAACAATTATTTTTCTCTGTTTTCCTTTGTGATCAACCGTTCTCGTAAACTATGACTCAAAGTAGCTTCATCAAGTTCATTTCGTGAGCGCTGGCAATTTCTTTCTTTTTCAATCGTTTCTTATGGGTCTTCTTAAACAAGAAACAAATACGAGTAGGCAGAAAATATAAGAGGAACCTGCTTTCTAGGCTTATAACTTTATGTAATTAGGCGCGTTCATATCACATATTCGGTTTTGTCGCGCAATCGTAAATATACCTATATAAAAAAATAGAAGTTAAACTTTTTAATGAGATTTTTACGGTACGAATATTTTTTAATAAATTTTTCATAGCCGTTTTTATTCCTTGTTGCTCGTCGTCTTTGAAAGCAGGCGACAATAATCTCAATCTAACACGCCAACGGTCGTGAAGATGAAAGAAATTGTGTCTACCGTGTGTATGCAGCTTAAAATGTCAGATGATTTCTGCTGCAAAGTCTCCGCTCCTATGATTTATTGTGATTAACATGTTTAGGCTTTTTGTTGAACCAAACAATAAATTTTCATCATTATCAGCAAAAGAAATAAATGACACTTTACGTAACAGGTATGACCTCGAAGCGATATATTAAGTTGGATCGCCACCAACACTATCCGTGTAATTTATGGAAGCTGAAATAGCTCGCTTAGTGACCTAAGAGCGCGCTTCGAAGTTCGAACAAAAGGAAACATGAAGAAAAGAAAGAAAAAAAAGTGATTCAAAAACAAAATTTGAATAGAAAAGATTTTCAAAGAAATGAGATTATCAAATGTTGATGAATATTTCTGAGAATATAAATAATTCAAAATCCAATATGCCACTCAAAACCAAGAAGAGGGAGAACAGTCATTTATGTATTTTAAATCCAATATCTTATTCTACAGTAAAATATTCTGGTGTCTCAAGCGATCCGCTGACTTACTTATATGCGAAATATATTTTTAACCAAATACTCTGAAATGATTTGCAACCTCAAGTTGTTTTCACCTCAGCTTATTCAAATTTCAAGAATTCATACAACGTTTATCACAGCAAGGAGAAAAAAATTGATTGAGGCCTTTCTGGTACATTTCTTAAACTCAAAAAGAAAATATGAGAGAAAATACAGAAACATTTTTTTTGAACGATGGAATTGGAGATGGAAGGTTTTTTAAACCAAAACTAGTCATTTAAATTGGTTTTATCAAGTGCAAAAATCTTTTCTCTGGCACTTTATTTTAAAGATATTTTGTATTTATGGTGTAAATCAAATTTTGCATTTCATAAAATGGTATCATTTAACTTGACATTGCAATGTATTGTTCGAATTATTTAACCATATACATATCACTCAAGTTCAAGATGATCTCAGTAGTTAGATATCTCATATCGTGACGCTCAATTAGATCAAAATTTTAAATTGTATTTAAACCCCAATGAGACGAATGATGTCTATGATCAAGAAAAATTTAAAGATATTTATTTTTACTTTTAGGTTGAGAATAATTATCAATAGAATCTTTTTACAAGCTTTGCTTTAAAAACTTAAATAAATATTCATTTCTGTAATCATTTGTGAATTATTCCTTACTTTTAGTAAACGTGTATCGTACTGATATAATGGGATTGCTGACAACATCTTTGATGTGTCTGCTGTTAATAAGGCTAAGTTCGTAATAAAATCTGTCTCTCATCCTCCTGTGCGAAATATCATAATTCGTTTACTACTCATGAAGATATGGAAATATGATGAACCAATTCGATTAAATATACCTTTCTGCATTCAATTTATTGCATAATATTTTTCCGTTGTCTATTCTCCGTGCATTTATCTCTACAACTTGTCCTACGGCAGCACAAAATGCGTTTCTCTCATGAAACCAGATAATCTATTTTCATTCTCGTTGATAGCAAATACTGGGCCTCAGTGATTGAAGATGTGATCGTAATTCTGTTTTTTTCGTTTGCAATGAAAAAGGAGTTGAAACAAAATTAATTGTGTATAGTCTGAGTTGAAAGTAGCTAGAACACTTTTTGAGTTCACATGTTATTCAAGTAACTTGGAAAACACATTCTTCCTCATAAATCACTGGTTCTACTCATAGTCCATCGATTTTTCACAACTTTAGTGTTACTAGGAGATTTAAGCGATCCGTCTATGTAGAGTATGTAGTTTCTTTATAAATTACTTTTTGCCTGATCATACGGCTACCGGTATTATTAAATGATTCTTATGTGGCAAATATTATATAAAATTAATAATGCTCTGAAATATCTTATGCTTTTTTGCTTTTACTTTGATATTTTTTCTTCGTCTATCGCTATTTTAAATACCTAAACGTTAATAAGTATAAGTCTAAGTGTCAAAAAAAGTAGAAAATATCTTTAATGAAATGCTTGATACAAAGTTGGAAACAGGATGGCTTAAACCGTTTTTTTAACTCATCTCAACGATGAAATAAATCTTTCGATCTTTCTCACTGAGCACAGGAAACCGTCTTTGGAGGTCACCTTTATGATACTTTTATAGTTAACTTTACGATTATTGTTGCATTTACTGAAACGACGTCTGTCACCTGATATTTCGTAGTCATCTTACGCTTTCGGCCAGTTTTTCTACTCAAACGCGTTGGCTCTTAATCGTTTACGGAATTCAATCGCGCGGTGCTTGTATCTGAGTTTTGATTTGAAATCCATAATTTATCATCTTCAATAAGGTGTTTTTAATACGGTGTTATCTAACCAAAAGTTGGACCATAAATTGAGATATTTTACTATTAAAATAACTCGTGGCCTCACACGACGCCTTCGCCACTAAGCATTGTTTTCTTTAAACTTTTTTTTAATTCATTCTTTCCTTTATCACATAACTCATTTAATATTAAGCGGAGTTACGTAACAAATTATGTGTCAAAAAGAAAAAAAAACAATTTTGATATATCGGCATGACTGGAGAGTGAACAATTTTGCTGCTTTTCTCCGTTCATTTTGAATTTTAATTCTATGCTGGTACAGGTGAAATATCATTTCTTGATAAATTAAACATGTCAAGAAAGAGCAAGTTGATGTAAGTCACATTTGAATAGCAAACGATGGAATTTTTCTGCTTTCTTCGATCACAATCAAGCCCATTAATGCTGACTGATCATTATATTTATTTATTATATTTTTCTTATAACTCTAAAAGCGTACCACAATTATGCTTGATTTTCTAGGAAATATATATGTTTATAAGAGAGAATTGATTGTTCGAGTGCCATGGACTTTTAAATTTGTTTTAATGATGATTGTAACCAAATCCAGATTGGCGTGCAAGGAAAATAACATTTTATTTGCAAACGAGCGCGACAATCGATGCGGGTAAACGGTCAAGTGTGTCGGTTATTGTTCAGGTGTTATATTGTTGATTCATAAGCCATAAAAGAAACGACCACAAAGACCAAAATATTGAAAAAAATATTCTTTTTAAGCAGTTGAAATCGTAGAAAGATCGCCTGAAATGTAGCACATATAAAGGTGAGGCTTCGCATCTTCTAAATATATCTTTAACTTACTTTTATCATCCCATCGATTCTCAATGATTTATCAACTCAGCAATAGGCAGATCACCTATGAAAATTAATTTAATCTTCTTTCTTTTAAAAAATGTTTTTATGAATGAAAGGCGAATGTGAAAAAAAGTATAATCTCGTCATCAATTGAGTTCTTAAAACAAGTTGGGACGAGCTTGTTTAATAGCCACACCCTTGTATAGACTTAATAAGAAATTTTCATTATCTTTCTTTGCTCCTCGATAATATTGTTGCTTATTTATATTGGGAATCAACTGCTCATTTACTCTTTTGCATGCTCAATGAAATATTAGACTGCCTAGTCTTAAAATCAAGGCGCGTGTCGCACGAGCGTGGATGAAGATTCATTATCTTTAATTAATTCCTTGAAGTTGCTTTCGAAGAATGAGTAAGTTAATTTATTTCCGGTTGCGTTTGAGGTTGTTTGGTGAAGATAGTTTAAAGTATTTTCATAAAAGAAAGCATAACGTTGGAGGAAATTTAAAGCAACCCCAATTTAATAAATGATCAAGTTTAAAAATGTGCAAACATTTTATAACAGTTCATTCCTCATTTAGTGTACGTTTTTATTAGTAAACGATGGAATTTGTACTTAATATACATAAGCTGCAGGTAGCACATTTTTATTTATATCAATTTATTCATATTGCGATTTCCAATTACTTCTGCTTTCGATATCACTAGATAATATGAAATGAATTTTTATTATTAAATGTAAATTTCAGTTATGAAAAATGTATAGGTATCTATTCTTTAGATATTAAATAAAACTGTTTACGTGACTTGGCATTCAGTTCAAGAACATTCTAAGAGGGAGAAATTTAAAAAGAATAATTATTATTTAACATTCTTCAAACTAGAGACTAAACGCCAGAGAAATATGATAAATGGGAATTTATTCTGAAACTTACTCCATAAATAGATGTGATAGCAAAAAAGAAAAACAAAATTAAATCAACAAAGTTTTATCCCATTCTTAGCTTGTTCTACGTATGAATACTTATATTGAACTAGCGCGTAGATCAGCACTCTAGCTTTCATAATAAAATGTAAAGTTATGTGATCTCCGATCGTATCTTTTTTTCTTTTAAATTCCATCTCTCAATCAGCTATAAACCGTGTGACTGTCTGTAAATTGATGAATATAAAGATCTTTATAGTAACAAGTTATTGGCGTTTATTATCTTTTGAATTATCTCTCTAATCCATTCGGAATGAGTCGTTTTAATTATCTTCACCATATTCAGTTCTTCAAATGAATAAATCAATAGACAAACAAGGTTTGGAAGCATTTTTTGCTCTCATGACTTGAGTTTAAGAGTACTTTGAACGTTTCTATTAGTATCTTAAAAAAATGTTACTTTCAAGTAGAGTTTTTCTTTTAAGAGCCTCTAAAAAACGCACAAGCATTCGGTGGGGTCTGTAAAGAGCTGAATTCTCATGTATAAAAAAGGATAAAAAAGTTTTATTAAAACAAATGTTCATCACTTGTTAACACAGGCACTTCCATTCCAGATGCTCTCACATGTATGCAAATGATATTCTCTTGTCTCATTGATTATCACGAGAAGAAAATACATGAAAATTTCAATTTATCAATAAAATAACGTGCTTGAGAACCTTGAGTAGAACTGACTTTTAATAAATTCAACAACGCCATTTGGTTCCGTTATTTCACTGAGAATTGAAAACAAAAATTTTAAAGTTTAATAATGTCGTTTGTAGAAACAATATCAAAGCTGAAACTTCTAGGCTCCAGATGATGAACAACAAATCGCAGGAATATTTAAGTACACTGAAACTGGTATTTACTTAAATCAACACATTTGAAAAGAAATCATCACTAAGCTAAATCGGCATGGGGATTTGTTATCTCATTGTAAAACGACTTTGTTAACAATTCCAATTTGTTCGATGTTTCATTTTCCCACAGCTTACGAGAAATATTTTCTTTTCTACTGTCTCTGAATTAAAACGTGGAAGATACAAGTAAATGATATATTTTTATTATGTTATAAGTATTTACATATTTTTACAATTAGATTTTGCAGAAAGCGAATGGAAATTAAAGATTTGAAATTTCTTTTACGAAAAAATAAAGCATTGGTTCATAAATATTATAGTATAATTAAAATCAAATCATCCAAAATGTCTCAATGCTAAAAATATGAAACAATCTGATTTTTATAAAATAAAGTCATATTAAATAAAAATTTTCAAGGAAATATAGAAATAGCATACCAGATAGGTATCTATAAATTTTAAATCAATTATCAATTGTTTCTTAACGAATAGGATAATTCAAATAAAACTGTATCAAGCAAAGTGTTATGCAATTTGAATATAAAACATCGCACACTAAACAATGGATCATTAATTACTCAGATATTTGTTTCAAAGGCTATTGCAAGTATGATATAAAGCCCTATTAAAGAGACAGCGAAAAACTGAATAGAGATTACTTCACAGACTATAAATCCAAAGATAAATAGAGGCTAATGTTAAGATTTCGAAAAATGATTAAATTTTTAAGATAAACAATAAAATCGTTTGATAAGAAGAATTTAACTTTATTTTGAATTTTGTAATCATCTGTTTTTTTATTTTTTTATATGAGAAACCAAAAAGAAAGTACGTAACTGATTTCAATGAAAGTATCGGGAGATTTAGTACTCAACATGTGATAACAAGAATGAGTTATCTACATTTGATTTTTGGTTTAATGGTTAAAAAGGTTCAAGGTTGGTAAATTTAACATTTTTTCTTTTGGAATTTCCAAACAAGTGGTAAGATTTCCATCTTTCAAAGTAAACAATTATTACTTAAAAACTTACCTACGTTAGAAGATTAAACACCATTCCCATTTCCTCTTTCCGATTTAAATTAGGTACCTTCATTCGGACGACAAAATCTTCTTCAGATGGCAAGCAGATTTAAGGTTCATTATATTCTGATATTATAGATGATAAATTTTTGCGGGATTTTCCAAACTGTAGGTATGCAAATTTAAGGATCATTGCTTTTTATAATACATTTATGGCGTTCTAACACAGCAACTAGTCCTAAATATTTGGAAATTCCATTTTCAGGTAAATTTAAAACTCCTAGAAGCTTGAATGCAGTAACCATAAAGCTATAAAATTTCATATGCGCTACTCAATGTGTCGTTTATATGAACTGTGTTTTATCCTTAAATAAAAATTAATTCATTTTTCAAATGTGATCTACAAAATTTCATAGAACAACCGACAGAATCAACATGTGCATAAGAATTTTTTAATTCAACAAGCATATGGTGGTTGTTTTTTCCTTCTTGAAAAACACAATTTTAATTATGAGGGTGAGTTTTCTACATGTATTTCTCTCTTTTTCTGTATCAAGTTGGAGAAGTTACAAAGCGTAAAAGACCGGAGATATAGATAAAGGCACGCGTAGTGCACCAAACTAAAAAAAATTGTGGAATCATCACCATAAAGAATTCACCACCATAAAGCAATAATGTTTTCCTTTTTGTTATTTCTTCGTGATGATCAAGCACATAATCAACATATGGCGCGAGTTCCATTAAGGATCCCTAATGATTGATAGTAGTTTACTTTTAATTTCTTCAGGGATACACAAAAATTCTTTCTTTGAAACGAAATTCAGGAACATGTTGCGATACAAGTGCAATATGACTTTTATACTGGTCATAAATGAATTTAACATTAACTCGTGTCTTCGTTTAAGAAGGTACGAGTATACAATTTAACAAATTCATCGAGGCGAGTGCTGTCGTTATATTTATGCACCCTCTCGCATGGAAGATCTCGTTAACGTCTTTCTATTAAATGATATAAGTCAGAAGTTACTTGTCCATAAAATTTTGAATGTACAGTCAACACGAGATTATTTTGATATGAAAGGAATCATAAACCATAAATAAGGGTAGCTATAACTTCATTTCGAAAATTTCACGAGTGGGATCACTGACTGCTTTTGAAGAAGGTTTTACTCACTCGCCACCTGTTTCCTATTTTTTTACCTATTCAATACGACACAGCACATACAGTCATTTACCATCAGATGAATTCCGGTTCAGTTTTATGAGTGAGTTTTTATAAAATTAAAATGCAAAATAATGTTCTCGGATTCGATTCAGTGAATTTTCGTATTTGAAAAAAATTGAATATGTAGTGTGAAGGCACGCGACTCGTGCAATATGCAAACAAGGGTGACTAATGGTTTCAATAGAGTTTTGACATCACCTGTCGACTATGCGTAGTATTTTTATTTAAAATTTGAAAGCCTCATCATTCTCATCAAAGCATCTCAACGAGAAATTTTTCTTCTTATATAAAATTGGCAATTTCAAACTTAAAAGTGTGGAAACACCTGTAGTCGCACATATTAAGCTAAGATTTTGTATTATTTATCGCATCCGCTTTTTCTGCACCATCATTTTTATCGGACTTCTTGGTTAACACATTATTCATAAGCAAATATGTATAAGCAGCAAGAAATGGGTGTGAATTGTATATCAAAGATATTAATAAATCAAACTTCGTGATACTAAAATTCCAATCAACATGAAAAAAAAAACATTTCCCAGAATATTGAAAAGTTGAATCATGACGTGACAGGTTCAATTGTATAGATATTTCTTTTCATTCGCGATCAATCGTAGTTTACATTTAGCCGAAAAAAAAATCAATCACAATATAAATTGAATATATAAGAAAAGAAATTATTTGGACCATTCATTCTCTGGTGCCCTGAATTAAAATCCAAACGTGATTATGATAATTGTCTATCACATCTACTGAATTTCTTAAAGGAATGTCTTTTTTTTGTATTTAAATCTCTCTGTTTTTTGATGCTTTTGTCCTCGCATCGTAACATGTTCATAAGTATTTTTAAAACAAAATTTATATAAATGCACCTGTTTCTATGCACAGGAAGTATTCAGTATTTTTTTCCCAGTGTTTTGATGTTGTCTGGTTTGAATTACGATGCTCTCAGAACCTTGAATGATCTTATTTCCCTTTTTTCTACTGATTTTTTGAATATTTCCTTCTTTTCCGTTCACGGCAATGTCGAATATTAAATGAGAAACTCTGGGAATTTCCTGGCAAATGCGACGCTCTCAAATACGAATAGGCAAGAAAAAAGAAATTGAAATTATATGTTGGGAACGAAGAAATTTGTGGGATTTCAATTAAAGGTTAAGACATTTTTTGGAGCTAATTTAGCCGTTTCGGTAAAACGAGAAGAGCTAAGGAGCATCATGGTCGATTTGAAAATTTATTGTTGCGTCAAATAAAATATTTCGACATTGATTTTAATTTTTGATTACTCCCACATGCGCT